ATTATGTTTGCATCTCATATCAGTAAATCTTAAATTTAATTGTTTTATAGGTTTTTAGAGAGAATTACACATTTTTATTTAAAAATAAAAAAATATATTTAAATATATTATTTTTATACGGATATTATTATTATACTAATACTAGTTAATGCTATCCAACAAAAAAAATTTATAATAATAAACTACTGTACAATAAAATAATAGTTGCTTTTTTGTTGGTTATTATACTGTACAACAACAACAACAATAATAATAATAATACTAAATTATAAATTATAGTCTTAACAAGCTAAAATAGTGCAATTTTAGCATTTTTTTATTTGTCGTATAGACTCGATTTCAATGATAATTATATATTTTTATATGATATGATAATAATAATAATGTATTATAGATCTGCTATTACTATATTTCCGCAACGAATCGGGAAACGAGAGTTTCGGGTCTGGAATCTACAGCTACTATCATATGCCGGGTATTTAGATCCGGACACAAACAAAACTATAGGCGATCCACTAAATCTAGAGTTTACACAAGTAAGTCATGTTTTTTGTTTATTTCTATATTTTAACAGCACCGGTAGTTACAAAAATAGTAAAAAAAATACAACAATATTTTACAGATAAATTTTGTATAAATTATATTTTATATACTTATGTAGTTTTAGAGATATTATTAAAAACTTCCACTTTTTTATTGGCCATTAAAGTTAATAACACCCAATGAGTTATAGTTTTAAAACGCACAATAAAATCTAATAACATTATTATCTTTCAAAATAAATATTAAATTAATATCATTTTATGTAAAGCAAACAAAAACTTTTGTTTAAAACTTAAATTTATAAAAAAACTAAACTTTATCAATTTAAGTTTTAAATATTGTTTTAGAGATTTTTTTTAACAACTAATATATAAACTTTAAAACTATATTTTTGATTTATTTTTTAAAAAGTTTTTCAAATGAAACGAAAAATAGAAATAAAAAGTTTTATTAAAACAAATAATACCTGTTATTAATGTCTTTCAATGGCTTCAAATCTAATTAACAATAGTTGCTATTATTTTTTGTTATTTTTGTTGTGAAAAACACATACAAATAGTAAGAGAGAAAAACAAACAAAAAAAACAGAAAAAAGTATAACTAATTAAAATATCATTAATACTACTGTTGTTTAAGTAAATTTCATCTCACAAAATAAAAATAAAAATCTAGTGTTGTTTTAAGTTTGAATTTGAATTACATTATATAATACTGTATATATATATAGACATAAAAAACTATTATAAAATAACAGCAAATAATTATTGCAAAACTCTGTAAATAATTGAAATGTTTATTTGCTTTAAAAAAATAAAGACATTCAAATGCTTTTAAGGATATAGTTTTTTTGAAGGGGTCCTATAGGGGATCACCAGACAATTAACAGGTAATAATGTATACGATTTATATATTTTAAAAGATCTAAATAAAATGACTAAATATTTAAAATAATTAAAATTATTTTTATTACACAATTTTACTAAAACTTGAATTTTACTGTTTGGAAATATACTCCAAAAATTACTAATAATTTATTTAATAAACTTAAGACTAATGTATTTTTGAATAAGTTATAATAATTATAACTCTATGCGTTACAATTAATTTGAATAATATTAATACCATTATTACTATTAAAAAGTTATGTGAAGGTCTGGGCTGGAAAAGTAAACGTACCAAATGGGATATACTACCGCTTGTACTGTCGGTGCCCGATGAAGATCCGCAATTGTTTACATTGCCAGAGGAACTGGTGCTCAGAGTGCCGATAGTTCATCCCAAGTATGTCCAGAATATTCTGTATAATTATATAAATTATTTTTTGCTGTTTTTGTTGTATAAAATACTAAATTACTTAACACACAAAACGTCTATCACTTTTGTACACTATGTGTGTGTGTATGCCATACATTGCTAACAAAAATAAATGAACAAAAGATATAAAATTGTTAACAAAATATAATATATTAATAGTATATATAACAAGAAGCACAACAAAATCAATAAACATAACTATAAAAGCAAAAAATACAATATATATATAATTTATATGATAAATAAATAAATAAGATTTATATTATGAGTCTATTGCCAAACAATTACAATCAAACATATATACAACTTAACTGTAGATTTTATTCAATAGCAGATAAACAATATATATATAGTTATTTATTTGTCATTATTTATTTGATTTTTTGACTGTATTTTATTACACAATAGTATTGATTATTATTATTATTATTATGAAATTGTTTATTATCTTGAAAAAGAAAATCTAATAATTAAAACCCTTAATACAGATACAACTGGTTTAAGGAATTGGACCTTCAATGGTATGCCCTGCCAGCCGTATCCAACATGATGTTCGATGTGGGAGGTCTAGAATTCCCTGCCTGTCCATTTAGCGGCTGGTATATGGTCACCGAGATAGCGGCCCGGGATTTATGCGATCCCCAGAGATATAACGTGCTTGAGGTCAGCATATACTGTATATATATTTATATATATATTGTGTTTTGTAATACAATATATAAATAATAATTTTATATTAATATATAATAGTGTAATAATTACAATACAAATTATAGTTCATGTTTAAACATTGTTTTTAATTTTTAAAACTTACAATTTAATACACACTGTGTAATGCAAATTATCAAAATTAATAATTATAATAATATTTGTATTTCTAGTTTATTAAGAAATATTTTGTTTTAAACTGTGCATAAAATATTGTTTAAAATTATTTATAAAAAAAATTCTGTAAAGAATTATTTTTATTTAGGAAATAATTAACTAAATAATAAAAAACGAGTGAAAAAAAATAATTATCTGTTTTTTATAAGACATTCAAAGCGTGCGTTTACACGAATAGAGTAGTAGTTTATGTGTACAGTATGTGTATGTGATTATAGTTGATGTGACATATAATAAGATTTTTCACACATATTAAGTGCAGTGTTTAATATAATAAACTTAAAGCCTATCTCTCTCTCTCTCTCTCTCTCTCTCTCTCTCTCTCTCTCTCTCTCTCTCTCTCTCTCTCTCTTTCTTAATGTTGTTTTGTATTATTAAATGAAATTTTCTCCAAAAATAGATCTATTCTTAATAAATACCGTTATATATATATACAAAAAGTATAGGAAAAATGACTTTTCATTACTATACTCTATCACACACTCACATACATACTGTTCCCCTGTATTCAGATCACGCGATTCCGGTATCTCCTCTTTTTTATTTGACCGGCACAAGTAGATCCCGTTGACACATAAAACAAATACAAGACTAACGCGTCTCAAATAAAAATTAGATTTAATTTAATTTAACTTATTTTTTCTCTACTTTTTATTTTATTATATACGGTATATATTATTTATTTAATGACTAACTTTATTAACTTATCGTTGACTTTTAATTTTTCAATATATCTGTGTTTGTGTGTATGTGTGGGCAACAGGATGTGGCAATTAGGATGGGATTAGACGTGCGAACCAACTCATCGCTGTGGAAGGATGCGGCACTGGTCGAACTGAATGTTGCCGTACTGTACAGCTACCAGAGCGCCAACGTAACCATTGTCGATCACCATACGGCCGCCGAGTCGTTCATGAAACACCTGGACAATGAACAACGGCTACGAGGCGGCTGTCCAGCCGATTGGGTATGGGTAGTACCGCCCATTTCCGGCTCAGTACTGCCCGTCTATCACCAGGAAATGCTCTACTATGAACTAAAACCGAGCTATGAATACCAGGATCCGGCCTGGAGGACACACGAGTGGCACGCCCTGCCCGGCACCCAACGGCCCACAGCCAACGGTACACCCCGTAAGCTGCGCTTCAAAGAGATAGCCCGGGCCGTGAAGTTTACGTCAAATTTGTTCGGCAAAGCGCTGTCCAAACGCATCAAAGCGACCATTTTGTTTGCCACGGAAACCGGCAAATCGGAACTGTTCTCTAAACGACTGTCCCATATATTTTCGCACGCATTTAATGTATCGGTAAGTCGGAGAGGGGATACTCACTATTTTTTAGTTTCCTAATTGACTTTTTAAATAACAGTATTAAATAAAATTATAGCTAGAAATTACTTTTAAACATCAAATAAACTATTAATAGTTTTCGGATTTATTTTTGTAAATTAGGTTTAAACAATTATAAATTATTTTTTTTAATAATAAGTTAATATTGTAATTAAAAATTTAATCATCTTATATACAATAGTTAAAACTATTTAAAAATATGTACAGTAAAGTTTATATAAATTTATTATGCATAGAAATAATAATAATTAGTTAAATATTTTTACGAAACACCAAATAACTTTATAATTAATACATTTTATTTAATTAACTTTATATCAAATTTTCTATTTAAATTTTATTAATAATAATAATAATATCATACATAATATAAAAAATTATATAGAGATTAATAGTAATATTAAAAAAACTTTGAATTAATGAATAGGTAATGTGTATGGACTCGTACGACATGTCACACCTGGAGCACGAGGCACTACTGTTGATAGTGACCAGTACGTTCGGCAATGGCGATCCACCCGAAAACGGTGAAGTATTTGCCCGCCAATTGCAGGCCATTAAGATGACCGGCGATACCACACCCGACATGGAAAGTGTGCGCAATATATCTACTTCATATCTGCGCGTTTCGACATCAGTAGACTCGGCCGAAACGCCGACCAACAACAACTGTGTGACCACTTTTGACGACGGCAGTACACCGGTTGGACCGCTCAGTAACATCAGATTTGCAGTGTTCGGGTTGGGCTCGGGTGCCTATCCGAACTTTTGCGCTTTCGGACGCTATTTGGACACAATTTTGGCCGATTTAGGCGGCGAACGCATACTGAAAGTAGGAACTGGCGACGAACTTTGCGGTCAGGAACAGTCGTTCGGCGATTGGGCCAAAATGGTCTTCGAAGTGGCCTGCGATGTCTTCTGCATATCCGATGAACTGAACCTCAAAGAGGTAATGAAATCGGCGACATTGAAACCGCTTCAGTGGTCAAAGAGTAACGTAAAACTGGTGCCATATAATGGACAGTCGAGGCCAGACATTTGCAAATGTATGAATCAGATTGTTTGATCTCATAATCGGTTATTGACTTTATTTTTATTTTTGAATTCAATGAATACGTATAGGTTTGTCGAAAGGACCGTCGCGTCGAGTCGTCGAATATCGTCTAACAAACCGCTCGGAACTGCAAGAGGTCGACACCACAGACGGCCGAACCACTGTATTGGTCGAGTTAGATGCCGTTGACGGTAAAGCGGCCACTTTCTATATGCCCGGCGACCATTTGGGCGTCTATCCTGAAAATCGTAAACAACTGGTCGATGGTATTGTCAAACACTATGAGGACATTATAGATGTGGATCAGGTATATCAGATAATGCTTAAAGTGATGGACGATAAAGGAGACGAAGAAAAGTGGATTCCGGTTGAAAAGCTCGACATGACTTCATTGAGAGAGGCGTTGACCCGTTATCTGGATATAACGACACCGCCGACCCAACAACTGTTAAATTTGTTTACAATGCATACCACAGATGACAATGATAAAAACCGATTGAAACAATTGGCTACCGATTCGACCAAATACGAGGAATGGAAAGCACACGGCTTTCCCAATCTGCTGGAAGTGCTCGAAGAGTTTCCATCGCTAAAACTGCCAGTCGAACTGTTAGTCACCCAAATGCCGGCCATTCAGTCCCGTTTCTACTCGATATCGTCGTCTCCATTGATGACCTCATCGGCACAGGTCGATCTGACAGTGGCTGTTGTCCAGTACACCACATGCACCGGTACCAAACACTACGGTGTGTGCTCTAACTACTTGAATCAGATACCTATTGGCCACTCGGTGTACGGATTTATCAGAAGTGCGCCCAACTTTAGACTACCCGACGATAAAACAGTACCAATAATAATGGTCGGGCCGGGCAGCGGTATAGCACCTTTTCGCGGCTTCTGGCAGCATCGGGTACGGCTAGTGAATACCAAGCGCGAGGAACGCCACAAATTAGGCAAAATGACACTGTTTTTCGGCTGCCGAACCCCATCGATGCAATTGCATCGCAAAGAAGTACAGCAAATGATCGACGACGGCATCATTAGCCAAAGTTTTATAGCCTATTCCCGAGTGGCCGGCCATCCAAAGGTAACTAACTGTGCTGTGCTATTATTATTAGTAATAATAATATACCTTATTGTTGTACTGTAGAAAAAAAATAATTGTGTTTATGTTTGTTTGTTTTTTATCGTTGTATTACACTTTTTATGATTATAATATATTTTTATGACTTTATTTTCGCAATTGGTTTGCAATAATAATAATAATAAAATTTTTGGTATAGTTTATTGTTTGATGAAAACTATTGATTTTCCTGACCTACCGTTTCCTTCAATATTTTTTTGCTGTACTGATGCTAACAGCGCTACGTTCAGGACTGTCTGAAAAATGAATCCCAAACCATATATCATCAGCTGATGCACGAAAGGGCCCACTTTTATGTCTGCGGCGACGTATCGATGGCCGAGGATGTGTGCCGTACATTGAAATACATTTTACAGGACAACGGTATTGACGATCCCGAAGTGGCACTCGTGTCGCTCAAGGTATCTGTCCATTGATTTTAGTGATATATATACATATATATATGATAATTGATTTTTCAATTGAAATTTTTGACAAATTTTTTAAAAATAGGAAACAATGCGATATCACGAAGATATCTTCGGTATAACATTACGAACAGCTGAGGTGACCACTCGTGGCCGAACCGATGCACTGACCAAACGGAGCTTTTCTAACGCTTAGTGGTTATGATATACACTCGGGTGGATAGGAAAGGGTGTCTAATAGGAGGTGTTTAATCCCTATACCAAAATAAAATCACATCATTGACTTTATAAATCAAAACTCTATAATAAGTTTATCTGAAGTTATAATAATCCCTGTCCTCTGTTTACTGCTATCTGAGCTATGAATTTTCTGAGTCGTTTTTTTCCTGAGAAAATAAAAATTTCATTAAACAGTAAATTATTTTTAATATTTATACCATATATTTATTATATAACTCATTCATAACATATTATTATTAATAATATAAAAATATTATGAAAACAAAGTTTTATTATATAAACAAAATGATAAAAATATTTCAAAAATTTTAATCAAATATTTACTTATTCAATATAATTTATTTTTGTTGTTGCTATTTATTCATGCATTATTAAAAACATCAATTGCAGGTATGTGTATATACAGTATATATAGAAAGCAATTTATCATCAAGGTTAAATGAGAAACTAGTAAAACAAAAAAAAATAAATACATTTTTCAATATATTGTTTTGCGAAATATTATGTGAAATAATTTAATTGAAATTTTGTATTTTAAAATAATATATTAAGAATTATTAATATTATAGTAAAATAAATTTAATTATTGAAAATAATTAAAGGTATTGACATTTTTTATTTGTTTGTTTAATTTGTTTGTTTGTTCAACTAATCAGTTGTCTTACATTGTGTCATATAATTAGGATATTTCCTACACCAATAGCTTACTATTTTAATATGTTTTTTTTTAAAAAAAAGTCTAGTGTTTAAAAGCAAATAAATATACTTTACTTTAGATTACAAGTAAACTTAAAGATCGATATCGACCTAAACCGGAAAAATTTATTTATCAATAATACTGTATTTTTAAATAAGAAAAAAATTGTTTTTGAGTGAACACAATATGAATAATGAATATACAGAATATATTATTCTGTATTGAACTGTATTGAAATATTACGAACAAAAAAAAAATAAAACAATTCAAAACATAATCATAATAATCATCAAAAAATCATAATATAAATCATAATACATTGCATTATGAATAAAATGGACTAAATTTAATGTTATATTTTTTCTGATAAAACAAATTTTTCTTTTACTTTACATTTACTTCCTATTGTTTTAGATCACGAAATAAATTGTTTTCTAATATATAATATTATATACTATAACTATAAGTATACCAGTAATTTAAAGATTGTAATAAAATTGTATGAATGAGGAGAAAAGTTTGTATTATTTGTAAATATATAATATTTCATAAAAATCTATTAATATTTAAAAATTATTATTAAAAATAATTATTGTTATTATCATTATTATTATAATATAATAAATCCAATACACTATAACATAAAAATTAATAATATTTAATAGTTAATGACTTTTATTTTAGATAATTTTATTAAATTAAACTAATATTTAATCTATTAAAATAATCAATTAGAAAAATTGTCATTAATTATTTAAATAATTAAACTATATTTCATGCAATTTAAATTTATTTATAAAATGTATTTTAATAAAATAAAACAATAACTTTTTGTCTATATAAACAAAATTTTATTACTATTTATACTATTTCACTAAAAATTGTTTTAACAAATATATAAAAAAATTGATTATTTGAGAGTTATTATAGTAATAATAATTAAAAAAAATAATACCAAATGTTATGTCACACAAAAAATACTTAAGATTAATCCTTTAAATAATAATATTAAAAAATTACTATTTGACAACAATATATAAATAATAATTATTGTTATTATTCATACAATAAATTTACATAAAATCTCGTTTTTTTCTGGTTAATGGCTAATAAAAGTTATTTATATTTAATAAATATTATATAAATATTGATTGTTTGCCTAATATAATGATTTGATGGATAAAACAACGTCGAGAATATATTTATGAAAATATTATATTATATATGAAATATATATTTATTATATTTAAATTTTAATAATAATAACGTTATATGTATTAATATAATAAAGTTTATTATTATGCTATTACTATTAATATTATTATTAATATACTTTATATAAATAAATTTTTAAATTATATACAATTATTATTAATATAAATGTAATTAAAAATTTTAAATAATTATTGTTAAATATTTAAATATTGATATTTTATGAGCTATTTATTAAAAACTAAAATAATAATTTTACTATTTATTGTTAATAATATACTGTATAATCATTATATAAATAAACATTGAACAATAAATAACTAAATAATTTTGCCAAAATTATTATTTTTAAAATTATTTAATTTGTGTGTGTTTTTTTAAACTATACTTCCTTTACAAATAAGAAATATTTTTGTTTGATATAAATCTAAAAAAATAAAATTAACACACACACACACACACAGATATATATATATACTTGAAAACTACAAAACTAATTAGCAGGAGATTAAAATTGATGTACTATTTTTTATATTAATTTATATGTAAAACAACTGTTACAGTAATATACTGTACTACAGTACTGTATATTTATAGTACAGATATAAACTATAATAGAGTATATATTTTTGTTGCTAACTTGTAAGGACAGGGATCCAAATTGCAGACATTAATAGAAACATATATACTTTACTATAGAATATTTATTTAATGTTAATAAAATAGTATACTCAAAAAAATAATCATAGATAATCAAAAAAAAAGATAACTAAATTTTGACCTGTCACCAAATTTTTTGTTTTTGAAAAATTTATAACATTTTTTTTTTGTAGTTTAACTAGAATTTTTGGCAATGAACTTACGGTTAAGTTATGTGTAATGAAAAATATTTTCTATTTTTTTCTTCAAATTATTTATAATTTTAGGAAAACGATATGTAAAATTGTTAAATAAAAATATAAGATTTTTGAAATTTATTTTATGTATGATAACAACAATAGACACACACACACACACACACACACACACACAGACAGATTCATTCACTATTACTCTCACTCACTCATTCATATCATACAGTCTTTTAGGATTAAGACCTCTTAGCTGATGATATCGATTTGAAATAATAATTATAATTTATATAACATACGGAAGTTTTTTTAGAGCTGAAAAAATTGTTATTATTAGTAGTCTCTCTCTCTCTCTCTCTTTTTATTTATTTTTTTTTATTTTAAAAACTATAAGTATTAGTTGTATGAAAAAACTAATTATTAGTTTATTATTATATTTTTTGTTGTTGCCGTTGTTTATCGATTACAATAAATATATAGTATATGTGATATATGAAAGTTAATACCAATTTAATTTAAGTTAATGGCAATAAAGCTTGATTTTTTATACTGTATATATAATTATATATGAAGTATACTATCGTATAATACTTATTTAGCAACTAATATTTATATAATGACAAAAATTTTACATTATATTTATTTATACTGTACAATATGCACTACTTAACCACACTAATTAGTTTATTTTTTAATGAATGCTTTTTATAATTATAATTTATATAAAGTATATTTATTGACTGATTGAACAATTATAAAGCAAAAAATATATAGTATATTATGTATATTAGTTAATATTGTTAATTTAGATAATAAATTTGTAATAAAGTAAATTTGATTTCTAAAAAAAATATTTTATAACATAAGCAATTTTATAGTATTAATATAAATTATGAAAACTATTGAAAACTGCAAAATTATTTTTACTGCAAATTTTTTTCTTTATTAATAATTATTATTATTTCTATAACTATAAGCTCAGGGAGATTATATTGATAAGGTATTAATATAATATTATTTTGTAATTTTTGCTATAAGTTGTCTATTTTTTAATTTATCAAGATTATATTTATAATATTTAACTATAAAATATATTATTATAACCTTAAGATAATAAATACAGAATATTAAATAGTCATAACTAATTTTTTGCGATTAGTTACCCAGGATAAATTGTAAAAACCTTTTATTTTATTAATAATCAAATATATTTTCTTACAAACAAAACTAATAATTTTATAATAACAAAAAAAACATAATTAAATTATACAATTAATTGTTTTGTTTTTTTAATCATAACGGTTAGTAATAAATTTTGATAATATTTTTTTGTTGTTGAAAATACAGATAAAACAATAGTTGATGTCATAATAATTACGATACTAACAATAATAATAATATCGTTACATAATAATTGATACAATAGTTGTCTAAAAATTAATAGTAAATAAAAAATTTGTTGTATTGTAGTTGTTTTTTCTTAAATAAAAATCACAATTCAATTTATATAATAATAATAATAATCATAATTATAGTAAAAATGACAATTAATTAATGAATTAATAATAATCATAATAAATATATATTTCAATGTATAGTAATAATTAAACAAATTAAATTGATTTATTTTAAACATAATTTTTAAATTAATTAGTTTATGTTATTGTAATTTTTTATCCACAAATTGTTTTGATTATCAATTTTTTAAAACAAATTATTATTTTTATTATTTGATTGATTTTACAGTATTTATCTAATATATAAATAATACTTTCAAATATAATGTATATATTTAATTTATATAATATAATGATGTATTAAATTAGAAAAATTGTGTCCACACTTGTGTATTGTTAATGTGTGTAAAATTGTTGTCAAAAATTGTTTGTAAATTTATTTTTAACTAATGTATATGTTTTGTATACAAAAAAAAACAAATGCACTTATATTTCACATATGATTGACTTGCAAATTATGACATCATGTCACCAATCAATCAATTTATTAAATTATTACAGTAATTGTAATTATTTTAATTATTAAAAAAAACTTTATTCTATTTGAACCATTAGTTTATTATCTAATAATATTTATATAGAAAATCTCATCCAATTGTTTATTACTATTAACACAAAAATCACAGAATATTCCGTACAAATATATTGCAAATTCTATAGTAAATAATAGTAGAGTATATTGCAAATAATAGTAGAAAGTATAGGCAATAAGTGATAGTTAAAGTAAAAATTATTTGATATAGATAACCTAGGTAAATAATAATGTAATTGTTTGTGTGTGTGTGTGTGTGTGTAAGTAATATTTAATGTTTCATAAATTTAAATTTACCAATAAATATGATAAATTATTATTGTTATAACAATCATAGATATATATAAAGTTAATTTACACACAATCATCTATAATAATACAGTTTTTGACTTAAATGATAATAAAATTTAATTAATTGTAATGCATGATTGTGTATGTGTGTGTTTGAATATAAAGTGTATTTATAAGTATATTGAGAGTGATAATTATTAAAACAAACAAACAAACAAATATAATAAGTCAAATAACAATTAAAGATATTATTTAATCTAAAAAAGTGATATTTAGAAATTAAGTTATATTAAAGTAGATTGAAAAAAACTATATATATAATATAAGTGATAATCATTGAAAGTACAGTATATTGAAAACAGTAGCAAATAAAGAAAATGTAAAAATAGGACCTAACAGTGCCCAATAAAAATGTGTGTCCATTTAATATTTTATTTAATTTTTTTTTTATGATATAAACATAATTGCGACCATACAGTATTATATCGTTATTATAATAACTACCATAAGTATTATTAAATTATTATTAGTAGTAGTAGCAGTAGTAGTAGTAGTTGTAGTAGTAGTAGTAATAATAATAATACTATTATGCAAACAATTTTTCAAAGCACGGGTGACAATAGGGTTTGTCGTTTTGCTCTTTAAAAGTGCCCTTGTTCAATTGTTTCAAACAAAACACACAAACAAAATGTTCCGGATGAAACTTGCGGTACATGGCCGTAATGCATCGGCCGGCAATTGGTTTGTGACACCCGGCGCACAGTGACCCGCGTTTGGCGTGATAGTGGGTCTCGCAGTAGGGCTGTCCCTCGTGATCGAAAAAGCTGCCCCCTTGAAATGGTGACCGACAATCCTATTATATAATAATATCATATGATAATTATTGAAACATAATAATAATAATAATTATATATATATATATTTAATAACTTTTATTTAGTTCAATATATTTATATGCATTTATGTTAATTAGGAGATGATATCATAGTGAGTGACAGGAAATTGTTGTTTTTATATTATAGATAAATAAAAATCTGATACTTCGAGTACTGATATTAAAATTATTATAAATAATTATTAAATGCAAATAGTTTAGTTAATATTAACAAATAATAATTATTATGCCAACAACAACAAAAGTACTGGTAAATTATTAATTTTATTTACAATTAATAATCTCATATATTATATATATGGAAATTTGGGTAGTGTCTGGATAAAGATATTTGTGATGGAAAAAATTTTTTGTTTTTTATTTCGGAAGTTATTTTTTGTATTGTATTTATTTTTGTTGGTTGGGTTGGGTTGGGTTGAGTAGGGATGAGATTGAAATTTAAATGACTCACCCGACAGACAAAGCACTCGGGATGCCATTGGGTGTTGAGTGCCGATATGTAGTTGTCGGTAATGGCCGCATTACAGCCGCCACATTTGGGCGCAAACAGGTCGAAGTAGTCCTGTCGGCAGTAGGGCTTTCCGTTTTTTTCGTGATAGCCATCATCCCCGAAAGTTTTGCCGCAATGGGCACAGAAAAAGTGTTCCGGGTGCCATGTCCTCTCTAGTGCCGTTATACATTTCTATATAAAAAATACAAATTAAGAGGACAGGGATGTTAGCTGACAGTGCAATTGAAATGATAATTTTTTTATTTGAATATTTATTGAATGTTTTGCTATTTAAAAAAATAGTAATTATGTTAATGACATTTTCATACACACACTGAATGTTTTATGTGTTTGTTTGTTGTGTGTGTAGACAACCCTTAACTGAGCTGCCGGTGCCGTAATAATAATAATAATTAGTACACTAAAAACGCATAAAATCTAAATGATTCATTTGCTGTTATTAATCACCAGAATTTTTGCAATATATATATAATTTATATATGTGTGTTGTTTGTATATATTATATAATTTATACAGTAATATATATATATATATATAATAAATACATATAGTATTCATGTATTAACTGGAAAAATAAATAGTTGGAAACGATTCAACAAAACAAATTGATATAACATTTATGATTGATTTATTAATAGAAACGTGTTATATGTCTATCTATCTATGCTATGCTATGGGAATGTTAGTAGAATTGAGGAAAGGGATCAAATAGGAACTCTCAGAATAAATGCCAATAATTTTTTCATTTGTGAAAAAAAATTTAAATCTCAAACATTATAAAAATTTATTTATATACATTCAATAGTGTAAAAAATACTGTATCTTTCTTTATGATAATTCATATATCTTTCAGCAAAAATATTAAATTAAAACAAAAATATTTGTTTTTACTCTTAAACTTCTAAACAAAAATATCATTATTATTATTATTATTATTATTATTTAGTAATGAAAGACAAACAGTATATACTGTACTGTAATTATAGTGTTCAGCCCATAAAAAATAATATATTTATAGATTTAAATTATAGCAAACATTTCTATTCCTAAACAAACAATAGACGTTAAACAACACGACAGTTCAATCTGCCCTTGAAATCGGGATGTTAGGAGTGAGGATAGGATGGGTTGTCATTGAAATGGCAATTGTCAAGTGGAAAGGGATGTGTGTGAGTGTGTGTTTGTATGCAAATAACAAAACTCACGTCAAGTATGGAAGCGCTACAATAGGCACACTTCGGCGAAAACAGTTTGTGATAATCAGTTTCACAATAAGGATTGCCGTCTCTTTCGAAAAAGTTTTTGGTACCCAACTCGAGGCCACAGCTCAGACATGTAAAATGCTCCGGGTGCCACGTCTTGCCCAATGCAGTTACCACTTGGCCGACAATCGGTTTATGACAGGCCGAACAGTGACCTTTAGCCGCAGTGTCGACTCCATGACGGCTCATATCCGACTGCAGACTACCAATAATTGAATCCAATTGATGACTGCCCGGTGTGGTGACGGCTGTCAGTTGTTTAGGCGATACTACTTTGCCATAGTCTGAGTTACTCATAGGTCTGTCCTTCATCTGGTGGTTTCGATAGTTTTAAATAGACATTCAAATTGTTTGTTACTATCTAACTGACCTTAAAGTCCGATAGCGATGCCATGAGGTCATCGAGTTCTTGAGTAGCATTAGATGCCGTACTGGTTGTCGGTTGGTTATGTACGACATGTTTCGGTGAACTTAGTATACCTTTTCTCGGTTGTTCACTAATGATCGGACTGCTGTTTACTTGACATTTCGGTTTGTAGGACTCGATTAGCAAACCGCTGTCCGTATCGGTAATCCTGGCCTGATATGGCCGATGGCCGAGCGGTACATTTGAGTGATTGTGATAATTCTGTTGCTGTTGTTGTTGTTGCTGTTGTTGGTGTTGTTGTTGTTGTGTGAACGGTGTCGGCGACGATTTGGGGCTATTGTGTACGTGATGTACGTGTGTTGGACTACTATATAAAGAGTATGAGAAAAGATTTATTTGACACAAAATTTTTTAAAAGTTTTTTTTTTCAAAATTTATTTATGAAAAACTTTTTTTTTGTGCTAAAACCACAAATACTTACTGAGGATTATGAAGATTATGTTCGAGATTATAGATCAGTTGATTGACTTGAGTGCTATCAGTTCGATCCCGTCCCCCATAATTGCCATTTGTTGTCACTGTTTTTTTTTGTTGGTTTAATTTATTAGTTATTTATATTATTAATAAATAAAATTTTTTTATAGTATATAATTTAAATAGATTAAATTAATTAAAGTCAAATTAAAAAATATATTTATCATTTAATTTACAGAATATTCTATTATAAAGTATATTTTATAAACAATATATTTATATATACAGTATATTTACTATTATTATAAACTGAGTTATAATTTAGATTATAATTATTACCGTAAATTTTAAATATTTACTTTTTTTAAAATTACTATTTTTAAAAATTAAGTTATAAATAAGTTTTTAATTCTTGTGATAATTTTTGTGTAATATATGTATGCATACAAACTAGTCCTACAAAACGCTTATTAAATTGACAATAAGTCATCAGTGAATATTACAAAATACAAACAAACAAAAGTGGCCTAAATTTTAGTTATATAAGACATAAAACACATATACAATACACTGAAAATAAATTTAAGAAATATAGGTTTGGATTAACTCCAAAAATACTCTTTAAATAATTTTTAGGTCAATTTATATGACATTTTATTTATTATTTGAATAGAAAATTCAGAGTTTTTTAGGTATAAAACATCATTTTTTTGCGATAAAAACTTTATCGACTTATTTCGACTATAGTTTAGATTATTATAACATAGTTTAAAAATAAACAAATATTAATTGAATTAATAATTTTTTTAAAATTAAAACCATTTGTTTTGTATCATTGATAATAAATTTGAAACAATTTGAATTAATGTCACTGTTATACTGTAGTTGTTTAATGTTTGTATAGACATATTTGGTTATATTGTATATAATATGTATGTTTATGTTATATTGTAGCTTATTTTGTTGTTTCAATGTTATAACAAATACAATGTTTTTTTCACTGATTAGCAATTTTTTTCAACGAGCAATTTGCTATAATTTATCAAAATTACTGACAAAATTAGCTGATATTCAAAATTTTAGTTTTCGGTAATCAATTGATAATTGTGTAAATATTATAATTATTATGGTTTTTTAAAAAACATTAAAATAAGTAAAAAACGTAAATTTGATTATTATAAGAATATGTATAATAGTATATTTTTAAAAAAAGCAATTTTGATAGCCATAAAAATTACATACAAATAAATTAACAAAACGTCATAAAAACAACAAATGTTAAAAAAAACTTTCATTTTGTTAACATTTAATGAATTAATTAAAACGTTTGTAGAAATAGTTAAATATAAGCTAAATATATATAATTAATTTGAAGCAAAAATAAATATAATTAATAATTTTAATTTAAAAAATAAGCAAAAAAATAAATAAATATTATTTTTCTTGCCATACACTTGCCTTCATAATGATTCAAATGATCGTTATTATTATTATTATAATTATTATGATTATTAAAATTATTATTATTATTATAGTTATGGTTATTGGCGGCAATTCGTGCAGAATTTAAGTCATCAAGCAAACTATCCAATTCGGATAAATTGTTGTTATAATTGACGTCTAAAATACCTGGCGATTTGGCGCCCCCACCGCCACCACCTGTCCTCCGACCGGCCATTATGTCGTTCTGGTACAGTGGCTGATCAGGCATATCAAAAATAAAGATATATATAATTATAATTAACAGAGAATATTCTGGCAGTTTTGTTTGGTGACGGTATGTGTGTGTGTGTGTGTGTATGTACTGGTCATACCTCATCATTGCCGCCGTAGTATTCATAGTTTTTGCCAAGTTTTGGTGCCGCCGATACAGTGGTTATATCGGCCGGTGTAGACATTTTCCAGCCGGATGTTTGGGTCGGCTGTTTTTTCAGGTGTCCCGTTGCCTTTTCCAGATCACTGAGCAGTGCGTCTAACATTTATAATAATGGGCACAGATAGTAGTGGTCAATCACAACAACAAATTAAAAAAATATTCAATTAATTTCAATTGTTTGAGACAAACAGTAATAATAATAATAATAAAAGAGAGAGTGAAGTATAGTTTTTTTAGTGACTTTAAAGGAAGAGACTACTACTCAGAAAAATGTTTGTAATTTATTAATACAATACTAAACTGTATATAATTTTGATGTCTGTCTGTGAGTGTGTGTGTGTTTCAAACCGACACCAGTGCACTATACAAACGATTTTAATGGCATACAAAATTTGTATTACACAACACACACACACAGGGATTGTGGGCTAAATTGAGGGATGGATAGTGAAAGAGACAGAGAAAGATAAACTGATAGTTTGCAGATAGAGTTAGGAAATCCGTAGGTGTGTTATGTATGTATGTATGTATGTATTTGTGTGGGGTTTATACACATATAATATATACACTCATATGAATCCCAAGGATGATACACACACACACACACACACACACACACACACACACACACACACACACACACACACACACACACACACACAGCCTTTTTCAATATCTGTTTGCATAATAATTGAGGTCTCATAACATTTACTACTATAGTCTGTATTGGTTGTGATTTGATACAATTATTTTCTATGGTGGGGACAGGGAGCCGCTATTTTGCTGGTATTGGTTATAATATAGTATCAACAGTTTATGCCTCGACTTACTTATATTTAAGAAAATAAAAGTCTCATCAATTATGGATATATATATATATATAAAGTTAATATCCATTTGGCATATCCTTGCAATAAAACTGTATCCCAATGTGAATATCACATAACACCTACCTATTTACTATACTATACTCTCACTATCTAACACATACACCTATGATATGCCAATATCTCTACCTGTGCCATTAATAAATAAAACATGTTGTTTTTTTTGTTTTGTTTTTATGTCAAAATCCAATTAACCAATCTAGCTATTAACTATTTTATAATTATAATATGTAACAAACATACTGTATTATTATGTAATAATAATTGTTACATATTTGGCAATAACAAGCATGCTAAATATTATTATGGGCACCGGGTGAAATTTTTTTTTATGTATATGTGTGTAGGGGTATGGGTAGGCTTACCTAAATCATCCATGATAGTTTATTTGTCGTTGTTGTTGATGATAATCTCCTGGGGGTTTCACTTAACAACAATAATGATGACTGAATTGTGGTCCACTTGTGTTGAATAGTAGATATATTATATTATAATATGATATTAATTATTAAATATTATTATTGTAATGAATTTAGTTGTAAAAAAATATTATATGATATTATATGACAAACAAGACTATGATTTTTATGACTCAATTTATTAAAGGGTGGTTGCAGTGGTTAGTAAGGAAAATGGGTAATAATAATAATAATAATAATTTATTGCTATATATTTGATAAATAATATACAAGTTTTAACTTTTATATATACATAATAATAAATATTATAAATATCTATATATATATTATGTGTTTATTATAATAACATTATTATTGAGGTTTTTCACTAATACAGTAATACTATTTGACTCCATATATACAGTGTATGCATTTATACTGTATATACATGTATATTTATATATATATATAAATATAAATTCAGTGCTATTTTTAAATATATTTATATTTAAAACTAAATTTATACTACACTGTTGAAGATATCGCACATATACTTAAATTTATATAACTATACCAATACATACAAACATACACTACACGGCACTACCGCTCATTTATTATTGTATTTAATGTTTATACTATACATATGGTGAGAGAGAGAGAGAGAGAAAGACATTTAAATTTTAAGTACTGTACTACTCATAGAGAATACTGACTGCCCTGTACTACCAGATCCAGCCCTGAGCGAGATCTACTGGTGCTCAACAATATACAGCACTGGGGAAGGGACAGTGAGAAAACAAGTTTAACTAATTTTTTTAGTTTTATTTTTTTTCAAAAAAATACTTATGAATATTGTTTGTTTGGGAGAGAATTGAAAAATTCTGGTATTGTTTGTAACGATAAAATAAATAAATAAATTACTTGAATAACAAAAAGTTTTGTTTGTTTTATGTTTTGTCTGACAAAAAAAGTCAATTGATTGAATTGATGATCATTATTGCTATATGTTGTTATTGAAGAGCACCTGTTATAGTACTTATCTGCTCAGGTAGTTGTACTGTGAGTTCACCAGAGAAGCTCATTAATTATGATCTAAACTTTTTTTTGTTGTTTGAAATATTTGTTTACTGAATTAGACAACAAATACTATATAAAAAAAATATATTTTTATTTTCCTAAATTGTTTGCATACCATTGCTATCTACTACTACTACTTATAAGTTTTATATCTCACGATTTTTCGTACTTGTATTACACAAATATATATATATATATATATATATACCTGTATATTGTGAGTGTTTTTATCACTTATTAATTGAGGGTGAAAATAACCAATTTAAATAAGTATAGAAATGTTTTTTAAAAAATAATTTATTTATTTAATAAATTTAATTATTATTAATGACATGCGAAAAATTCATTACCATATTATAGACACCCACTGGATTTTTTTTTGTTATACTCAATACCTTATATATCAAACTACCAGTGCTTTAGTACCACACAATTGCAAACGTTTAAATTTGATTTTTATTATATTATTATTATTATTAAATTTTATTAAATATCATACATATTAAACAACACAAACTACATACGATTTTTATGAATCACATAATATATTTCAATGAAATAATTTAATATTAGTAGTAGTTGTAGTAGTAGTTGTAGTAGTAGTACTGGTAATATTAGTTATAGTAAATTTATAGTAGTAGTAATCTATAGTTTATATATACATGTATTAAATAAGACATTTGATTTGTTAATTATAATATCAGTTTGTTATGTATAATATTGAATGTAGAAAATAATGCTTTTATTATTAAAAGAAAAATTGTTTTTAATTAAAACTCATTCATTCACTCAAACTGGTTGTGTGTGTTGTAAATCCAATTTATTTGCAAATATCTTTGAGATATACACAAAAAAATTATATATATATTTAATAGCATACCTTATAAGCGATATATAAAGCGATTAAAAAAATTTCTGAAGTAATTTTTGGCGGAAAATAAGTTATGCAAAAAAATTTTTGTCAGTAAAAAATGATTGAAAAATATTTAAATACTTATCAATTGTAAAGTTTTAGTTTATTCATTTATCTGAAGTTTGCCGACACTTGACCTCCGATAAGGGGATTAACCACTTAAGGGGAAACAACTATATATTTTATATCATATCAAATAATATGATTTAGATTTAAAAGTTTAACATATTTAAAAAGTTGAAATTTTATTAATTAAATTATTTTATTAATATATATATACAGTATATATAATAATAATATATGTATCACCATTAAATAACAATACAATACCAACACATAACTAAAATCTACAGTTCCCTATAAAACACATACAAACAACACACACACACACACACACACACACACACCAAGTGTTGGTGCCAAAGATCAGGGGACTGATCCACACAACAACATTAACACAGACTATTGCCCTGGCAAGTGAGTCATACTATTTCCCAACACCAACACCAATACTACTACTACCATCACTACTACCATCAAGAATATGTGCATATATTATATGTTAAAATAAAATTAGTGCAAAAATAAAATTTCGTCCTATCGTTTAAATAATAGCAATAACAAAAAAAACAATTGACTTAAACAACAACAATAATACTGTACTAAAAAAATAAGAAGAAAAAACTTTTTTTGATTTTTAATTTTTATCATATAATATAAATGATATCATAAATGCGAAAATAGATTTTTATGCAATTTAAGTCACCTAAGTATAGCTAAAAATATATAATTAACAGTTCAGGGAAAGAGTCAGTCATATATTTTTAAACACCCGTTCCGGTTAATAATAACAATACATGATATGGCACCAGTGTTTTCATTAATGAACACTTTAATTATTAAATTAGTTAAAAAAACAACAATTTGATGAATCGAAACATTTTTTTATTATTATCATTAAATAATACAGTAACTAAAAAATTTGAAATAATGATAAAATTATATTTATAACTTATTTATACACATTTATGTTGTAAATTGTACTTTTGAATTGTTGAAAAAATGAGTTTTTTATGACAAAAAAATGTTTTCAAATCAAAATGCATAGATACAGAGAGATACACAATTTGAAATGTATTTAATGGCATAACTACATAAATATATATATATATTAATGACAATACAAAAATCAATTATTATTTTTAAAATGATTTAAAGACTCATTTCATCGATTCATTCACATATATGATATAAAAAAATAATAATAAGATAAACACAAAAATAATATTAAACAATGAGTTGTTTGGAAAACTATTAATCAAATTGTTTCGTTTAAATTAGCGATTGTTGATTATAGAGAGATATTAAACTATTGGTTTAATAGGGTTTCGGTCGATTCCGATCGAGTGGTCCTCCACTACGCATAGGTCCTCCCATTCCACCGCCAGGTGGTCCTCGACCTCCCATTCCACCTCTAGGTGGTCCTCCGCGACCTCCGCCTCCACGTCCTCCTCCACGATCGCCGCGTCCGCCTCTATCACCGCCACGCGATCGATCGCCGCCTCCTCGCATACCTCCACCTCCACGGCCTCCGCCACCTCTTGGTCCGCCGCCCATACCGCCACCACGTCGATGGCCACCGCTATCAACGACCTCCGGAGTCATATCTCCATCATCCATAGGTCGGGGGGCTTTGCATCGGTTGCATTCATTACGCCATGAAAAGTTATTGTTATTACAGTTCGGATCGGGACACCGCCAATCGCCTTGACGGCCTTGGTCGTTACTGCTTCCGCCGCCGCCCCCACCACCGGGACCTCCGCGATGTCCACCTGGGCCGCCGCCGCCACCTCCGCGACCACCACCTCCACCTCTTCCACCACCGCCGCCACGACCTCCTCGGAAATCATTACCACCGAAACCTCTGTCACCGCCAGACTTTCTCTGAGCAAACTCTACTTTAACGAGTCGACCAGTGCCGACGGGAAATTCTTTGCCTAATTATAGACATTACCAATCAGTTGTAAAAAAACTATTCGCAAACAATATTTAGAAATAAAACAATTAAAACTAACCGTTAAACCAAGTAATGGCTGATTTGGCAGCCTCTGGGTCTTCATAGGTAAGTGTGGCCTCACCCTTGCCTTTTCCCGTAGATTTATCTCTATAGATCCAGATCTTTGATTTACCAGTTTTCTTGTCCAACTAATTATAAATAATAATAATTGCAAATAATTAGCCAACAATTGGTTCGACAATTTTGTGTTCGAGACATACCTTAACCATACCAATGGATCCATAATGTGACGACAATTGATCTTCATTAACATCATCGGGTAGTCCAGAGAGAAATATCGTATCTTGATTTATATCTACTTTAGAGATCAATTAAAATTAGTAATTATTTTTTTTAAATACACTATTATTTAAATTGTATGTATACCCTGTCCGTAGTGATCATTGCCATATCCACCCCGTCCTCCTGTATAATACACACACAAAACAATATTAGTAAATATAGTTAGAATATTTAAAAAAACAAATATGATCTTTACTAAATAGATAAAACCCAAAAATTTAAATCAAATTATTGCATGCATTACTATAGTCTACCATTAGATTCAAGATATAGAGAAAAAATATATGTAAATTGATTGAAATATGAATGAAATTACAATCAAATTATTTGTATATTTTTTTGAAAACTCATATTTTTCATATATATATATATTTGTTGTTGTAAAACCACACGTAATAATTATATAAACTATTAACTAACTATTCACAGTTTTTTTTTTATAAAAAACTATTGTATCAATTGATATATTTAAAAAAGTTTGTTGATATATACATATATAGTGAGTGAAAATCAACTAGCAAAGAATTATGGTAATATTATAACACAATTAAATAAAAACTCAATTAATATAAAAGCATCCCCAACAATTGGTACCACATTTAAACCCCTCAATTGATAATAATAAACTTATTTTATATGTATGTATGAGTACTCAATTAAAACATCTTTTTTAAATATATTTTTTGGTAAAATTTGATTTTTTGTTTTTTTGAAACACTTTACAAAAGTTATACCTTTCATAAACCCGGGGCCGGAATTTCGGCCGCCGCCTCCATGACCTCCTCTAGATAAACGATAGGTAACACCATTTTGTTAAACAAATTATTTAACAATTTTTTTTTATATAAACAACTCATCCATAATTTCAATTAAATTGGTCTATAAATCAATGATAAAATTCAAACGAGTATTTTTGGCGCAAATTTTTGGTTTATAACCTGATATATGTTGAACACAAACACTTGATAATACTCATCATAGGTAACACATATGTAATAATGTGTAAAATAATGAGCAAATCAAAAGAAATTTAAGGATTAATAATAATAATATTAATAAATAGTAATAATATATAAATATATAACAAAACAATAGACAATTTAGGATAAAAATATACCACTTTTCTCTGTGGGATCCAATGTCTTATACCTTTATATACCAAGTATTACATCTTCAGACTTATTTTCTTTTAAACAGACTCTAAGTCTCTTTAAAAACATCCTCAGTGTTGAACAACTTTCCCTCTCTTGAAGACAAACAGACCATTGTTTTTGTTTTTAAATTACAATTTCAAAAATAAAAAATGCTTACAATCATAACAGCAAACATTATTGCAATTATAATTTTACAATTGATTTTTGTTTAAAATTTTATAGAGAAAAAACATTAAATTTATAACTAAATTGCATTAATTTTTTAGCTAAATTGCATTATATAATAATAAGTTTGGTTTTAAATATTATAAATATCTATATAAATGCTATAATCTACAAACAATTTGACTAATTTTTCACTACAAATACAAACTAAAGTAACACACAAATAAAAGACACAAATTTTGTTTAGTAAAAATAGTAAATTAACTCTAAATAAGCTTTTAAATTGTGAGTAACTATTGTTAAGATTACAAAAATCTTAAGAAAATTTATTTTAATTTTGTTTTTTTGTAGACATTTACCGACAATTTACACAACCATTCATTGAATTTTTTTCTAGTGATTTATATAGTTTGCTGTAAACATTGGAGAAAATGAAAAGACAAGCATTTCATTAATTAATAAAATTAATTTTCAATTATATATATAACCAAACAAATAGGTGTGAGATAACAATCTCGAGGATTGAAACCCAAATATCATTCAAATTCAAAGCCTTGATATTGTCATCTCATATAATACATACGTTACCTGAAATATAATTACCTTTTTATTTTTAAAACAAAACTACAAATCAAATTAAATTGTAGTTAAAATATTATTAACCGATTATTATTATATTTAAGCAACTCGTGAACCATTTTAACATTTTTTTTGTACAAAAATTATATAAAGTATAAATTAAAAATACAGTATCAAACTATTATGATAAGCCAATAAGTTTTAAAATATTAAGTTATATAACTCTCATATTAATTATTATAGAAAAAACTCTTAAACTCAATAATAATAAACTCATTTAAAACTCAAATAAAATTAAATCAATTATAAAACTCTATATTAATTTATGTAAATAACTGTTAAATAACAAACAATTGTGAAAAATGTTTCACGAAATTTAACCATAACTACCGCTTTTTCGGTAAATTATTATTATGGGTAATACCGGTACTTATTGTTTTTGCCGATAATAACCGTACTGTTTCAAGAAAATCATTGATTTACATGTAATTAAATCAATAATATATTAATACTTTTAAAAAATTTTAAACCAAAAATTGCCAATAATTTTCATTGATTTTTAGCGCCGATATCTAAGATTCTAACCACAAGTTTCAATAGCCATACCTGAAACTATTGGGCGGACCTCTCATATGACCGCCGCCACCGCCGTTGCCGAGACCATCGTGATATCCTCCCGAACCTCCGTGGCCGCCGCCACCACCACCACCTCCGCCATAGTGCGAGTTCGGGCCGCCGCCGCCACCACCACCACCTGATCCGTATGGTCCAGATGGTGGACCGCCAGGCATACCGCCACCGGAAAGTGAGCCGAAGCCACCACCCAATGAGGAACCGGTTTGGCCACTTCCATACTGACCGCCGGCTCCCGAATTCTGATACTGTCCATACGGACTTTGACTTGTCTGAGCACCGGAGCCGGGATGCGATCCGGCACCACCACCGGCCGTATAATACGAGTTGCCATAACTATTGCCGGCACCATAGCCAGCGCCTTGGGCACCACCGCCTCCAGCACCGGGTGCTCCACCGGCAGTGGATCCAGTAGTGTAATAACTTGATTGCCCAGATTGGCCATCGGCTATAGATTATCGCCAAAACAATATGAAAAAATGGGCGCAATTTAACAACATTTAAACTTACAATAAAGAGATGGTTGGGTTTGCGATGAATAGGATGAGTATTGATCGTTAGTCGATTGATAGCCAGACTGTTGGCCATAGGGATTGCCGGCGGCAGCCGAGCCATAGTTGGGTGCAGCGGAGCCGCCACCGGTTGACGAATATGAGCCGTACGAGTCGCCGCCGTACGAACCATAACCGGTGCCGTAGCTAATAAAAAGAGAGATTAATCAATCTGTCATATAAATTGGTGTTATCGTCGGCAAAGTGGTTCATCTACTAAATGGTTGACCACTATTATGAATAATAATAATAATACATACCCGGCGGCCGGTGCGCTGCCGGACGAATAACCGTATTCTGTATAATAAATATATTACATCCGATAATTATAGGATAGCAAAAAATTTAGCGGACAGTTAGCTAACACAACTAACTGTATGTCCAAAGCTTTGACTACTTACGTGAGTCAGTCATCTGTCAAACTGTCACTTGTCTTCAACGGTAATACAAATATGCGGTAATTTTTTTTTTGCTGTTAATTCAACACAAAAATAGCAAACAATAAAATAATCGCTTAAATGGCCGACACTTAGACTGTTAGATAGAGAGAGAGAGAGAGAGCCTATCTATTGTGTTAGGAAAGCCCTACCCATTAAATATAGCTACCAGTGCTCTCTCTATAACTCTAACTCATATATCTCTCGGTGCGACACCTGTTGGTAGACTATCCGACACAATATGTAGTATTTATAGTACTTTATTGACTGACTGTATGTATTGATTGACGACTCAACCGATGCCACCACTGGTCACACACACTAACACATACACTAACACTATATGATGTAAACATTAATAACGTTACAATTGTTTTTGGATATTAGTAGTGAACATAGAAACCAATATAAATAGTAAATGTATAATAAATACTATAAGTATACTGTACTCAAAAGGGGCTGTTATTTATTGAGACGTTATTGATGTCACTGTAGTTATATTAAAATATTATTAGACGACAACGTGTTTTCACATCCTTTTCCCTCAACTGTTGTCTCTATTAAAACTGTATTTATTTTGGTGACAATTATCACCAGACAATTGATCCACTGATTGATCGCAATGGCAAAGTCAAAGAATCATACCAATCATAATCAGAGTAAGTATTGTTTTCATTGTGCAAAGTCCCGGTGCTGCTAATGGACTGATGGCCATTAATGTAGTGGATATCGGGATGGCATGTGATTTATCAATTCATTTACCATCGATGAACTTAAATTGATAATCGTTTTTTTTTTGTATCCTTATATTTTTTGTTTAGACCGCAAGGATCACCGCAATGGTATCCATAGGCCTAAACGCTTTCGCAAGGAATCCATGAAAGGGGTCAGTAGTTGTTGCCAATGATCATCCAGTTGTTTGTTGTCTTTGCCGACACAAAAATATGGCCATTTGTGTGGGTTGTTGTGTAAGGACTTGTCTGTATTGGCTGTCGCATTGTGTGTCTCAATTGAAATTAATTGTTTAATAGTTTTAATGTAGTTTATGGGATCAGTTTGTATGTCTAATTTGTACCTAATTTGATGATAGAGTGGAGGGTACTGTTAAATGTGATACTTTTATAGACATTTATTTTTGATTATATAATTTTCTGCTAATTTAATATCATTTATATTTTTGCTGATAATTAATGTCATCATTTTAATAGCTAATAATTTAGTTAGTCGGGGTCTCTGAAACACTGAAACATTTGTCTGTTAAATATTATTTTAGTCCGGGAAAAGTCATAATTTAAATAGACTACCAGTGCTTAGATATTGTGTGTAATATATATGAACTATAATTACCATTAAGGCTATTAACACATAAATTAGATATTTTTTTAATATTTTATTTATCTTCTAAAAAAATGTTATAAATGTAAGTTATAATCATAAATGTATGAAAACATGGATTTAATGTGTATTTTTTGCTGGTTTTACAATAATTGCATAAATAGTTATGGTATGTATGAAAGTGTATGATTGTAGCCTACAATTTGTTAGGCCTGTCCTCTAAATATTTTTCGAAAGTCATAAAAATCATTTATAACTTGTCTTTATTGATGTTTTCCATTATAATAATGAACCGATAGTTATGTTATTATTATAATAATTTACGGGTTAAATAGTTTTGTTGCAATAAAGTGTTAGAAACTATATATTTATTATTTGCGACACTTTTTTATGTGAAATAAATGTAAATTTTTTTTTGTGTCGCAAAACACTTATATTACAAAAGTGTCTGAGCTATGGAAGCTCATGTGGTGAATGGCCTTTACGGTGGTTAGGCCTTGGAATGCCGTGAACCGGCACTTAAACTTCATTGTTATATGTCTTCATAAATATTTAGTTGACAACAGCCTCACCCTATTGTATGAGAGAGAGAGAGAGAGAGAGAGAGAGAGCTATCGTATTGCTTAAAGGGACAGTTGTCTCGAGTGATACATCTCTATGATACACTAAAAATCGTTAGATTTTGTGTTATCCGAAAGCTAAATGTCCGCACAATAGCCCCTATTGAGTGATCAGTTATGTGGCCATAACTTGCAAATGTCGTACAAGTTTTATGTCATTGATATTAATGTCGTTTGTTTGTTTGTTTTGTCTGTCTCTAAACTCCCTGTCCCTTATAGGTTGACGCCAAGCTGTTGAGGAACTTGCGATTCGCCCGAAAGCACAACAAGACTCGGAAAGAGTTGTTGCAGTTGGAGAAGAATATGAAGAAATAGAGAGAAGAAGTGGTTGTTTGACATCTAAAAAGAAATCCACAAATTTTTTTATTGTCACCTCATTTCAAGTGATAACCATTAAAATGGATTGATTTATATGTAATTTAACTATTGATTTAAACAAAACAAAAAAAAAGTGATAATAAATTTCGTGTTTTATTGTCTAACAAAACTTTTTTTCGGTTAATATTTGAAATGAAATAATAAAAAATAAAATTTGGAATAAATTTATTTTTTTGAGATTTTTTCTACTAATTTTTAATGACTTATTTTTTGTCTGCCAATTGATTGTATTTAAAAAAATGTTTGAATAATAGAGAGAGAGAGAGAATTTGCTATTTTTTATTACATTTAGTGACAACTATTTATTATTAATGTAATTTTAGACAACATTTTCCCCCAACCAAATCATCCCTTTCCCTATTCATAATAATAATAGATTTAATTATGATTACAACTAGTGATACCGTATATTATATAACAATGTATAGCATTTTTCTCAACAAAATTTGTTGGAAGCGATTTCATTTAACAATCGCTTTAATTTTATGGGGCTTTTTTGAGGTTCGTTACACCAAATGAGATGCTAACTGTGCCCTCAAAAGAATATCTACAGTACAGTTGTATACTTTAGTAGTAGTAGTAGCTCTCGGAGCTGTGATATTCAATAGCTATGGTAAATGAACGGTCCGATGGACTCCCTCTCCATCCTCTCACTCATTCACTCACTAACTATCTGTCTATTGTGGGCACCAGTATCTGATGGCAAACAACAAATTCTTAATATTGAAAATCGTTTAATAATAATACCAGTGCTTGTATTCTCCCTGTGCTGTAGTATATAACATTGTATCTGTGTTTTTGTCATTCATAAGCATAATATGAAAACACAATATTATACAACAAATCACTTGTAATCCCCGCACATACACATCACCCGACCCAATACTATTGAATAGTTTTTATATCATATATAGTATTTACAGTATTCAGTGGATATGTTTACAGCACAGTATTAAATCTAACCATCACTACAGACAAAGTCACACAAATACAGTACATACAGTACATACATACATCCATTTCCAGAAACCAAGTTTTTATGTGGTAATCACAACTAGCATATAGTGGGTCTCAGTCAGTCACTTGAGGCACTTTTTTCAATGGACAACAATTTGTTTGCTACTAACCAGTGGACCGATACCTAAATCTCCCTATCCCTCTCATACAGAATCTCTCTTTTTTGCTCTCTCTCTCTCTCTCTCTCCCTCTCATTCCCTCTCATTTACTCTCTTTGACTTTGAGAGAGTGAATGAATGCCTTCACACATGAACGGACAGATTAGTTGACGACATGCGTAACATGAGTTTAAGTTAACTAACTTTTGTGGTTTCTGTCTCTCTCTCTCCCCCCTAACTCCCTATCCTAACATCTCTATATACTCTCTCTCTTTCTCTCTCTCTCTTCTCTCTCTCTCTCTCTCTCTCTCTCTCTCTCTTTCTTTTCTTTCTGTCATTCTGTCCAAATCCATCCCTATATTCTAAATCTAACTAAACTTTTTTTTTAGTCAGTCATACCACCACTGATCACACCATACAGACACCACATCACCTTTTCATCACTTGTCTAAATGTGATGCAAGCCCTACAACCAGTGCTCAATAAAAGTCTCGTGAAGTCAGTGTCTGAGAAAGTCAATACACAATTATCACATTTTTTACTCTCGTTTATTGAATGATTGCCTAAAATTTTTTTTTATATAAAAATCAATTTTAGTTATCTAAAAGTGTTATTTGAAAAAAGTTAATATAAAAACTATAGTGATTTTTTTTAATTTTATAATTAATTATAATCACTGTTTTATTAATTAGTAGAGTATTTTTATTAAAGTGATAATTTATTTAATATATATTAATCATAAATTATGATTATCGATATGATTGGCTATTTATTAATATTGTTCACATATCATAATATTATATTATCGTTGATGCAAACATTTTATGTTAGTTGTAGTCATAATAATTATAATCATAATAATCATAATTATATTAATAATAATTTAACGTCGACTATAGTAACAAACAATTTCATATTTGAGACCAACAATAATGACTCATTTAGTTTTTATAATAATGATAATGATTTAATGTTTGATGAAAATTATGCCCAAACTGTCCGACTAGTGGATGGTGAATGGGTTACCCGTTTAAAACTATTTAATTATACGTCAATTGAGACCCGTTTTGGTGATCTATGTCTACGGCAGGTATGTTAGCTATTGTTTAGATAAATAATATTTATCTATAATAAAAAAATAGATTTATCATTTTAAAAAATTATTTTCATTTAACTTCAATGACAAAAAAAATTGTATAAGTTTTTTGTATAATTTTAAAATTAAAAAAATGAAATTATAAAAACATATATCTAATTGTATATTACTAATTGGGAAATAGAAATTTTTATTACAAATTAACGATACAGTGAACCGGTAGCATTTTTTTTGAACAATTTATAAATATAAAACTGTATATAAAACTATATATAAAACTATATATAAAACTTTTATTAAAAGATAGTTAGAAAATTTCTAGTGATATACAATATCTACTGTATTGAACAGGAATTCCGTTTCTTTAGTTAATTTTATATACCGGTGCTATTCATAGGTCTATAAAAAAGTCAATAAAAATCTTTAAAATATTATTTTAAACTGTATTTTCTTATTCCTCAAGTTATTAATACATACAATGTGTGTGTGTTATTGAACGTGTTTCAAGTATGACAATAGGGAGACATAACATTTGTTTTATTTTTATATACAATTTTTTTTGTTTGCTTATCAAATGTCTAACATTTTATATAATTTAATGCCAATCGTTGTGTAATTGCCAACTATAATATCCAGACACACATTGATTTGTATGATTTGTATATATTCATAGATAACAGACGGCACACATTTAATACAGTTATGGTTGTCTAATCAGGAACTGCTAGACTGTGAGTACACCACCGATGCCAAGAGTGTCCGACATTTGCTTAAAGAGTTTAACGATCAGTCAGCCATCAGTGGGTTGGCCCAAAATTTTACATATTTTGGGTAAAAAATTAGTGATTATTATTAGTGATTATTATTATTGTTATTAATTTCTAAATACATATAAAAAATTCTTTATAATTATATTCTTATTCAAGAATATTCTGGATATGATTTTTTTGTATTTAATCTATTTTAGTGGCAATGGAACAGATCTATGGTCCAAATGGTCTCGTTTGACAAATATTAAACAATATAGGGATCGGTGTCACCGATTTCATCGTAAATTACTCAAAAAATATGATTACAAATCTAAAAGGAAAAGTTCACTACAGGTTAGCATCTATTAAATGTTATGAATCGTTAACTTTAAAATTTGATATACTATACACATTACAGTATAAATAATAATCCTTATAATAACAGTATTAGTACTGTAATACCAGAACTTTAGGACTAATTGATAGTCAATAGTTGCGAAAACTTTATTTTTAAACCACATTATAATAATCGCATAAATAACAAACACTCAGTTATAACTTATAATAATAGCTAAATGTTTTGAATTAATTAATAGTTATGTTTTTTTGAATAATCTATGAAAATATAGTTTAGCACACAATTTATTGTTGTTATCAAATGATTGCTTTACCGTTATCTGTAAAAATGTTTGTCATTTAATACAATACATATATTATAGTATTATACAAACAGTTACAGTAGTATAGTGTCTCATTTATCATTGCATCCCATATATATAAAAAATACAAAATCAATATGAAATTACTAATTATATTACCAGATTATTACTTTTACTATTTATATAATATATTTTTAAAATTCATATAACATATAGAGAAATAAAAGGGCCGATCTATTGGTATATCCTGGTACTAATTGGTGCGGAAAGGGATCCACAAGTATGAGCTTTGAGGACTTGGGTCAACACAGCTTCGCTGACCGCTGTTGTCGGTATGTGTGCCTCAATAATATATATATATTAATATACTGTATATATAAATTTATATCAATAAATAATTTTCAATTATTAACTTGTATTTTACAATAGTATAATTTTGTAAATAATTTATAAAATACATGTATATTATTATTATTCATATCTATAGTACAGATAATTATAAAGTCATAATTTATAATAAAAACAAATTATAGATAATTTGTTTATGTATTTTGCATGAATTTAACAGTTATATTTTTAGAATATTTTTTAATTTTTATTATATTATTTGAAAAACAATTTTTTCATTTATACATTACATACGTGTAGTACAAACAATGTTATTGAAAAACATATTATTTAACAGTAATATAAAATTAAATTATTTATAATACCAGTTATCAAACTGTTTAGTAATTGTACTATATTTAGCTATAAATAATTGTCACTACAGTATTAAGTAATATTAAATTAAATTAAATTAAGTAATAGTAATAAACTTTAATTAAACGATTCACATTAATATGTAATATGTATTATTTTTTTTTGGCAGCGATCACGACTATTGTAAATACACAATTGGCCCGTTTTCATGGAAATATCATCTATTTAACTATAGGTAATTGTGTGCTCAGCTTAGTTATCTTATTAGTTAAATTAGCACTGACGACAGTTAGGTTGTTTAACCATATTTAGTCATGTCTAACACACAATACATTAATATTGACTATACAGTATAATATTAAATACATGTGTGTCGGGGTGTCTATATTAATTATTAGTTAATAATATTAATAAAATTCACACTAAGGGGTTACACAATTTTTGTGGGATAATTGTATATAATAGTGCACTCGTGTTTTTTGAAGGACATATTTATACATCTATTAATCATTTTATATATTTAATTTAATTTTATAATTTAATGATTTGAATGAAAACAAACTACTGTATATATATATATAGTATATATATACTGTACAATATAAACACATTAAAATTGAATGTTAAGGACAACTACCGTAGATTAACATGAGTTTTATTATATACGTTAGAGTATATCATTAGCCAATTATGGTTATAATATTTGAAATTAAAATTATAGTATATACAATATATATTTTATATTACAATTTATAATTTTTGTTTATCACATGAGAGTTAAATATTACACGATAGAAATTATTATTGAGGACTTTATTTTTATTAAAAAAAATTAAAAAGTTATTTGTTTCACAATAATTATAATTACATACATGTAAACAGTTATGTAATCCTAACTAATCGTCAATAATATTTAATACCAGTTTCTCTCTATCTTTATTTTTATCCATAGGTTTCATTATGTGTCTCATTGTTCATGCGATGAGAGGTATGTATTGTCATAGGATGTCATATCACTTTTATTATTATTATTACTAGTATTAAATCAATAGATTTTAGATCCCTTTCTCTTTGATATATCTATATATTGAATATAAATAGGTATCACTTAATAACTTATGTTATGATATGCAATGTATAGTATTGTATATAATATAAGGCAATAAATATACTGAGTTTGATATCAATGTATTATATAAAGTATATATAATGTTATTTCTATAGTTGTGTCGATACTATTAGTTAATAAAAGGGTATTATTATAACTATTGTCATCAAATGTGCCCACAAAAAAAATGAAAAGCTTCTACTAATATATTATTATCATTGAAATCAATTGATAAGGTCTTTCACTGACTGTGCAAAGCATTGACTTAAATGCAAAGAAAGAAAGAAAAAATTTACCGTTGATTTTGTGACTACAATACCATTGATTGTTATATAAAGTATATTATATATATAACTGTCATTATATAAGTCTAACCCATTGAATGTCATATAAAAATACGAGATGAAAGAGAGAGAGAGAGAGTAATAAAGGGTGCGATAGTGGTCTCCGCCAATAATTGTCATCCGAGCGGAACAATTATCTTACAAAATACTACTGTTTTTTTGTTGCTTACTGTTCTCAGTAAAAACCGATTGTACCATCAATTGTTGGGATATTGTTGCTTATACTGTCAACGATGGGGCGGCCAATGATCCGCTTATCCTATATTTCTGGTCAAATGCATTGTGTTTTCTTACACAATGACTATAAATGAATGAATGAATGAATAGTATAATACAGTATATAATATAGTTATATACAGTATATTGATTGATATTATCTGTGTATGAATGTGTAGAAATGTTTTTATAAAATTATGATAGGATTACTAACAAATGGGTTGCATTAGTGGAATCAGTTTGTGGTGGTATTTATTAAATAAACTATTTTGTTTTAATTATTTTAAATAAATAAATAAATATCTAATAATTTTTATAAAATTTTATAAAAAAAATTGTTAAAATAAGTTTAAGTTACTAAAGTTACTAATTACTAATAGATATTTACTATGAGGTTATGATTGAAATGTTTCTAATAATATATAGTTTAATATAACAATTTTTCTAGACATATATAGACATTAATGCCAGTCATTGCGGTATTAGTAGTCAAATTTTTTATTAGTAATTTTGTTGTCATCATTATAGTCATACAATCCGTCAAAAACAACAACAACAAGATTAGTGACAATACTATATATATAATTTTGATATCATATTGTCATTGTATTTCATTGATGTATTAAAATATATTATCTAATTACTAAATGACTTAATAATATACATTGAATATATGTATTATATACTTTTGTATTGTTTGTTTGTTTGGTTGAGACGATAATATTTTTATTACAAACATATACATTAATAGATTAGTAGACATCATAATCATAATCGTATATTATCTCCAAAAAAATAATATATGAAAATAATAGCTTTTATAGTTTTTTATATTATTAGATATATATATATTGTATTATTTAGCATTATTAGTTGTTTTAATCAATTAGTGAATTAAACTATATAATAATATTACTACTACAATAATATGGAGTATAATAATTTAATAGTTTAATACAGTATAATTTTATTATTATAGATATCATATTTTGTTGTTAGTAAACTATATATCCTATATATTTGTTGCCATAAACAGAGATATTTTAATATATGATACTAGAAATGGGTGTAAATTATTAATTAATTAATTAAATTAATTAAATTTTGATATAATAAAATTTATATATAAAAATATAATTTACTGGTTTAGATTCAGGTCGTGTCTCAAACTGGCCGATACCGGTGCCGCCAATCTGGTGGGCAAACTATTCTTCAATGTGATGCAAACCAAGTGTTTTATGTTTCGTACGGATCAGGTATGCAGTGAGAGGTCGTGGTGGGGCCGATGTTTGACCAACAAACGCAAGAAACGGGCATTTTTTCGTAATGGTGTCAAGTATTAGGGACTATACTTACTGACTAATTGATTGTTTTGAAAAATGATTTATTTTTTATTAAATTAAATCTTATTTTTTGTTTGTTTGTTTATTTAGTAAATTTAAGTTTTTATACAATATAATAGTAATACATATTATAATATATTTCCATCGTATAATTCATATTATTTAAAAATAAAAAGTGTTTTTTAATTTTAATTTTGTTACTATCTATTAATCTACAGTTTACTTATAATAATTATAATATCTAAATGTTAGTTAAATTTGACAAAATTTTAAAAATTATTTATAAATAATATTAAAAGTTGATAAAAAAATATTTATAATAGTTTCTATGTTAATATCATAAACATTTTTCAAACATATAATTAATACTAACATTTTGTATATTGAAATTAATTTTTTTACTTTTATAATAATGTTATCAAATAATGAAAACAAATCATAAATGTTTAATACAGTATACATTACTCATTAATTTATAATATTCATTTAGTATATTTATAATATTATAATATCATTAAAATTTATCCAGTTAAATTAAACTTATTATTATTATTTATTCTATTATTTAAATGTAAATAAATATTATTACATATTATGTCAAACAAATTGTTACAATATATTCAATATATTGACTGTATAATAAAATTTTTAATTAATTGAAGATATTGTTGAATTACTAAATTTGCATACTTTTAAATAATAATAGGCTATTAATAGCATTCAATCGATTCATTTGACTTATAAGTTATAATATATTATTATTTATAGATATATTTTTTTAGTTATTTGACATAATATAGGAAAAGAGTTTATCAGTTATTAATAATACTATGTTTTTGTAAATAATTTTGTTGATTATTATAAATGTCTTACATATGTATAATTAATTATTATTATTATTAAAATTTTAATCAAATTAACTACAATATTATTTTTAGTTTTTTTTATATTCTGTCTAATATAAAAATATATCAAATGTATATAAGTTATAAATTAGTAAAATATATTAGATTTATTACAAAATGTGGCTAAATAATTAATTATTATATAATTTATATTATTGAATTTGTAACTTTATTATTAAATCTATATACATTATTTTACACATGTTTGCTAATTATTAATACTGTGTATAATAAGGCAAAATTTCTATATAAATGTTCAAGTAATCATTATGTCTAAAAATAATCATTAATCAATTGTATGAAATCCATACTATGAATAAACTAAACAAAAAATTACAAAACATATGTTTTTTTGAAATAAAAAAAATAATATTTTATCAAATTTTTGGTTGTTTGGACAATTATGTTTTGGCAAATATATAAATATTTAATTACAGAAAATATTTCAACAAATAATCGTAATGCAAATTTTTTTTGATATGCATTTATAATATGCAAAAATTTAAACTAAATTGATTTTTAGCCTCAAAACCAGTGTTTAATAAATGGATTAGTAATAAATAGCCAAAAATAAATGTATAGTATATCCTGTTTGTAATACTAATAATAGTGTATTTTATTTGCAATTATATTTTAGTCTATTATAATTTATAAAAGATAATCCACTGAACTACCCTTTCTGTACTTCCCTACTGTCCCTGTGATTTGTAATACAAATTTTGTATACCTTAATAAAATCCTTAATAATAAGTGAAACCCTTATCAAAACTTATTTAGATATTTGCATCAATTTATAGCTATTTATTTAATACAAATTGTTAGTAAAACTTTTAAGCAAAAACATTTCAAACATTAATACAATAAAATTCAGTCATTCAATAATTGAATTAAATTGATTTGAATTTGAACTAATAGCCAAAAAAATGAAGTTTTCGTTAATTGTTTGTATAGTTTGGTTGTTCACTCATACGGTTTCTGTCAAATCTCAAGAAACCATAGCCTTTACGGCCACTAAAGGCGAACGTAATGGTCCTTACATTTCATACCATACTATGTTAGCTAACAGTTCCGTAAGTATCTGTGTCTGAGACACAAGAAAAAAGTCATTAGATTTATTTAAAAACTATTTTAACAAATCTGTGTAATACCCGACCATATTATATATTTTTAGGCCAAATTCAATCCACTGTACGGTGTGTTTATGTGTACAGAACCGGGACTCTATTTTTTTACATTTCAAATACTATCGGAAAAGGACAGTGATTTGAGAGTATCGTTGCGTACCAATCGTATACCTACCGTCACAGCGTTTAGCGGTTCCAAGACATCGTACAATATGGCATCGGGTACGGCCATACTCGAGCTAGAAGTCGACGACATTGTCTACTTGTTCATCGAAGAGGGCGACTTCTACGAGAGTCGACAAGTAAATCGGGCCTACACTTCGTTTACCGGTTACCGAATCGGATCGGCCGCTAGCGATGAGTCGGGTGGTGGCGGGTTTCTGTCATCAATTATGGGTCGCAAAACATCGGTGGCGGCGACTACCGGTGCTGTCAACAACATTGGCCCTGACGTCGGTAAAACAAGTGACTCCGAAATAGACACTAAGGATAATATTTATAATTTACTTAACACTAATAATAACACGAATACACAGATTAACATTGATATAAATAATAGAAATACTACTAAATTGTAGTAAAATTATTGTCTAACTAATTGTTTATAAAAATATTTTTTTGTTTAAAAATTAGCAATTAGTATATTGCAATATATAAATACCTATTATACTATTTAAAGCTAACCGTGCGCTGACCAGTTTTATGTTTATATTGTCTATTATACCTTTATATGAATTATATGACCGCCGTAATTCTATTATTTATACTATTAAGTTTATTTTACAATATTTTTTTAAACTTATAATTAGTTATTTTTGTAATTTTTATATCTTTTAAAATATACAGTGAATCTAAATAAATTTTAGTTTTATGAAATTGTCAATTTTATTGTGAAATGTTTAAAAAAAAATTATTGCATTAAATCTATTTTAGTATAGACTTAAATTGCAATGTAATTATTAGCTCTTAATTTTAAAGCAAATAAAACAAAAATAATTACTCAATAATATTATAATTGATATCTTTAATTATTTATAGCACTTTATTTATTTAACAAATAATTTTACACTATAATCACAGTAATAATAATAATAATTCAAAATAATTTGTGTAATGACTTAAATTATATATTTATATATTGTATAACTTATGTATTATCTGATAAAAAAATATAAAAACAAAATTGTTATAATTTTCAAAAAAAAAACTTATATATAGCATATCACACATTATTATCTGATTATTACAATGTGGGTATTACCTAATAATAATAAATAAATAAATTATTATCATTAGATAATAAATAATAATATATTTATAAAAAGTGAAAACTTAATGTATACTGATTATAATATATATATATATATATATTATATCATATAATTAATTTACGGTAGGAAACATTAATAATCAATAATAATAATAAAATATAACAATTTTTTGTTAATTATAATAATATTAATAATTAATTTACACAACACTTAATGAAATCTCATCACTAAATGTCGTCGACTTCTTCTTTGTCTTGAGCTCTTCGCGCATCCGATAGCGTACGGATCGCAGTGTCGGCGACAACATCGTCGGCTGAGACGCCGCCGCCACCGAACTGACCAATGGACTGTCACTAGTAGTAGTAGTAGTAGACGGTGTGGACGGACACGACATACGGGCAGCAGACTTGAGATTCGCTGAACCCAATAGCCGCTCGTAGTCGCGGATGACACTCAAGATATGTGACTTTCGGTTGTTGTCATCGGTGGCGACGGCGACGGCGGTATTGTCGCCATAAGGCTGTGTTGACTTGAGCAGTGTATTAGTTGGCAGTTTTCGGCGTCGACCGCGACGACCCTTGACGGCCATCATTGCCTGACTGGTTGCCGTCCGATCAATGACCAGCGCTCGGGCAATACCCGTATCTTCGGCCAACTGTCGCCGAACTCCCTGTTCGAATATGTCGGCCACCAGTTCGCTGGCAAAGTTGTCTGCCGTTTCCCACGTACAGTATCGTTGATCCCAACCGCACCATTTGACCAGATATTCAATTTTACCGCCAGCAGTCACCCGTTTGGCCACAATATACTCGATAATGTAATTGAATGTCGACTCCATCACAGTCGAGCCGATCAGATCATCGGTGGTAGTAGTAGTCGGCGTTGTCGTCGACTGAGACACATTGGCAGTGGTCTTGTGTGTGGTCTGTCCATCGACTGGTCGTGTGGTCAAACTGGCCGACATTCGGGGGGTTGGGATTCAAACACTATGTTGACTACACTATGTTTTCAATACCAACGGTGCGGTTAGTATATACACACTGTAAGCAACAGTAGGTATAGTCTTCTATACAGTATATGTGTTGTCTGTATGTGTTGTGTGTAACACATCATTGATGGCATGTTTGTTATGTTTTGTATTGTTGTTATCATTTAATTTTTAGTACAGTTTTATTACACTGTACTGTATATTCAATATATAATATACAGTGTATAATACATTCAATGGTAATACAGTACTTACAGTACAATCCCAATATCATAAAAGTATATTTAATAATAAACATATTTCTATGGTTTTTATACATATATATATAATTTTATAGTATATGTACTATACTGTACCTAGTGTATATATATATAAAATTTTGTTTGGTGGTTTACACAATAGCCTATTATATACCACTAAGTGTACTGTATATTATGTAATAATAATAATAATAACAAAATAAAATAATCAATAATAATAATATAAATAATGTAATTAATATTAATGTGTCTAGGATAATTTTATTTAATGAACTATCATATGTGTCTATAATAAATATATACAGATATATAAATTGATAGTTTTAGTTATATAATTTTTTTTTGCTATCATCACAAATAATAATAATAAAATTTTATATACATGCACATTTATTTATTTAAATGTTTTTATTATAATAATAAATAGTGTGTGTTTAATTAAATATATTTTTAGTATATTAAATTATTATTATTATTATTATTATTATTCAATGGATATCAGTTTATTTGGTGTGAATTAAAAAAAATTAGTGGGGGTTTTATACAGTATACCACTCACCCACTATCATCCACCCCCTAGTAAACCAATGGATAGTTTATGTAATTTAATGTAAATATTATGAAAAGTTATTTTTAAAAAAAATTATTACAGTATTATTATTATCATATATTAATGATAACAACATTTATCATGTTTACCATTAAAAACAAAAATATGATATAAATTTTATTTAATATACTGTATATTAAGTTATATATTTATTTATAATAACATAAAATAAGTGATAAATTAAAATTATTTTTAGTCATTTAAATTTTAGTATATATGATATATACTACTAGTATGTTTATTTTTTTAAAATTGTGCTAAAATATCAACAAAAATAATTAATAAAGTAATAATAATTTTTATTGCCTATACTATTACTACTATATTAATAACAATTTACATTAATTTTATTTAATTATTATTTAATTATTATTGAGTTATATTAACATAAAAAATTAATTATCATCTTAACGTCAATGTACCTGAATAAACCATGATGAAAATAATTTGATGAATAATAATAATTATTATTATTATTATGTCATATATTGATATAATGATTAATAATTTTAAATTAAAAAACAATTTTGTTTAATAAAAAAAATATGTTATTAAATAATTAGGGAAAATAATTGACTAAAAATATGAACTTTAATAATATATTTAAAAGTAATATTAATAATAATAATTACCGTTTTATAACTACGATTATGGCTTTATTCGTGACCAATGGACACACTATTGATACCTATACTTCAGGTTTGTATTTGTTTAACATTATAATTAAAAATTAAGCTAAAATGTAATAAAAATAATTAAATATAATACTGTTATTTATATTTGATTATTAAATTCCGATATATATGTATATTAATACTATAACAATAATAAAAATTTATAAAACAATGTGTTAGTAACTAACTATTGTTAATTACATTAATTATAGTATATCCTATTAATTTTTATTTGAAATTAATAATTTGAAATTAATTTTAAATGTAATATGGGATTAGTACATAACCTTTAAAAATTGATTTATATTATATTAATGTGTGTATGTGTTTGTAATTTAGTTAAAAATTTAACTGCTTTTTTAAATTTAAAAATCAAAGTTTAGGTCAAAAATAATTATACTAACATATATAGTAAAATAAAATAATAAAATAAAAATAATAACTTTATGTAATCACAATTATATGTTTTTTTCAATTAAGGTTTGAATTTAATGGTTATGTGTTTTGTTTTTAAGTAAAAAATTATGATTATTATATTGACCTTTAAATCTATTGTAATGTCAATATATCAAAAAAATTATGTAATAAATATAAAATATCTTGATTATTTTGGAAATTATAATTTGATTTAATAATTGTATGCATTGTAAATTATTATTTGAACAATTTTGTTTTACATTTTATATTGTATTTTATTATATATCATTATTTTTTCTAGCTTTAGTAATTAAGTTATATTACAAGTTTAATAAAAATATTACATTATTTGACTGATATTTAGGAAAATTTTTATACGTGTTTAATGACAGCTAATCAATCAAAAAAATATAACCATTAAATAAATATATTTATATACTGAATATACAGTACAGTACTATATTATGCAATATATAAATTATTTTCACTGAAATTCATTAATAATTAAATGTTACGAACAAAAATCAATAAATATCTAATAAATTTTAGTATATATTTATTGATGATATACTCTAATAGTACTAATAGTATGTATGATATAAAATTACAAATAAAAGGAAAATTTGATAGCTATTTATGATATATAGTCTATTAGTGCTAAAAATTTTTTATTTGAAAACAAACCGCACAATAAAATTCAAGAAATCAATAAATAACTAAATTATAAAATAATTTTATCAGCCATTAGTTAGTTAGACTAAAAGGGTTTTTTTGACTAAAAAGGAGGAGTAGTAGTAGTATTAGTAGGTATGAGTTCATGGTTTACAAATCAATTAGCCTTTTATTAATGGGACAGACATATTATTATGGACCTATGATTTTTCAATTTATTTTATAATACTAATACTATCACTTATCATTAGTTTTTATTGTGTTTTTTATTTAATAGATATAAGTTTTAAAAAAAACACAATTACCGTAAGTTGTTTGTTTGGGTATAAAAATAATAATAATAATGGCTTTCACTCGTGATTTTTTTTATTTATTTATTTGATGTTCAAAGATTGTACGCTAAACAACAACAACAACTATAATATATTGTTGAAAATTATTGAAAAAAATATATATCTTTTTCTTACTTTATTTTGCTTTTGCTAATTAATTGTATAAAATCTTATTGTTATTATGTTTTTTTGTGGATATAATTGACTGACTGTCTGCTAAAGTTTTGATACAATAATGTACTAAACTATACATTGATTTGTTTGTTGTTAGTAAAGGAAACTAGTTTTTTATGCATTCATTATATTGTGATTATAATAATTATTACAATAACATCTCTAACTAATATTATTGTCAGCGATTATGATTATCAGTGAAATATAACAAAAAATATATATTATATAATAATAAAATAAAAAATCATAATATAATGAGTGACACACTAATCATAATCACAATCAGGAAGAGACAGAAAGATATATATATATATAAATATAAAGATGAGTCTCTTAATAATTGTACAGAAAAAAAAATAATAATAATTTTAAATAAATTACTCCATATATGTGTGTCAGACTAATGACGAAAATAAGAGAGAGAGAGAGAGAGAGAGAGAGAGAGAGAGAGAGAGAGAGAGAGAGAGAGAGAGAGAGAGAGAGAGAGAGAGAGAGAGATATGTATTGTATTGAATCAATGAAATTATTATTTCATATATTTTTTCTGTAAGTTTAAGGTCTTTCTAGAGAAGTGTCACAAAAATGAATGACATTTTTGTCGCCAACAAAGACAATCAGTATATGAAAAATAAAAACAGAAATAACAAATGAAAAAAATAGTTTCAAAGTTTTTTCTCACATAATATTTTTTTGTTGGCATTTTTAATGTACGATTTGATTGACACTAATTTTTACGCCAATTTTTTTATTACTTTGTTTGTTTGTTATATAACTTATGTATATATGGAGACATAAATTTACAGTAAAAAACATATAACAAATGTTTTATCTATAAAAATATTTCTATATTATCAATCAATTGATGAATGAATACATTGTTTGTTATAAATTTGGTACTCAATCACTAAATCAAATAGTTGTCTGCAATATAGTTAATAATATAAATATATTGTATATATTCTGTTGAGTATATTATCAATAATATATTAGACCATAACTTATAAATTATATCTAGTAGTGAATTATACAGTAAAGGGACAGTATGTTTGTGTGTTTTGAAGATTTGTATGTATGAATGAATGTACAGTATATCAAATATATATATATATATATATATATACTGTATATAAAATTGATATCATAAGATATATTACATGATAATGTGTGTGTGTTTGTTGTTTGAGTAAAATAAAACAAATTGGTTTCCCAGACCAACAACAACAACAAACGAAAAATCGCCCCTTTTATTATCAATACAATCTTTTTTCTCAATAATTTTTTTATGCATCTCTCTCTCTCTCTCTCTCTCTCTCTCTCTCTCTCTCTCTCTTCTACTATAAAACAGTGTAGATCACATTACATACAAACACACACACTTCCCTATCATATCAAAAGTGAAAAAATAAAATAATTTTGTGGTTTTTTTCTTTTTCATACAAAACACTTGATTATATGATAGATTTAATTCTCTCTCTCTCTCTCTCTCTCTCTCTCTCTCTCTCTCACACACACACACACAGCAACTTTTATGGGTAGTTATTGACAAAACAATTATTTTTTAGTATTTTTCTGGTCATTAGTTTTATTGTTGAAGTTTTGTTGTTGTTGTTGTTGTTGAATATACTGTATTATTGAATATGGATTTTTGATTATGTGTGTGTGTGTTGTGAATTGTTTTACTATTTAATTATAATACTGCAATGCATTATTCATTATGTGATGTCAATTCTGATTTTTTTGGTGTAAATTCTTTGAAATATTCCTCATTGAACTTTCCATTGAAATTGCCGATCAATAGTACAATATATACATTATATATTGAGTTGAGTGGCCGTTGATCAGGCGGCCAATAACTCGGGTTCGGTAAAGTATACGAAATAAGTACACGTTTTTATATGAAAGTAAACGATTTTATTTAATATAAAATATGCGACTAAACGCTGTGAAAGCTAAACGACTACTACTGTTGCGGAAACGGTAGAGTCGTTGAAATAATGCAATGCTGCCGCTTATGATGTTGTGTTGAGCGCCAGCTGTTAACACACTCCCCGGCCGCGAAACTGCGTATATTGTCCGAATTTTGCGACCTTCGGGTAATGCGATCACGTACATCAATCGGTGATGTGTTTCGGTGATTACGGTCTTGTTTATCATCAAACCGTCGTTGTTTGTCTTGTGGTAGACGTCCAATCGGTGTCATCGGTGGTGGTATTAGTGGACGTTTCTTTTCGCTGTAATTTTTGATATCACACTTAACGGTAAACAAACCAATTTGAGGTATCCGCGGACTACTGCCGGAACACCTAAACGATTTGTTATGCGATTTGATCGGCTCCTGTCGTCGACATTGACGTTTCCAATGATATTCGGTGAAACCGTGTCGAAGACATCGAGGACAAGGAGTCGGCGGTATGTCATACTTACGATTGTCTTTACGATTAATGCGATTATTTTCGGTGACAATACCGACTTTTTTGACTGTCATATGTGCGACTTTCGGTTTATTCGAGATATGTCGTTGACTTCGCAGGCGCACAGTTGTCTTCATTTCTGCGATGTCGAGTCCAACGAGAACATCGTACGCGATGTCCATTACGTGAATCGTTACGTATTCGGTGTGTCCGTCCATTTGAATCTTAACGTTGACGACACCGAGTGTATACTTATCGCCGGCGATGGTACCTACTTTGGTCTTATGTCGCGCGTCCGGTCGGAGTTTCATTTGTTTTGCGACATCCTTCGATAAGATAGTAATGTCGGCGCCATTATCTATGAAAGCTCGTACGGGTTTGTCATTAATTCGTATGTCTCGATATCGTTCAGTATGCGAGACAGCGTTAACCACTGGATCCGGATTTTTCGGTTCTGTTCTCGGACAGACGCGCATCCAGTGATATTCGGTTATGCCGTGTCGTCGGCATCGTGGACATGGAGTCGGTGGCCTATCATTGTTACCATTCTGTCGCTTTTTCCAACGATTACGTTTAGGTTGGCCGTCTTCGTCGTCGATAGCGTTTACGTTAAAACTTTTGTTTCTTTTTCGTGTCTCTTCGACGAGAAGCGCTATCTGAAGCCATTCTTGAGGCGATGTCGGTCGTTGACAGGCAATCATCGGCCTGTAATAGTCGGGCATACCTTTGGTTAATAGACCTATCTGTTGGTCGTCGGAGGCGCGCGCTTCATCCAGAAGGCGGCGCATTTCGTGATAGTACGTGAGTACGCTTTCATTAGCTTTGAGTTTTCGGTCGGAGGCTTCAACAAGACCGTGACCAACCATACGACCAAAACGCGCAATCATAAGAGATCGGCATTCGGCCCAGGTCAGGTTTGGAAGTTTTCGGGCGACTTCACGACAATACCAACTGAAGGCATCGCCGGTCAAGTGCTTGGCGAGCGCAAGCAGCCTCTCGTAGTCGTTATAAGCGTATGTCAATGCGGTGAAGCCATCGAGCCATTCGTCGATAGGAGTTAAGGAGTAACCGCCTATAAATGGTTCACATAATTTCGAAGCGTGTTTTACGGTACTATGCGGTCGTGTTGTTAAGGTATCGGCATCGGAGTCCAATCTCTGTACGCTTGTAGTCGATAAACTCGATGCCGTATTGCGATTGTTAATCACATTTCGTGCGGCGGCGGCCACTTGTGCAGCTCTGGTCAGCGTTGCCAGACGTTGTGCTAACCCATCCTGTGTCGGGTCGTCAGCCATATCGCGGGACAATGCTTCTAAGTCTGAAGCGATTGACGATAAGTCTTCATTCGTGTCTTCGGAAATCGGGTTGAGTCCGTTCGCACCCGTCGGTACATTCAGTTCGTTACTGAATGGCGGTAGTGTGCGGCCACTACGTAACTGTTGAGACATCGTTGTCTTCGTATCGTTTCTTTAAAACGCTTTATTAACGAAAAAACCGTTGAATCGATGAGAGCCGTTAAGGCGACAAAAAACCGTTGTTTTTTGAATTCAAAAGTTTTCGGTGAGTAGGTCGTCGAAGTCGATTTACTTTCGATATCCGCGTAGGTAAGTATCTCAGTCGACTGCGCCAATTGAGTTGAGTGGCCGTTGATCAGGCGGCCAATAACTCGGGTTCGGTAAAGTATACGAAATAAGTACACGTTTTTATATGAAAGTAAACGATTTTATTTAATATAAAATATGCGACTAAACGCTGTGAAAGCTAAACGACTACTACTGTTGCGGAAACGGTAGAGTCGTTGAAATAATGCAATGCTGCCGCTTATGATGTTGTGTTGAGCGCCAGCTGTTAACACAATATATAGTAAGGGTTTGTTATAAATTTATACAGTATTTTTGTTCTCTAAGTGGTATCTTAAATGTCATATTTTGTGGTTTAGTCATCATAATCTATCAGTCCTTCAAAAAAACAAATAAAACTCTATTGTTTGAAACGAGAGAGAGAGAGAGAGAGAGAGGCAATGCCTACAAAAATCTAACACTTCCTGGTCATTGTTGATTAGTCAACCAGGGCGCACAGTCATATAACAGATCCCTTTATCGTACAGTATGTATATAAGTATGTTATATACAGTATATTATTTTATATACACTCGTATCTCTTTAATGAACTGTCTATAAAATAATGTGCTGTAAGGGCTCACACAATAAAAATAAAATTTGTTTTTTACCCCTAAACAGAAATCTCTGGGTTAAGACCATTATATAATTATTATATATATATATATATATATATATTTATTTTGTCTTTGATTTTGGTTTCTACAACAACACCAACAATAATAACTCCCACAACAACAACAACAACAATAACTAAAAACTAGTACATAGCTTATGATCTCATACTCTCTCACTATTGAATAACTAACTCATATTTATTTTATCTGAGATTCAAGAAAAATATTAATATTTTTGTTGCAAATTTATATTAAAAACACAATTTTTTGTGGATTTGTGTTTGTATGGTATGCTATCCTTTCAAAATGTTTTGGTTGTTATGTTATACCTGTATGTTTGAACTCATAATTTAAATCACCGCTAAAAAGTCATGTCCTGTGCTCTACCGGCTATGAGATCTCAGGTATCTCTCTCTCTCCCTCTCTTTTTTAACTTTGACTGTATATTTGTTCAGCTACTGTGATCATAGTGCGCACAGGTATGCTGGTTAGGTACGCTATGGTGTATATCCTCCACACATAAACACAACACACACATACATACACATAAAAATGACTTAACTTTTTTAATGTGTGATAAACTGTTTTTTGTAAAAAATTTTTTTTAGGAAAATTGTGTTTTTTATAATGTGTTTTTAGTTAAGTGTGAATTTTTCACACATAATGTTATACATTTAAAACCAATTGGCAACTGTTTTAGACAACATTTTCAAGTGGTTTTTGTATTGTTTTTCCAATTTAAAAGACAAGAGTAAACTTTTTTGAAAAATATAATTCAATTTGTTTGTTAATTACTGTTATATACAGACATATTAGTGATATAATGTTGTGTTTTCAGAGGTTATGCCTAAACAAAAACGGTATTTATCGCATAATTGATAATTTTTAAATAATAATTATTTATCGCATAATTAATTATTTATCCTTAATTATAAAATATAAATTACTTTCATGTAATGTATAAAAGTACTGTTATTTATAATTATTAATGTACATGAAATTTAATTAATTTTTATAATTATTTTTCATTGTTACTGTTGAAAATAATGTTGTTTACAAATAATATTAGTGATTGATTTTTTTCAAATAAAATATTTTTATATAATACTGTTATTAATATACTAAAAATAATAATTACTAGTTTTTAACAAACAAAAAAATAAATGTTTTATTATTCATAAATTTAATCTAATGTTTGTTTCATATTATTGTCATCCCATTCCACTACCGGCACACACATACATACAGGTCAACTAACAGGCGTCGACATGTGCTACAATGACAAGGGTGATATTGTCAAACAGGGTGAACAGTACTTTCCATTGGGATCCGATGTTTGCACACAGGTATGTGTCTAAAACACTATGTTTGATCATTTTTTAAAAACAATTTTGATATATTTTGTTGTTATTTTGGAATTTTAACTTAAATTGTAATTTTTAGTTGTATTTGTTGTGGACAAGTTGTTATTTGTTTGTTTTCTAAATTTTATATTTTAAGTATTTAATTATATTTATAAATTGATATTTTTTCAATTTATTTGTTGTTGTTGTCAAGAAAATTAATAACTAATATGTATGAATATTGTACACAAATAGACATTTTTTTGGAAATTTTTGTAAAACTTTTATCATTAATTTATTATAATTATAAATAGTAATTATCTAAAATAAAACTTTATATTTTAATTATTTAGTTATTTATACAGTTATAACATATATTATTTTAAAAATTCTTAAGATATAAGTTTAATTTAGTTTAACTGTATAGTAGTTTATTGTATAATATTTTTTATCTAAGCAATATCATTTTGATAATCCCGGACTAATTAACATATTAATTACATTTTTTTAAATTTTAAAATAATTTATGATTACTTCTATAGATTATACAATATGTTTGAGCACTACTGTACTATATATATAATGCAATTTACAAATAGTTTAAAAAACTAAAAAATATAATAACTTTTGGATTATTTTGCGGTATTTTTCAAGTTTATGTTAATATTTTGATTAAATATTATATAGTTGTATATAAAAATGTTTACTTATGTGAAATAATAATAATATATTGCTTTTGTGTATTTTTGTTATTTAAATATGAATATACGAAATCATAGACTATATTAAATGTGATGTGTATGAGAGCTAAACAAATAGTAAAAAAAAATATTATCCCAAATTATATTGATTTTTCATATCTGTAAATATTATAAAACTTTTCATTACATTGCATATATAATGCTCTATATGTTTATAAATGAGAGAAAATATTAATTTATAATAAAAAAAAGTTGTCATAAATATTATGACTATTTATTAAAACCTTTATATCATTTCATTCAGTTTTAAATAATTGTTATTTTTATGTCAATTCAAAGATATTTTTGATATTTTCAATAGAAATTTATATTTAAAACCTTTCATTTAGTTATAAGTTATAAGATCTATTGAATTAGACATTAGTCTTTATTGTATTGTTTTTTCACATTAATAATTAGTTAACTATGAATTTAATTGACATTTTTTTGTGTGCATACATATACAGTAGTTGTCAATTGAAAAACTGATTATTTTATTGTTAGTATATATAAATATGTGAAAATATTATATCGTTTTTAGGCCAAAAACAAAATGTTTTTTTTGTGTTTAATTTTTTCCAAATAATGTGTGAAAAATCTATAAGTTTTTTCTCTGGCATTATTCATACAATACATGTGTTTTGTGTTTTATTATATATTATTATATATTATTATTATGACAATTGAAACAATCGTTTACCGATTCACTGATAACTTAATGTATATATTATATATTGAAAACATTTTGTTAATGTTATAACATTAAACATATCATTATTAAACAGTTTTGTTGATAAATAACATTTTTATTTATATATAAATATAGTGTATATACTTTAGTTTTTATTATTCATTTTATTGAAATAATATATTAAAAAGTAGTTATTTTTGGCACATAATGTTTTTATGTTTTTTTTATAATTAATTTTTTTTATAACTGAAATAAGTTTATCTACAATTGTCTATAATTTTAGTATAAAATATTTATAAAAATAAATATATTTTTATATTTTGTTTTTTTTAATAAAAAATAGTTTTATAATTTAATTATATTTTTAGCAATAAGTTTTTGCATTAAATAATAAATAAACAAAATATATAAAAAACTATATAATAATAAACATAATAATTCTATGCGCTCTATTAGTATTCAATTTATAATTATATATACGATATAAAAATAAACATATAATTAAACAAACAAAAAAATAAATCCTATTTTATTTTTGCTTTAATGAAATTTTTCTTTAATTGCATTTATAAACAATTTTTTTTTAATAAAAATTATTATTATAAATACAATTCAACTTTTGCCTTCCCCTCCTTAACAGTGCACTTGTCTTAACGGTCGGCCAGAGATGTGTATAAGCGTACTGTGCTCTCCACCCCAACAGTGTCGGTAAGTTTTTAAGTTTTTAAATAATAATTATGTTTTGATTAAACAAGTAATTTGAAATATTTATTTTTTAAATATATATACCCTACTGTAGTATATATATTGTATATTATGTATTTAATGATTATATTTTAATATATCAATAGGTATTATACTGTAGATAAAAATCTAATGGGTGGGTGTTATAACAATTATTATTAAATGGTATATCTATTTATTATCAGTCAAAAATTGTTTTTTACTGATTAATAAATTTTTTTTGCAAATAATTGTTTTCTAACAACTGTTTTGCGATTATACGATATATATCTGATATATTGATCACTTTTTCTTGGGTGTAGTTTTAAAAAATTAAAATTAATTTATATATGATATAAATACACTATTAATGATATTAGATTTAGGCAATGAGTTTAATGAGTTTATGTTAAATTTGTGGTTTCAAAACAATATATATATTATCGCAAATGTATATAATTTTTAGCGATTAATTAATTGTATAATTTACGTCATTTACTAATGATAACCGCAAATTGTAGTCAATTTCATGCCGTAAACGGCAAGTGCTGTGAATTTGTATGTTTGGACGGAGACTTTGGTGCCAACAGTGGTATCAAAATACTCAATACAAGTATCATTAGAGGAACCGGTGGCGACAATAGGACTCACGGATCAGTTACCACTAATAGCTTGGGTTTGTATTAATTAATAAATATAATATAACTAAAAATAACTTTTAAACAAATTATTTGCACACTCATTATAATTATAATAATACTGTAATATATTATAGTAATATTGAACTCGAAAATATAAATATAAATTAATTTTTTTTTAAACAACTAATCTTATTGTTTTATACATAATTATTTTGAGGACAAATACTATTTGAATGCTTACTATATTTTAATTTAAATTTAAAAGAAAAAACAAAACAAACAAATTATTTTATTAATTATTAAAACAATAGGTCTTCGGCTAATTGCCAGTACTATCACATCATTTCTGATTTTGGCGCTACTCTTGTTTATGATTCACCGATTAAGACAAAGGAGGCTATTGTTAATGATTAGAAGTAAGTGTTGACCTACTCTTACATATATAAGATATACGATATATATATATATATATCGTATATAATAAGTTCAATGATATAGTAATTTCGATTGAAAAAAATACTTTTAAAAATAAATTGCATATCATATCTATGTATGTCTGTGTGTGTGAAAAAATATTAAATTAATTGCAGTTAATTATAATTTACTTATTATTATTAATAGGACTCCAAACCCGGCGTTTAGAGCAAGTAAATGGTCTGTCGGCGGAAAACCCTAATCTCGGTTATCTGAACGAACCGTACGAGTTTGGCGGGTCATTCACCGAACCGCCGCCACCGTACACACTATGGAAGCCTCCCGAACAATATATACCGCCCGGTGAGGCGCCGCCACCTTACGATGACTCGTTAGGTGTGACAGTTGTTCCCTGTTTTGACCAGTCATTCAATAATAATAATAATAATAACAGCTACAATAATGGGAACGGTAGGGTCAACATAGCAAACTATGCGCTCGGATCGCCGACACCATTTCAACAGACACAGCTGTTGACTACAGCCGCCAATAATAGGCCGACACTGTATGTCCGTAGTTCGCCATTCCTCTCCACAGGCAGTACGGCCACCACCACTACAACACTGGGCGCACCCATAGTCGACACTATCAGCTCCGACGGTTGTTACGAGCACATCACTATCGTACGCATCAACGACACGCCGGGTAATACAGTGACCATACTATCGAACAGTGATAATACAGTTGGTTATGGCGTCGGTGGTGATGACAATCGCCGAGCATTATGTGAGTCTAATTCTATGTCATCCATAGCCAGCACCAGTAGCTCGTCGTCGTCTACGACGTCATCGACACGGGGCGATCCGCTACAGTCGCCCACCAATTGTTCAGTCAGTAGTTCGTCGACATCGACGCAGTCAACGGTTAGACATCAGGACAACAATCATACCATTAGCCGACTATAAGACTTGAATGACTTTGTTTTTTCTCAGATGTCATTGTTATTGTTATTTAAAAAAATCGCAATTCATATATAGATATATTAATAGTAATTAATATAAACAAATTGTTGTGTTTTTCAATTGACATAAAACCCATAAATGACATTATTATAAACTGATCTCATGTGTGACACCCGATACACTCAACAACAACAACACCAACAAAAACTACTATCACTGAATCTCATCCATACTATCGCATAGTGGGAGAGGAGGGAGAGTAGGTGTCAGTAGCACTCTCCTGATCGTAGCAGGAGATACCAACTCTTTAAAAAAATAAATGCTATCAAATAAATCCTATCTCTCCCACTGAAAAAAAGTCATTAAATATTGGATTGTTTTTTGCCACTCTTTTATTACACTTATTGTAATCACACACAAACACACTCACAGTTGATGACAAGTCAATTGCAGTATACACCGGGTGGGGTGGTGTGGGTTCATTGTACCCAACCATCAGACATACCGGTGCGCTTGTGATTGATTTCTGGACGAATGGAACTGACAGAAGAAATTGGAAACTCAACTAATTTCGATTACTTCTTATTGTTTCATTAAATATCTTGTGGTATAAATAGTACTGCATTTTACTAGTTTTTAACCATCACTTTCATACAACATCATCACTAACAACACAAACACTTTAAAATCTCTATCTGTGTCTTTCAAAGAGCTGCTGCTGTGTATCCCAAAGATATCTCCTTTAAACAACAACAACAACAACATCACCACAACTACAGAAAAGAAATATGATTTTCGATTGTCTTCTTTATTTAAGTAGACTTTTGTTGGACTGTGCCTATCGTTTGATGTGCTGTTGTCTTACAAAAGTCATATAAAATTTCATATTTATTATATAATTACAATTAAAAGGTAAGATAAAAACTGATTAATATTTATTATTATTAATGAGATTAACTAATCAATTGGTGATCTAATGATATGACATTGTTTTCAACCATTTTATAGCAATCAAGACTACAGACCGGGCGTCCAGTCTTAGACATTGTATACTTCTTGGCGTTTTGACAGCCATTACGGCAACACTCGACCACTGCAGCCTTATTGCCGCCCGATTTAGCCACCGGGCGGCCAGCACTAGGCCTGGGCCACAGCTGATCAAACGACAAGCCTTCCGGAAGACAGATGTAAATCCCTGTTTGACAGTTCTTGTAAGTGATTCGCGGAGTCTCCACAACAACGATCTTTCTTTTCTTGGCTTTCTGTGCCAACTCATGCCGTTTCCTCAACAGCCGTTCAATAGTCTGTTTCCTATCCTTTTCGCGCTTTTCTTCAGCCAGTTGTCTTCGGCGACGATCTTTCAGAAGTTTACGTTCAGTCAACAGCTCATCGCCGGCCATATTCTTTTCGACGGCGGCGGCGACCGACTCGTGTACTGAAGCCGATGTCGACGCCGACGAAGAGTAGATCCCTTTAGTCATGGAATCTGTCTTTCCTTTCAACGACTTGTTCTCCAAAAGAGCTCTCTATTATATATATAATAATTTATCGTATATATTAATATATAGACATAGATATAGATAATACCAATATTATACAAAAAAAACAATTAAATTTAAATGTCTTTAAAAAATACATTAAATATATGATTAGAAAATTAACTACTATTTTATTAATAATAAATTTTAAAAAAAATAATTGTCATTAAAAAATAAAAAGCAAAGATTGTATATAAAAGTAATGCTAATTATAATTGAATTAAAAAACAAAACAAGAAATTAGTCACAACTTTATTGATTAACTTTCTATCCATTAATGTCAACAACAACTGTATTGTCGGCACTAACCTGTCTGGCGGTCATCAGTTTCGGGTCGCGAATCTTGCGTAGTTCGTCGTCCACTTCATGGTATGCTCGGCCCTCTTCTAGTTCGTCCAACCACTGGTCATCATCTTTATCGGCCAATACTTGATGGTCGTCATTGTCGTTGTCCAAGTTATCGTCCATCTCTTCCTGTTCGTAGTCATCATCGTTATCGACTATCTCTTCGTCGTTGTCATCGTCGTCTTCTTCCTCTTCATCATCAAACACACCACTCATCGACAAATCTAACTGTTCTTCACTAACTGTTACATCACTGGCCGATGCTTTTGAAAGAGACAATCAATAAACTGATTGATCAAATTGTTTTTGGATATACTAACTGCTGGTCGCTTCGGTATTGTCCGTAACAATGGTGGTCTTCGTCGTCGTCGACGATGACTTTTTGATACTGTTTGGACACAAAAACTATTGTCAAACAAGTTGTTCAACAAAAACAAAAATACAAACCATTTGTCGATCGACAGGATATCGCCGCCCACTTTGATGGTCACTTTGAGCGGACTCTGTGAAGTAGTCGTAGTGGTCACCAATCGGTCGGTCATTGTATTGACTGGTCATTACATGTTGTCATTGTTTTCGTTGTTGTTTTCGGATACAGAATATTCTGTATGAATCATATCAATGAACAGATGATAATAACAAACAATTTATTTTGTTTATGTATTGTTACAAAGTTTTTGACAAAAATAATAATAAAAAAAAACATTTGAAATGCCATTGAAATTGAATGCAAACACAAACACATATTTTTCACATAATTTATGCTTAACTTTCATCTCATAATTTATAGTTGTATTTCAATGACATCTATTAGGATAGCTGTGCCCTAAAAAACAAGTGTATGTATGTGTGTGTAGGGTATACCCCCAAATTGTGAATAAACAAAAAGGTGTCTAAAGATTGTTGTTATTTACCGGTAATTGTATTTATTTATTTTTTTACAAAAAAAAGTCAACTGTCCCCATAATTTACTCACAGTAATGTCATACACAATAAGAGAGGGCGTCAAAGATGACTGTGCGGCCATCGAACAGCTAATTAAAGAGCTGGCCGTTTACGAGCGTATGCCCGACGGACCGAAAATTGATCGCACGATACTAGAGAGGGACGGTTTCGGTGATGGACCGACCGGTCGACTATTTCGGACGTTTGTGGCCCAACTTGACGACGACAACAGCAAACAGATAGTAGGCTATGCTTTGTATTTCTATAAGTACTCGACGTGGGAGGGAAAGGGTATTTGGTTGGAAGATCTATATGTTAGGCCTGAATATCGCGGAAAAAGTATCGGTTTGTCTCTGTTCGGCGCAGTGGCCAACCAGGCCGTCCTCGAAGACTGTTGTCGACTCGAGTGGAACTGTCTTGACTGGAATCAAAGCTCCATTTGTTTCTACAAAAAGCTTAACGGTGTCGATCTGACTGAGTCCGAGGGCTGGCATACGTTCCGATTGACGCCCGAACACTTCAGACAACTGGCCAACAAATATGGTCAACAGTGATGACAATAGTTACGATGATTTTATAATTGTTAGTAAATAGTGTTAATAAAAGTGTCAATTATTTATATTTTAAATGTTTGCTATTTTTACTGTATTAGAGAAACAAATAAAAATTTTTAATACTATAATTTTTGTAAACTTTGTATGACTTATTTTTAAAAAATAAACAATCAAATTTATTAAATAATGAAATATTTTTATGAATATACTGTATTATGTATTATTATTCCTATAAATGTTAGTACCATATGATTTATTTATAATATAAATTTTATATATCCTTGAAAACCAATATTTTATAAACTTTGCACAACTATTTTAATGTTAAATATTATTTCTACTGTATTTTATACTTTAAGTAAATATTTTATTTAGTGTATCCACAAAAAAATTTAACAAAATCTGGTAATTAGCAGTATTTTATACTATCTTTATATTGTAAATGTGTATCTATACTGCACATAACCTAGCTAAAATTTGCAAAATAAAATAATTGATATTTTGTTTTTGTTGTTAAATTAATTTAAAAAATTAGTTGAATACTTGATTTTAATGCTAATAGTTTGACAAATAATGTCGTTTACAATAAGGAAAGGAGTGAAAGAGGACAGCAGTGAATTACGCCAATTGTTTCGAGAGTTGGCTATATATCAGAATCTGGACGGCAATCGGGTAGTCGAAGTCCAGGTGATAGAAAAAGATGGATTCGGTGACCAACCGGAGTGTCTACAGTTTCAAACGTTTGTCGCCCAACACAATGATAGCCAACAACTGGTCGGATTTGCATTGTATTATCCAAAGTACTCGGCCTGGACTGGTCGGGGCGTATGGATGGAACACTTGTACGTTAGTCCCGAATGCCGTGGAACGGGTATCGGTCGCCAATTGATGGCAGCTGTGGCTAAACAAGCGCTGGCCGACGGATGCGCACGAATGGAATGGGATGTATTTGTCTGGAATACCGGTGCTATGTCTATGTATAAGAAGTTGGGTGCCATTGATTTGGGCGAATCAAGCGAACAGACAAAAGTGTTTCGGCTGTTTGGCCAAACTTTAACACAATTAGCTCAGGGATGTCAATCACAATAGTAACAACATTTTTGTGTGTTATTGTATTATTATAATAATATTAATTAATAATTAAAATTTCTTATTAAATTTTTTGTTTATATTTCATTGAAATGACCTTGATGACATATTGGTCTAAATTGATAAATGCCTTATTTATATATTTTCTAAATATATAAATGTGCAAAATTATCTATAAATATAAAATAATAATAACTTAATTATTTTAAAATTAGATATTTTTCAACTACTGTATTAAAAATTAATATTTAATGATTAATAAATAACTAATATTAAGTAAAAAAAATGTTTGAGAAAAATAATAATTATATCATTATTATTATACAATTTTTTTGTGAATCGCTGTATTTATAATTTATTATATAATTATACATAAAATCTATGATTAGTAAAAAAAACATAATCTAATTTTGTATATACAGTATACTAAATTTTTGAAATTTTTATAACAATTTGTTTTAATGAATTTTATTTATTTATAATTATTTAATTTTAAAAAAAAAGTATTTCAATGTCTTGTATAAGTATGTGAGAGTCATATTTATATCTTAATTTTAAAAATTTAATTCTCTATTGGGTTAGGACATGAAATAAAATACTGTAAAACTAAATATTTATGAAAGGTATATACAGTACACTTATAAGATATATGATATAATATACATTCATTCAATATTCATAAATATAGAAATAAAAGTAATTATTTTTATTATAACATAAATCATAGAAACTAATAATTATTTTTAATAAATATTTTTATGATATCAATCAGTCACCAGATTTATCAATAGTAAATATGTTTCATTCATGTTTACAAGATTATCTATGCATTGAATGTAAATGCAATATAAGTTTTAATATATGATACTAAATAATAAAATTTATGTCTAATAAAAAAATAGCAATAAATATTTTATAAAATTTTTAATGAAAATTACAATTTTGTCTATTTGTTTGTATCCCTAATCGGCAAAGTTTTCTCTGTCCAGAAAACCTCTACCAAAGCCTTTAAATTTAATTTGCGTTCAAATATTTCGCGCCCCGTATTGCGTGAAGTGTTTATTATTGCGCGAAAAGTGCAGCGCATCGATGGTTACAATTCGGGTGATATGACGTCTCCATTGATCTGATCGACATAATTACCGGTAGTTTATGATAAACTGTATGTTTTTTTATGAACACAACCTGAGATTTATGACACTGATGTCAATGTATTTGTTGATGAAATCACGAATTTGCATGAATCCCGAAAACCCTGCGTCTTCTATCAATCCATGGGAATTAGTTTTCGGCAAATTGACACAATTAGCTCAGGTATCTCAGTAATAGTAATTATTTAATATATTAGTTTTTTATGTAATAATAATAATAATTTTTTTATATTTCATTAAAATGACCTTGATGATAATGTAAATTGATAAATGGTTTTATTTTTTATATTTAAAAAATATCTATAAATAAAAAAAAATAACTTAATTAAAAATTAACCATTTTTGTTTTGTTTATTAATAAGTAATATTTAATGATTAATAAAAACAATATTAATTAAACAGTGTTTAAGAATAATAATAATGTTTATTATAAGGAAAGGTATTAAAGAGGACTGTGAGGCCATAATAAGTATGTTTAAAGAGTTTATCGTCTATCAAATGCTCGACACCGACAAAGTGGTCGATTTGAAAGAATTACAAGACATTGGATTCGATGAACAATGTTCTGTGTTTCGGCTATTAGTTGCCGAAAATAGTGCCGACAAACAAATCGTTGGTTTTATTTTGTATTACACAAAATACTCGCTCATATCGGGCAAAGGTATTTGGATGGATGACTTATATGTCAGCCAACAGTGTCGTGGATCGGGTATGGGTCGGGCACTAATGTCGGCACTGGCCAAACAAGCGGCCAATAAATCGTACGATTATATAGACTGGCGGTGTTTAAGCTGGAATACAAGTGCCCTGTCTTTCTATAAGCATATGGGAAGTATTAACATATCGGAAACGTATGGCATATATAATCACAAGTTTGCTTTGTTTGGCGCCGAAGGCTTAAGATTAGTAGCCGACAATTATGCCGACAATTCAATATTCACTGTTAGAAAATACCGTACAGAGGACTGGCATGAATTGAACCAATTGTTTAATAATTGTCTAAAATATGAGAAGCAAGAGATAGATAGAAGCAAACCTTTAGAAATGCATGAATTCAACGAACAGTTAGATATTGGACTATTTCGGGTGTTTGTGGCACAGCTTAAGGACAACAATAACAAATCGCTTATTGGTTTTGTATTGTTTTACCAAAATTATTGGCTAAACATTGGCAAAGGTGTTTGGATAGAGCACATGTATGTCGAAGATGAGTATAAAAATCTAGATGTTTCTGATATGCTAATGACTGCAGTGGCCAAACATACTGTCCAACATTCGGGTTTGACTATGGGATGGGCTTATACTGAATATATGAAACAATTTGTCGATTCGTGCAGACAATTGTGTGCCAACTATTTGCGGGATAATTCAAATTCACATTTATTTCATCTGAATAATCATCATTTAATACAACTAATAAATTTAGATAATTAAATATTGTTATAAATAAATATTGTTATTTATATAAAATGTATTTTTAAATAAAACATTAATTAAAAAATAAATAAATAGTACTAAAAATTACAAACATACATTTAAATATCAATAATTTCAAATTTAATTTATATTAGTCATCATACAGTTACAGCAATAATTATGTCTAATTGACTCATAGATGTACAGTACATTAAATAAGCTAGATAAATTCACTATATAAAATACAGTATATTAATTAAAAAATTATTTAATTTATTTAAAGTTAATTGTATACATTTATTAGTCAAATTACCACAATTGCTCTAATTGTATGATCATATTTTAAAACAAACTTTAAAAAGTTTATTTTCTGAAATGTATGTGTGTGTGTCTGTTTGTTTGTTTGTTTGCGAAATTTAATATATTGTCAAAATTATTTAAATATTCAAAATGTGTTTGACGTGTATCTCCAGTTGTTTGAGATTTCATATTAATACAGTTTACAAATTATCAAAATATCTGTAATTTAAAATAAATTATTTATTATTTTTCTTTGTAAAATAATTAAATTAAAAATTATTAATGTTAAAATAGAAATAATTAACTTATGGTAAGCTAATAAGCTACTTATATTAAAACTCAATTAGTATTTATATTTTTCATTAATATTAAATTTTACATTAATTAAAAAAACTGGCCTAAGGCGCCAAAAACTTTTATGGGACCCCCTAACTTTTTGGTTTTTAGGCCAAGGGGGTAAATTGAAAAAATCTTCTAAATAAGTTTAATTTTTTTTATATTAATCATCAAATTTTAATTATAGACTCACAATCAAAAGCGTAGAGTTTTACACTTTTTTGGAGTATTAAACAAGGTAGATTAATCACTATTAATATAAAATCAAAAATTATTAATTATTTTTAGATTATAAATTAAAACCTAGATTTTTTTAAATAGGCTATACATTAATCCACCAATTGCACCAAAACCAATTGGATTTAAAATGGATACTGGTGATATTGGTGAAGTCAAGGTACTGGCAAAAAATGGTATCACTGATAGCAATGGGTTGAGACCAACAATAGTAAACAATGGCCAACCCGTTTCAAATACATCGACCATATCCACAAATTTAGCAGTGTTTCCATCACCTCCACTTCCAAGTTGCCTATCAATAAACTGTCCGGCCAAATATCTACCAAGCAAACCACCCACTGTACCTCCAACCAGTCCACCAATTATAGCGCCAATAGGCGCCCCTATGACTGCACCAACACCGCCAAACAATGAGCCAACACAGGCACCGATAGCGGCACCCAATACAGCGCCACATTTGGCACCTATTGCGCCGCCAATCCATCCGCCGGCAATTTCGGCGATTGTTCTGATTGTTCTCATCGGTAAAACATGATTATCATCTGCGGTGCAGTCTTCGTAAATGGCGGCACAGATCCGGACGCCATCGATGATTACGGCTGCGATGGTCAACCATTTTGAAACACCTTTCAGTATTTTGTCGACTTTATCGGCACAATCTATAAGACTGGCCGGCACTCGGATGTGAGGATTATTTGCATTAGAAAAGCCTTTCGGATCGATATTGATGTGCGGACTTTGCGAAACTCCTTTACCGCCGTGAGGATTGTCAAAACGTATAATTGGCGCACCTGTAGGTTAAATAATTATTATTTTATATACAGTATAGTATAATATTGATACAAAAAATTATACTAATTACTAATTATTACTATTTATATGACTACTGGTAATAATAATAATCAAATTAAAAAAAAAATTTACCTTTAGGATATCCATCTTGACCTAATCTGCCGAGATTGCCATCAATAATACCTGCACGGGTAGCTTTATTTAAATGTTCGGTAGGTATGAGCCGAAAACGTGTTTGACATTTATGGCCAGTTGTTATAGCTTCGAGAAATTTACCAGTATCATTTAAAACCACAGTCGACCAGTTTACTTTATTATTATTATCATCGCTTTTAGACATATTATGTTTTATCAATTACTAAAATATGATTTTAAAAAAATAATTTTAGCAAAATTATATAATTAATACTTATAATAATAATAATATAAAATATTTAAATATTAAGCATTATTAATTATAGATAATCTTTGATTTAAAATATATCCCTATTAAATCTAGTAATATTAAGTTTCTATTAAACTTAAAATTTTTAATTATATAAATATAAATATTTCTATTTATTTTTTATTTGTTAAATTCAAATTATATGACTTAAATTTGTTAATAATAGAAATAAATTGTTATATACCTAAATTTAACTTATTATTATTATTACTAGAAAATTTTTCTTAAAAATATAAAGTTACATCAATTTTATTAAAAGTAAAATATTTTCAGCAAATTTTTAGAATTAATATATTTTAATATATTAAATAGTATTTGAAACTTATTAGGCAATTAAATGCATACGTGATCACTTAAACACATTTATAAATAAACCTTGATTTTAAAATAGTTTATTTATTGATGTAATGTTATTTTATATACAATACTATATGATTGTTGAGCTGAAAAGTTTATATAAAGTTTATTAAAATATAAATTGCAATTTTTAGTAGTTATTTTAGTGAAATATTAAATAGTTTATATTATAAACTATTTAATATTTCACTAAAATAACTACTAAAAATTGCAATTTATATTTTGTGATAATAATTTAACTAAATATTTAATAATGTAATAATCTGTTTTTTTACTAGTGTAATGTCTATCATTTAATAAATTTATTTTTTTTTAAAAATTATATGCAATGACTTAGCAATTAGTGTATAAAAATTATAATAATTTTTTGTTGCTTTGAAATAATATTGTCAATTTTATTACTTTTAAATAAATATCTACAGTAATTCAATTAAATTATAATATAAACTAAAATATTTTTTTAGTGTATATTTTTAATTTATGTTTATAACTATATATTCATAAAAATGAATATAAATCTTGAAAACTTAACTAATAATATTATTTCAATTACACCCATCAATATCAGTGAAAATAATCAGCAAAGTAATAATGATATCAATTGTGAATCAGACAGTCAATCCTGGATTAATAACAAGATTGAAATTGCAAACAAAATATTTCAGTCACCATCAGCAGCAACAACAACAACAACGATTGTGGTAACAAAATGGCCATTGGATGACATATTGACAGTGGCTTCGGGAGAGTTTTTCAACCAACTGTTCCAAAACATGGATTATCTAATTGAAACTTACAATCTAATCACTAAAAAGTTTACATTTGAGTCCAATGATTATATCATCACATGTCTGTGCAATACCCCTCCCCCGGTCATTGGTGATCTAGTAGATAGCTATCAGTTTACCATGGGCAATTTGTTTTTGATTTGCCACCAAAATAAGCTAGCTAATAATAGTATTGGTGACGATATAATGTGCGATATAATTGAAGTGCTCAAAAATAGCACATTTATGTCAATGCCTAATATTAAATGTGAAATGTTAGCCAGCTCATCGGATGGATGCCAATTGTTATGGTTTAATCCCAGTAAAGATTTATTATGATTTACTAATAATAGTAGTTATAACTATATATCTAACAAAAAAGTTTATTAATTTAAAAGTTTAAAATATATTATTTTTAATACAGTTTAATATTTTTAATTTAAGTAGCATTACTTGTTTTGCAATATAGTATAATATAGTAACTATGATATATCAATATATAAAAATTTTCAAAAATAATTTATGTAGTATATTAATTTATTATAATAATAAAAATTAATAAATCTAATTATTTAATTATATCTAAAAATGTATTTTTTGATTCTATAATAAAATCTAATAAACTTTTGCAATTATCAGCAGACACTTGGCTTCTGTAGTCGGCGTATGCTATCAGTGCCCGATGCAATTGTCCCACATTTATGTTTGTGTCGACAATAAACTTATTGATATTATCCAACCGTGTCTTGAGTTTTGGATTATTGAACGTAAAGTATACTAAATCACGGTTCACCTGCGAGGATGCCATCAACTGGATCAACGTTTTAAGCTCCGGGTCGCCATTGTATGCACCGCAACCCCAATTGCCCGACGCAATAGCGCTCAGGTATTCGGGTTCATTGGTATCTCTGTCCAGAAAACCTGCGAAAGCCTTATTCAATTCGCGTTCAAACTTTTCGCGGCCGTATTGCACGTGTTTATTGCCGTGCGAAAAATGCAGCGCATCGATGGCTATAATACGGGTGGCGCGACGTCTCCCGTTGATCTGATGGTGTTTGATCCACATAATCACCCGTCCATTTGAATGTCTTTGAATAGCCTGAGTAAGTGTTGAACTGTTCGGTACCGTATATATGGACGGCTTCGGTACCCAATTGGCGTTCGGTAAACAATCGGGCGACCAATAGTTCTGGATTTATAACAAATCGGATCTCTTCCTGAACACAACCGCGACTTAAGACACCGCCGCCAATGTTTTTATTGGCAAAATCTATTTGCATGAATCCCGAACCTTCCGTCTCTATTAATCCCTCAGTCATAGGTACCAGTTTTCGGATAGTTTTTTCCGACTCAGACCAATCGGGCAGATCGTTGTACTGAAGATAACGGCGTTCAAAGCTGACCACTCCTGTGGGCATATTTCTGATTACACGACGAAAATAGTTGACAATACATTTCAATTTCTGTAGTTTTGTTGTCGAGTCAGCTCCTCGTTGACCGTGATTTGTGAACAAACTGTTAGATAAAAGTATAAAGATTTTAAATAATTTTTTAATAGTATTAAAAATAGACAGTTATTTTGTTTTATTTCATAGATGATTACCTCAAGAAGTTGGTCACCGGTAGGTTCTGGTTCGGGCCTTTGCATTGATTTCGTTGAGGAAAAGTACACAAAAAACTGTTCGCCAAAAGACAGGCGCACTGTTGTTGACTGAGAAATAATGTCCGATTTTGTCGTTGTCTTAACAGTGGAATCGATTGGGTGACAATTTTAGGCAAACTTAATGCCAATCGAGACATTTGTGGTATAATTTCATTAAACAGTTCATCCCTTTCCCGATCGTTACAGATATTTGTGACAAACGTTTCGAAAACATCAAACTTTTTGTCGCCGATATCCGGATTATATGCTTTGATTGCTCTTTCAAATTGTTCGGCACTTTTGATTTCGGCCGATAAACTTTCGGTAATAACCATCCAATATGTTTGATCAGTTTGTGCTAACTTTCCGTCGGTTATGACAATATTTTCGGGACTGTTCGGCATCTTTACATGATTTTCATCCCAATGGTCGACATACTGATCGGGATAGGGCTTTGGTAATACTGTGTTATCACAATCGAGATCCGGTCTATAGAGAACATATCGTTCATCAATGGCCACTACTTGTTCGGTCATCGGTGGCAAACAATCGGGCATTTGATTCAATGCCTGCAAAACTTCTAGATTTTCAACACTAGTTGTCATAATTATTGTTACGTCATATACAGTAAAAATATCACAAATTTAATTTATACAATATGTCTATGAATGACTTCAATAAAAATTTTTAAAAAATCAAATATAATTTATTGAATTACATATTTAACAATTATAAAGCATATATAACTGCAATTAAGATTGTAATGAAAGTAAAGTTTTTGCTCTTATATAAGAAACAAATTTAAATAAATATATTTTATTGATAGATATGAAAATTTTACGTTTTGTATTGCAATATGAAATGCATAAAACATTTTATTAACGTTTACATTGAAATCTATAAACACTTTTAAAAATCTATGTCAATAATACGTATGTAATATGAAATCAATTGTAAATTACCAGTAAAAGTATATTTATTATTGTTGTTGTTATTTTTATACAAAATTGTTATTATTGATTATACAAATAAATAAACACATACATACATATACTGCAAAATATATTATTGTATCTGTATATAATTTTATGTATAATATAACATTAGATGACCTTGATAATCGATGTAAAACATAATATGGAATATAAAATACGTATTAAAAATGTTATTAAAAAACTTTTTGTTAAGTTTAAAATTCTGTAAACAACATATATTAATTTATTTATAATTTTTGTATAAAACAATTGCATTAAAAAAATTACAATATTTACAAAAAAATAGTTAAACTAATATAAAATTGTATTAAAGAAATAATAATTCAAACCTTATTTTTTGAAAAAAATACTTTAAGAATTAAATACTAATTAATAAATCATTTTAATATGTGATTAACGATAATGATGTAGAAATGTTGGCTATAGTCCATAGCCCAGTAAATAATTATTAGATTTACTACTAATTTAATTTATAATTTTACAAAAATTTACAAAAAAAAATATTTTATTTATTTATTACTATAAAAGAATAATTAACTTAATAACTTTAAATATTTATTTAAATGAAAATAATTTAGTTATCCATTTTTTAGTTATCAAATTTTTTCCATCTATAATAAAATCAAATAAATTTTTGCAATTTTTAACCGACACTTGATTCCGGTAGTTGTCATAATCTACGAGTGCCCGATGCAATTGTCCCACATTTATGTTTTTGTCGACAATAAACTTATTGATATTATCCAACCGTGTCTTGAGTTGTGGATTATCGAACGTAAAGTATACCAAATCCCGGTTCACCTGCGAGACTGCCATCAACTGAACCAAGGCTTTGAGCTCCGGGTCTCCATTGAATGCACCGCAACCCCAATTGCCCGATGCAATAGCGCTCAGGTATTCCGGTTCATCGGTATCTCTGTCCAGAAAACCTGCGAACGCCTTATTCAATTCGCGTTCAAATATTTCGCGGCCGTATTGCAAGTGTTTATTGTCGGACGAAAAATATATCGCATCGATGGCCACAATACGAGTGGTACGACGTCTCCATTGATCTGATGGTGTTTGATCCACATAATCACCCGTCCATTTGAATGTCATTGAATAGCCTGAGTATTTGTTGAACTGTTCGGTACCGTATATATGGACGGCTTCGGTACACAATTGTTGTTCGGTAAACAATCGGGCGACCAGTAGTTCCGGATTTATAACAAACCGGATCTCTTCCTGAACACAACCGCAACTTAAGACACCGCCGCCAATGTTTTTGTTGGCGAAATCTATTTGCATGAATCCCGAACCCGCCGTCTCTATCAATCCATCAGTCATTGGCACCAGTTTTCGGATTGTTTTTGTCGACTGAGACCAATCGGGCAAATCGTCTATTTGTAGATAACGGCGTTCAAAGCTGACCACTCCTGTGGGCATATTTCGGAGGACACGACGAAAATAGTTTACAATACATCTTAGTTTCTGGAGTTTTGTTGTCGAGTAAGCTCCTGATTGACCGTAATTTGTAAACAAACTGTTAGTTAAAAAGTATTAATATTTTTAGTAATATTAAAGCGGACAGTTGTTTTTCTGGATTACCTAAAAAAATTGGCAACCGGTAGGTTATAATTCGTGGCTTGAATTTCTTGATTTCGTTGAGGAAAAGTACAGAAAAAACTGTTCGCCAAAAGACAGGCGCACTGTTGTTGACTGAGAAATAGTGTCCGATTTTGTCGTTGTCTTAACAGTGGAATCGATTGGGTGACAATTTTAGGCAAACTTAATGCCAATCGAGACATTTGTGGTATAATTTCATTAAACAGTTCATCCCTTTCCCGATCGTTACAGATATTTGTGACAAACGTTTCGAAAACATCAAACTTTTTGTCGCCGATATCCGGATTGTATGCTTTGATTGCGGCTTCAAATTGTTCGGCACTTTTGATTTCGGCCGACAAACTTTCGGTAATAACCATCCAATATGTTTGATCAGTTTGTGCTAACTTTCCGTCGGTTATCACAATATTTTCTGGACTGTTTGGCATCTTTACATGATTTTCATCCCAATGGTCGACATACTGATCGGGATAGGGCTTTGGTAATACTGTGTTATCACAATCGAGATCCGGTCTATAGATAACATATCGTTCATCACTGGCTACCACTTGTTCGGTAATCGGTGGCAAACAATCGGGCATTTGATTTAATGCCTGCAAAACTTCTAGATTTTCAACACTAGTTGTCATAATTATTGTTATGTCATTTACAGTAAAATATAACAAATAAAGATATCCATAACTTTTTAATGGTCATAAAATATCACAGATATATTTTATACTATATTTGTTTATGAATTACTTAAATAAACTATAATTCATTAAATTTATTATTAAAAATTATATAACAATTATTATTGATTAATTAATAAATAAAAATTTATGTTTTGATTTCCAGTTATATTCTATGATAAAAGGAAATGTATAAAAAACATTTCATAAAAACCTTTACATTGAAATCTACTTTATTTCAATTATAATATGAAATTAACTGTAAATTTTATTTTGTTTTTGTTGCTGATTATGCAAAATGTTTATTTTATTAATATATAAACCCACACCCACGCATACTTCAAAATGTTCAATATATAATATACTTTATTTAATTTTAAGTAATACATAATATGTTTTTATTATAAAAACATTGGATAAACATATTAGATGACCTTGATAATTAATATATAATTTTAAATAAAATAAAATACGTATAAATAATGTTATTAAAAAAACTATTGCTTTTAAAATTGTTTAAATAACATGTAAAATAAATTCATATATAGATATTAATTTTTTTAGGTTTCAAATTGAAACTTTCAATATAAAGTATATTATTGTAATACAGTATAAAAACGATATATATATATATTAATATATAAAAGTGTATATTTTTTGTTTGATTACTATAAAACAAACAATTTAAGCAATAATATTGATCAAACATTTGCTATTAGAGTTAGTGTAACTTTATAAGCTAGCGAAATTTCCTTATAAATTTCCTTTTATTTTACCGGAAAATGTGTTATTTTCACTCCTTTCATTCATTAAAAAGGAAAATATATTTTATATTATTACAATAAATAGCACAAAAAACTTAAATAATTTGCATAAAATTTCAGAAATATATAAAAAAATAAATATTAATTCAATAAATTTAGATATACAGTACTTTTGATAAATACCATTCAAAATACAGTTTAATATGACATTTATTTTTTAAATTATAAGAAAATTTGACGTTTTTTTTTGTTAAATAGGTGATAGCAAAATTATATAAATTCCCTATGAATTCCCAGGGAAAATAAGGAACTTATGGATAATAAAACGATCAATATATTATCGAACCCTAATTGCAATAATTGATTATTGCCATTATGTGTATTAATCTATCAATATATATATACTTTTGAATTTGAATATTAAATGAAATTAACTGTAAATTTGTAAACTGTAAAATTAAAAATATAATACTTTATATTATTTGTATGTAATACAATATGTTTATTATTGACCGTAGATAAAAAAATATATAAGATGACCTTGATAATTATTTGAAAATTTTATATGAAATAAAATATGTATAAAAATAGTTATTTAAAAAAAATCCTATTATATTTAAAATTCTCTAAATAACAATGGAAAATAAATTCATACATATTTTTAAAGTGTTGTATATAATAAATTAATACAAAATATTATAGTTTACTTATATATATTTTATATAATATAATATTTAATATATTTATACTACACTTACACACGCTTATACACTTACTTATTAGTAATATTGATATATTTATATATCAACATATATAAATATTTACACAATTCAAATATTGTTAAAAATTAATATAATATTGAATGCAATATATAATAAATAATTATTATTAAAAATCACACTGATATTTACACTTAAATTATAAGCTTTTTTTTAAAAAAAATTAATTTAAGATTTTATAAACTAATTAACAATTTATATATTAATATATGATTAATGATGATTTTTGTAGAATTTTTAGTTAGCTTATCGGATGCCAATTGTTATGTCAAAATTACAGTAAATAGTTATTATAATTAATTAATTAATTATAATTTTAATAAAATATTTAATTGTTTGATTGCGGCTTCAAATTGTTCGGCACTTTTGATTTCGGCCGACAAACTTTCGGTAATAACCATCCAATATGTTTGACCTGTTTGTTCTGACTGTCCATCGGTTATAAAAAATTTTACGGACTTTTCGGCATTTATGGTCGACATACTGATCGGGATAGGGCTTTAGTAATACTGTGTTATCACAATCGAGATCTGGTCTATAGACAAAATATCGTTCATCACTGGCCATCAATTTTTTTCACTAATTACTATTCATTTAATTTTCATAATAACTTTTGATACTTTAATTTAAAGGTATTAATATATAAAATCTAAGATTATTAACAATAAGATAAAATTTTAATATTTATTCAAAAAATAAATTGAAAATAAATTTCATAACAAAAATAATTGTTTGATATACTAGAAGAATAACAGCTGAATCACAGAATAAAACATATAAATTCAGTTATCAGTTGTTTTAATTGCATATAAATTACACAACATTTTCAATGGCAGTCGGAGGTGGAGGAGGAAGTGGTGGCGTTGGTGTTAAAGTAAAGGGTGAAATGCGGGCCGCGATGATTGCGATTGAAAAGAAATTTGTCAATTGGAAGGCAATTGGCGAGCAATACACTGATCCGCTTCCGGCCAATGAAGCTCTACCGCCGGCAGAGATTGCTGTCTGCCGTAACAAAGGTATTGAATTTGTAAAAGAATTGGGTTCTGGCGGTTATGGTAAGGTCTGGCAGGTCCGATGCTCGCAACTATTATCAGCACAGCCACATCGTAACTATGTAAACGAAGACATGGCCTGTAAGATAATGTCGATTCTCCGATTCAAACGTCACAAGACTCCGGCCAAAGCTACTTCCGAAATGCTGACAGAATACAGTTTACACAAACGACTACAACATCCATATCTGGTCCGATCGGAAGATGCTTTTCATATTGTCGACGCCATGACTGGCTTTCCCTATGTCAGGCACCTGCACTTTATGGAACTGTGTGCCGGCAATCTTAGAGATCTGTTAAAATCGATGGGTAAAATGGGCGAATCAGAGGCCAAATCGTGGTTTCGTATGATGTGTGACGCACTCAGGTATTTGCACCGACAAAATATTAGCCATTTGGACATTAAGTTAGATAATATACTCTATTTATTTGATCCGCAAACCAGTGCCGCAGAGTTTAAACTATCCGATCTGGGTTTGGCCCGTTCGTGTAAATTCATTTCTGGTCGCATCGGTACCGAAATCTATATGGCACCCGAACAGCCTACGCGGGCAAAAATTCTGGCCGATCCTCTACTATCGCGTGCTATATACGCGACCCAACCGTGCGATATATATTCACTGGCACTGGCCGTTTGCGAAACACTTGGCGGTGTTAAAACACATATACAGACCAAACAGCTAGTGATTGGCATAAAAAATGAACAAATCCTTCGTCGTGTCCATATCTTAGGCACAGACATCAACACATTGGAGTTTTGTCAACTACTGCAAGGTATGTTAGCCACTGATCCAAAAACTAGATTCAATATTGAACAGGTAGCTCAACATCCATGGTATCTACAACCGTAATCTACTATAAGAAATATATTTCAAAGTATTTTTTGATTGTTTGTATGTTAGGACAGTATGTTTTGTAAATTACAATTTGTAATAAACAAAAAGTCAAGTTTGAAAATTTTCTATAACTATTACACAAACATCTATTATACAGTAAATTAAATATTAGTAATTTAATTGACATAATTGTTAGGATACATGTATTACTATTTATTTATACTAATTGGCTGTTAGTTTTTTAGACCCCTTTCCTTTTAAACAATATGACTAAATAGCGGTACAGTATTGTTAATAGATAGTGTGTGTGAGTTAGTATACAAATTGAATTATACATGAGTTATAATTTTTTTTTTAATTTGTGCATATAATTAAAATGTTTTATTTTTTTCCAACAATAAGTTATTTACAAAAAAAAATAAAAATAAAATTGTTTAACTTTTTTTTGACAAACAGAGAGACAAAACAGATAAACCAGAAGAATATTAGATCAAAAGTAAGTACAGTATAAATAGTATCGATTTTCTTAATTTACAAAACAAATAATCAACAAAAAAAACTAAACAATGGCAGCCGGAGGTGCAGAAGTTACCGCAGCTCTAAGGGAAGCAATGATGGCCGTCAACCAGAAATACTTTGATTGGAACAAAGTTGGCGAACAATACACAGACCCGATACCGGCCACCGATCCATTGACACCACCAGAGATAGCTCTGTGCGAGAATCATGGCATCAAATTCTTGGAAAAACTCGGTTCTGGCGGATACGGTGCCGTCTGGAAGGTCCGATGCTCTCAGCTATTGTCGCCACAGTCACAGCGTGACTATACCCAAGAAGATCTGGCCTGTAAGATCATATCCATATCGAAATTCAAGCGTAACCTTTCACCTCCAGAAGCCACCGCCGAAATGCTCTACGAGTATAGTCTGCATAAGACACTAAGACATCCGTATCTGATCCAATCGGAAGATGCTTTTCATATTGTGGACGCCATGACCGGCTTTCCCTATGTAAGACATTTGCATTTCATGGAACTGTGTAACGGTAGTGTCAAACAACTGCTACAACAACAACCACAACAACCGGGACGGTTGGGCGAAGCGGAGGCTAAAGTATGGTTTCGTATGATTTGTTTGGCTGTTCAGTATTTGCATCGGAAAAACATTTGCCATATGGACATCAAGATAGACAATATACTTTACCAATATAATGCACAGACCAGTCAGGCCACTTTTAAGCTATCGGATGTGGGTATGGCCCGTTCTGGTACTATAGTATCTGGTCGTCTGGGAACTGAAGCTTACTGTGCACCCGAACAGCCCAAACGTCTACAAGCTCAGGCCAATCCCCAAGTACTGCGTATACAGTACGCACCCAAACCGTGCGACATCTGGCAGCTGGGAATGGCCGTCTGTGAAACACTCGGCGGTCTTCGTATGCACCGTCAAACCCATTCGGCTATACTTAGTATACAACATCCCAGCCTAGTCTATCATCTACAGATGCCAGGCATACGGGTCGATACTTACGAGTTTTGTCAACTACTTCAAGGTATGTTTGAGATTAATCCCAATAGAAGATTCACTATTGAGCAGGTGATTGCACATCCATGGTTTAGGAGACAGTAGTTATGGGGTATATATATATATTACAGTAATTGATTCGATAGATTTCTCGGGTAAGGAGTGGGGGAGGGATAGTGTTACCTATCATAGTATTTTTTCAACAGTAAATTTTCAGTTAATTATTCAGCAAATTGTGTTTATTTTAATTTAAAAGATGCAAAAATTAGAATTACACTCTGAAATCATAATTGTGTGGCACTGTTAGCTATTTCAACAAAAATATAATTTTTATTAGCCCTTACTTATGCTAACATTATTATTTTTTTCAAAGTATAGACTATATTGTTTTGGTTCAAATATTTTGGACGCAACTACTACTAGGCTATTGTCAGCAAAAATTATTGTCAAATGTGGTAATTAATTGATTACATTCAAAAAATTATCTCTAAAAAACAGTTCATTTAATATCTTATAAAATCATTGGCTATAACTCATTGAAATTATTTTTGTTATTTAAAAAATATGATATTAGTTGTGATAATTAAACAAAATTTGTCAAACAAAGTTATACTGAGTTTTAACAAAATACTATATTTATTTTAAAAAAACTTTCAAAATTTTCAAAAATATAATAAAAATATAGTTAGAAAATAATAATAATAATTAAATCAAACAAAAAATTATATTGAAAACACATACAATACAAGATTATCAGAAATTACACCAAATCTATCTATCTATCCATTTATTTAGCCATCATTTTTTAATATCATCGAAAGTAAATGGCAACGGGAGGAGTAGGTGTAGGAGGAGGAGCAGCAACAGGAGGAGCAGGAGGAGGACCTGGCTATCATTACTATGATTGGAACAAAATTGGCGAACAATACAAAGATCCGATACCGTCTACGGAAGCGCTGACACCGGCCGAGATAGCTCTGTGCAATAATCACGGCATTGAATTCCTGGAGCGACTCGGATCCGGCGGATTCGGTACCGTTTGGAAAGTTCGGTGCTCTCAACTGGTGTCCACACAGTCACAGCGTGACTATACCCAAGAAGAGTTGGCCTGTAAGATCATGTCTATCGCACAGTTTAGCAATCGTTTTTCACCGCACGAAGCCGTCACCGAAATGCTTCACGAATATCGTATACATAAGTCTCTGGATCACCAATATCTGGTCCGTTCCGAAGATGCCTTTCATATTGTCGACGCCATGACCGGCTTTCCTCATGTACGTCATCTACACTTTATGGAACTGTGCTCCGGTAGTCTGGCAGATTTTTTACGTCTACGCGGCCGTATGTCTGAAATCGATGCCAAATCCTGGCTGAGAATGATGTCCCGTGCGCTCAGGTATCTGCACAAACAGGACATCGCCCATTTGGACATCAAGATTGAGAACATACTCTACAAATACGATCAGACAACCAAATCGTCCATTTTCAAGCTGTCCGATCTCGGATTGGCCCGTATTGCTACCAAAATATGCGGTCGTGTTGGCACCGAAATTTATAGAGCACCCGAGCAGCCTACCCGAGCCAAAGCTCTACACAATCCTTATATCAATAGTATGCCCTACGAAACAAAACCCTGTGACATATATTCATTGGCACTGGCCGTCTGCGAAACACTTGGCGGCCATCGTACCCATCAGCAGATCATGGGCTTCATCTGTGGCATTAAAGACCAACAAGAATTCAAACGCATCCAATCGGGAGGATTACAGATCAATACCATGGAGTTTGTTCATCTATTGCAAGGTATGTTAGAGATTAATCCGAAAAGACGGTTTACTATACGCGATGTGATGTCACATCCATGGTATAAAGCGCCATAAGAGCCAATACTGTAGTAAACAAGTGAGTGGGCAGATAGGCGGGGGAGGGATGTATTGGTCTGTATAGGTTAAAAATTTAGTCACTGTATATATTATATACATAGCTTACTAGTTTAGTCAATGAAAAGTTTGAATATGTATATGTATTAAATGTATAGTTTATTATGTTTGTTTGCAAATTGATTTTTTGTTGTTGTTATGTAAATTATGCGGCAGCACAGTTAGCTTGGTTATTTTTTTTTATCTATCCTAACTAATACACAAAATTTTCAATTTACAGAATCAATGATTCGGATGCTAAATCTGGTGGACGACTCTATTAAAAGCGAAAAAAATAGTAAATAAAAAATAATAATTTATGTGATATAAAATGTTTATATACACTGTATATACACTATAAAATTGCTAACCCTTCTAACCATTTACTCCTTTAAAATCAATTTATTTAATTTTTTACTATTGTATTACATTAAATAATTGTTTCATTTCTTAGGGTTTTTTTCCAATAGTTAAAGATCCTTAAAAAAAAGTATATATAAATATGTACTTAAAAACATACATCAGATATACTGTAAATTGCCTAAAATAAAATTACGTTACATATGATGATCCAATAAATGTAAGTAATAATATATATATATATATATACAGTATACATACATACATACATACATACATACATACATACATACACACAGTATAGTATTAATTTTAGCATAATCAATATTAGCTATATTTTAAAAATTCACATTTATTTATTTATCGTTTAAATTTATTAAATTTTTTTTATTGTTTTTTTGTAAGTTTATTTATTTGTTTGTTTGCTTGTTTGTTTACAAATAATAAATATTTTTATTTATTTATATAATTATAATCAATGATAAAATGATTAATAAAGATGATAATAATTTTTACATCAATAATAATAATAATCTAATAAATAAAAGATTTTCAATCTCAAAATATTTAATAAATTAAATTTTTTATGTAATATTTAGTATTATTTTATGGCATTTGTTTTGTTATGATATTAATTTAAATTGTAATTATTATTATCTAAATATTTTTAACAATATTTTTGTTTAATTAATCAATTACAACCAAAATTATTATTTAATTGTCAAAATTAAACATTGTTAGTGAAATTTTTTTTAAAAAAAACATTGAATTGATATAACATTTATACATTTAATAAATAAAAAGATTAAATGAATAATAATCAACAAATAAATATTATTAATCAAATTATTGTTTGTTTTTTTGTGGTTATTATTATTATTACCAACTTTTACAGTAAAAATTAATGCAATAATTTAAGTAAATCGCATACAAAATATTTTGTTTTAAAGGAAATTTTTTTCTATTAAATATGTTTAAAATACAATATAATAATTTTTGTTTAAAATAGAAAAATTAATTTATATGCAATTATTAATATATCAGTTTATATATATATATATATTCCTACAAATCATAAATATAAGTATATTTTGTATCGAAAAAAAGATTTTGTTTGTTTGTTTAAGATAACAACAAATAAAAATGTTTCAATTATTTATTAAATATTTTTTTTATATATAAAAATGATCAATAATTTATAAATAATATATTAATAAATTCTAATCTTGTTGTCGACGTTGAGATAATTAAATGCAAATAATTAAATAGTAAAATCCAATAATAAATAACATAAACTAGTGATGAAAAAAAATGTTGGACACGGATGTGATGATTGAGTAATAATAATAATAATCCATTAGTCGGCAGGAGTTTTAATAATAGTTATAAAATACAATAATAACAACAAATAATAATAATAATTGTCATTTAAAAAACAAATCAAAATAAACAATCAGTTGACTAATAATAATAATAATATATTTCAAAAAACTATTAAATTTGATCACAAAAAAACAATTTCAATTCTTTGTATTTCTAAAAAAACAAAAAAAAAATCCAATTATAAAAAACTATAACCAGAATATTCTTGTTTCCCTATTTTTGTTGTAAAAATTTATTTATTCAAAGTTATACACCATTTCAGGGAAAATGGTATTCAATAATAACCAATTGTGTTTTTTAATTTTGTAAATTGTATTGTGTGTGTGTGTGTGTCTGTCTGTTTATCTGTCTGTGTCTGTAACTGTTGTTTATTGTATGTTTGATAAAAAGTGATACATTTTTAGTTTTTAAAAAAAACACAATTAAAAATCACTAATAATTTTTGTTTGTCTCCAAATAACGTTAACAACAAATAAAACACATTTAAAAAAAACACAAAAAATTAACAAATTAAGCGATGAGTGAGATAGAGAGTGGGTGAGTAAGTGTCGAGAGTGGGTGTGACATCACATATAATATGATGAAGATTTTAAATATGTATGTTAACAAAACAAAACTTAAATATTTTATATATTTATTTAATTACATTAGACTATATGATGATGTGATTTATTTTGTGATAAATTGAATGATAAAAATTTAATTAATTTTTAATTTAATATAACAATTGAAGAGTAGATGATAAAAGTTATTGGTTTTCTTATTATTATTATTATTATTAACATTATTATTAATTATTATTATTACACAAATGTTATGTAATATAGATAACAACTTTAAAAATTAAAAACCAACTGTTTTTTGTTTGTTTGACATTATATCCATAGCCTATGTGTTGTGGGCTATCTATCTGTCTATCTGTTCCGATATCGTGATGTCCTCCAGAAATAATGGGTATTTTCAAGAAAAAACACAACACATATGAAGACTATTTATATTTATATTTATTTAGTTTTTATCTTTTAAATCAGTTAAACTAATGGATGAAATTTGTTTGATGTCTTAAAATATAATTCATTACTATTTTGTGTTGTTTTTTCAGTAAAATATACATAGATTTTAATATATATATATATTTGCAAATCAGTTTATATATATATATATATATATATATATATAAATTATTGTTATAATTATTACATTATTACTCTTCAATAGATATATTACTATTAATTAATTTATTATTATTAATCTCATCTCACAAAAAACAGGTGACGAAAATATGAGTAAAAAAAATGTTTGTCAAGTCTTATGAAATTGTAAGTCATTTTTGTTTTGTTTTTTTGAAGTAAAATGTCATCTAAATTATTGCCTCTCTGTCCAACTGTCTGGCTGTTTGTCTATATGTATGTCTCGATGACTGTCCTCTCAATTTCCATTGCGGCTGTTGAGTACATTACCGGCCGATTGATGTGAAGGTGTAGTCTGTGGTCCAGTTGACGCCGGATTCAACGTTACAGCAGTTGTTTGCCTATTATCTACCGTTCCGTATATTTTGGTAGCCTTCTTGGCCATACTGCCCAACAGTTCCAGTGAGTTCTTGTGGGTCGACTTTAACGATATGAGCCATTCCTTGAGCCCGATCTCATCCTATATGCCGGAGGATAAGGTTGTCCCCAAAGAGAGAGAGAGAGAGAGAGAGAGAGAAAGAGAGAAAGTAGAAAAAACAATATTAATATTTGTTTAATACATTTAATGACTAATTTTCAACAACAAAAAAACACTAATATTTATGAAAAGGAGATTTAAGATGTATCCATAGATTTAACATTTGGCTAATATTTTTATAAAATACCAATAATGATAAATAAAAACAAAATTACTTATAAAAAAAATGCTAACCATTATCCTCTATGTATCTACTTATGTGTACTTATATATATATAATGATATATTTTTAGCAATATTAATATATAAAATCTCTGAGTCAGACAAAAAATAACAAATAATATAAAAACACATGCATTATTCAAACATATTAGTTTATATTATTAAATCGCATTATTTTATTATATAATATGAGATACAATACATATATATATAATACAGAATATATTTATAACAATATAAACCATTGTATATTTACATTTATTTACAATATTTATTCATAGGTAACACACACACACACACACACAAACTAATAAATCTATAAAAAAAATTGAATTTTAGATTTTATTTGGTAAACATATAATATAATCTCTGCTGAGATATTTTTAAAACCATTTTATTTTATTTTTATTTATTTATTGTCTTTACTGTCGCAACAGTTAGCTTTTGGCGCATTATATCATATATATATATATATATATAATGTTTAATAACAATGAGTGTATTTGAATGAATATAATTTTAATATAAAGGTTTATATATTGCATTATAAATTGTATACTAAAAAATTGTTGCACTAAAAGTTAAAATTTAAATTTCAAACAATACAGCTATTTTTATTATCATTGAGCTTAATATTATGTAAATAACCATCTCGTCTACCATAGCCTATCCCTTTATAATACTGATTAAATTGACAAATATTAGTATACAAAACATTACTTATATTATTATATATTTTTTATATTAAATTATTTTTTCAGTTAGTTTATTTTGCTTAATAGAATTTTTTTAATGGAAATAATATTATATTAAATATTTATATTAGCATATACAGTATTATATAGTATTATACTATATACTGTATATATATATAACGTATATAAATAAATTTGTTATAAAACAAACAATATTGGTATTTATAATATAAATTATAACTAATCATTGATTAATAGAGATTAATATTATATGATAATTTGCTATTTAAAAAAACAAACATGCTAAAATTTTATTATCTATCGTATGATAGCATAAATCTATATTATTAATATAATCTTATGCAAACAAAGTTAATGTAATATAAAATTATTACATAAAATTTACATCATTTTACATAAAATTAAACTTAATAACTGATAAAAAAAATATTGTAAGATATCTATGCTAATTCTCTAATCAATATAATATATTATATATATACTGTATATATATACTATTAACATAAAAGTCACATATTATTCTACATGTTTTTAATAAAATAATATATAATATATTTATTGATAAATAAAAATATTTTTTTACTAATGTATCCCTAATTTCATATTTATTATATTTAAAAATACATAACTATTATAATATTTATATTGAATTAAACTAACAAAATAAGATAAAATACAATATAAATTATTTGATAGTTTGATTTTATTGAAAAAAATTATTTAAAATATTAACAAATATATTAATTATTAATCATCTAATAATCAGCTCTGTATATACTTTATTATATTAATATCAATTAATACATAAAGTATATATGATATTGAACTAAAAAAAAACAAAATAACTATATGTTTGTTGAGCACTGGTATGCCGGGCACAGTGACATGATATGTCTAGACAATGAAAAGCTATGATATAAATACTGTAAGTTTGTGCTGAGCCTTAAAAAAATAATTTTAAATTCAAATGAATTTTCCAAGAATTCAAATATTATATGAATATATCCAATATTTATTTAGTTAAAATAATTTTATATTTGATAATAATAATAATAATAACAAAAAATGTCATCAAATTACTCATTAAACATTAAATAATTTTTTTTTAAGAATGTATATAGAAATTAAATAATATCTGAAAAATATATAGAAATTGTTTTGTATTGATAGATAGATATTTAAATAATATGAATAAAATATGTTTGAATTTTTTTTTAGTAAAAAAATATTCATTACAATTATGAATAAAATATATGAATAGGAATATTATATAAGCAAAAAAATCTATTAATATATCTATTATAAAAAAATAAATGAAAAACTCAAAAATCAATATATATATATATATTAATATATATAACTTTATATATTTATTTATATACTTTCCTAAAAAATTAATAATAATTTACTTTAATGATAATTATTTTACTAAAATGCTCTCTCATAATTACATCATTATATTTTTATAAAAAGTAAATTGCTATAACAAAATTTATAATAATTAATAATAACGACTTTAATATATATATATATAACATGTTTACTAACTTAAGATACAAAATATTTAATAATTTAAACCATTGTATGATAAATTCACATAAAATAATATTTATTATAACAACAACAACAAAATATAAATAAAGTAAAATAAAAAAATTTATATATTTCACTGTTCTCTCTCTCTCTCTCTCTCTCTCTCTCTCTCTTTATGGATGTTAAGGTAATATAAAACTATTGCAAAAATAAAAATAAAATTGTATTTCATAACAAATTGAAGTGATGTTGATAAATAAACTCTATTAATATATAAATATATAGCCACAAGTATAGGCCATAATAATATTGTACAAAAATAAATAAAGTTAGAATAAAGTACCTGACAGTGCGATTAAGTTATATAGGTAGGTGCTCATATACAGTATACGGTTTATAAAAATGGCTAAAATTAAAACTAATAGAGTCTGGGGAACTATATTGATGCTGTCATTTTGTTGACATGTTGATTGGTTAGTTGTTTTTGTAAACTCTCTCTCTCTCTCTCTCTCTCTCTCTCTCTCTCTCTATCTATCTATCTCTCACATACACACACAGAAATACACATACATATACATATATACACATATACACATATACACATATACACATATACACATATACACATATACACATATACACATATACACATACACACATACATACACAATACCACTTGATTTTACAAAACAACGACTAATGTGTATAAAAACAAAAAAGTAAGAAATAAAATTGTTTTTTACACTAAAAGATGTCGAGTGAGAGGAGAGGAAAGAGAGAGAGAGAGAGAGAGAGAGAGAGAGAGAGAGAGAGTAGATAAACAAGAAGAAGAGAGATAGAGGTTTGTACTATAAATAATGTTATATACTTTTTTATTGTATAGACTGTATACAACCAACAACAACAACAAAAATAGGTAAGTTTTTTATGTGCAATAAATGTTTTGCTACTGTTTGGGTAATGGGTTTTATTTGGACACAAGTATTGTCGATAATAGTTTAGTAGTAGTTGTAGTAATAATAATAATAGTGAATGAAAGTGAAATAAACTGTTTGAAAAACAAAATCCATTGCTTTTCTATATAGATATAAATTTATATATCTATACAAATAGTATTAATATAAAGTATATATATAATATACAGTATATACATATATATATATATATATATATATATTGATATATAAATATATATATATATTATGTTTGAAAACTACTGACCGGATTAGTGACAACAACTTTTGCATCCTTTTCTCTCTCGCCTTTCATTTTAAGTACTATTGATTGTTCGCCTTTGATTTGCACGTAATCACTGCACACGTCCTCTATTTGGTCCATAAATATTAACTGAAAAAAATTGAAATAAATAAAAAAAATTATCAATTTTTGCAACAAAATATTAATAACATTAATAATAATAGTATAAAGTTATGATAAGTTATTATATAGAATATTTTTTTCATGCAAAAAACTAAAATTTATTATCATATTTGATGATATTTTTTTTGCTATTATTATTATTATTATACAAGTGTAAGATATTTTTGTATATCTTAGAAAGCAAAAAATAAAATAACAATACTATTAATATTTGTATATAATATCTATAATATATATGTATGCAATATATATAGTATGTATGTAAAGATATAAATTATAATTTGTTTTAAAAAAATTGCAGTACACATTGCAATTTATTATAAAAATTTATAGATATTATATAAATTTATATATAAGTTCTAAGTTATATTAAAATATTGATTTTCAATATAATGTTTGCTCAACCGTTATATTAAAGTATTATTTTATTTGTTGTATATCTGTTATTGTTGTTGTTGTTGTAATGGTTTTTATTGAAATACTTTATCTAATTATATAGAAAATTAAAGTTAATTTTTTTTATAAATTTTGTTTTGTTCAGAAACTCACAAAAAACTCATATTATAATTATTTAATAAGTATTTTTCATATGAAATTGTGGTTCATAGAAATAATAATGAAATAATTAATAATTGAATAAAAAATATTTTTCCATACAATAGTTGTTTTATTTTTGTGTATTATGTTATAAATGCAATCGATTTAAATTAATAATTAAATTATTAATATACACACAAAAAACATAATCACAATCCAACAAAAAATAACAAATACAGTGAAATTGTTGGAAAAAAAATCATTTTAATATAAAGGATATATAGTATATATAAAATATTTATTACTAAGGTATCTAAATAAATATTATATGAAATATAAAAATTCTACAAAAAACAATCAAAATTAATAAATAATTGAATAGTAATTGTGAACAATATATTTAATACAAAATATACACACAATATAATTAATATGTTTACTATATTTTTTTTATAAAAAAACACTAAAAATTTAATTCTCACAAACTATTGTTAATTATTTCAACTAATATAGAGTATATAAATCTATTGATCGATAAAAATAATTGTTTTTACTATTACTGTAAATTACTAGTAATGATTGAATATTTCATTTATTTTCAGTGAAAATAATTACTAATACTGTTATTGTATATATAATGTTATTATTGTGTGAGTGTGTTGTTAGCATTTACTGTATTTTTAAACTCATATAATAATTTGAAGCGCAAACTGTTTAATGATTACTACTGTATATTTATTATATATATATTTACAGTACTTTACAATATATTTAAACAATTAAAATTTGCAAACAAATAAATTAGTGAATAATTTTGTTTTTATTTTTCATGTTTTTTGTTGTTGTTCATAACGGAAAAATTAATAGCAAGAAAGCAATTTTCCTAATGATAACTATTATTATAAATATTAACTTTTGATTAAAGTTTTTATGTTGATTTGTTTTGAAAAATAAAATATTATTTTATTTTCTATTTATTTAATCGACTGTTTGCTTACCAATCAATCGATATGGAAATGAATCATTAGATTATATGATTATATATATTATAAGATTATATATATATTGTATATATAGAAAGTTTAATTTAAGTGTATGTATTGTAATAATAATAATAAATCTAATAAAAATATAAAAAATGCCATTAATATTTGGTAGTAATAGAAACACTTAATTTAATTTAATGTATACATGAAAATGTCAATTCATTATAATAATAATAATATCAATAATAATAATAAAATTAATAAACTTATTTTACGTCAAACCGTATTTAGCGAAACAGAAAAGAAACTAAAATAATAAAAAGTAATAATAATAATACTTTAATAATATAGTACTAACATTACGTTTTTATTTCACGGCATGAAATATGTTACGTTACATTAGTTATAATTAATAGTTAAATGTGTTTTTTATATATGTATATAAATTATATACCATATATATACTAATACTTTTTATATATAACATGTAAATCTACTGTACAGTCTATTTTAATTTTTATGATTATGTGTGATATTGTGTATGTTATAAATTTATATATTTTGATATACTGTAGACTAATCTATAGAATTAAAATATATATACCGTATATTTAAAATATTTATTATTATTATTATATTGTGTATAAACTACAGTATAAAACAGTGGGTGCATTACTCGTTACAGATTCTGTATGTATTGATGTAATTGTTTGCGTATAAGTATATAATACTAAACGTACAGTATATGTGACTGTATGTAGTCTAGCGTAGTGTTTATTTTAGAAACAATGTGTGTCTAAAAATAATAATTTATATCTAAGTTATACAGTATATACATATATATATACACATCAATAAGTTTGGACAAAATTTACAAATTCAATTAAAAATATGCACAACATTAACAATAGCAAACAATCAAATAAAAAACAAAAATAAAAAAATCTATACATTTAAACAAATCTACTGTATATTAGAAATATATATATATTACAATACATAGTTATAGACAATATATAAAAACAATTTGTTATTTTATGATTTATCTAATATTGAATTGAAACTGATGCATAAATGGGTTGAAAAATATATTTTCATAATTTTTTTTCAAACAATTATATTTTACATGTTTTACAATCTATGGTAATCTGTATTTCATAATGTATAATATATGACTAACAAAATCCATTTAATTGATTAGCTAGAAATAAATAAATAAATACTGCATAATATAATCATTATATTGTTTAATATATTTATATAATCAGTTATAGTCATACATACTGTATAATAATAGATAATATTTTTAAATAGAAAGTGCAGATTATTATCTACATAATAATAAAAATCATATAATTATATTGTGTAACAATAGTAATTCAATAATAAAAACAAATCGATAATTGTGTCAATAATATATTTAATAGTACAGAATATTCTGTATACATAAATAATAATGTATAGTGCTAAAGTGATAAATTTCAAAATAAATTTTTAAAATTCCTGAATTAATAATAATAATAATTATTATATAATAAGTTAATTAAGTTTTAATTAGTTTTATCTATATATTACATGTGAATATTCTGTAAATTAATATTCAGAATATTCTAGAATGAATTGAGAGCTTATTAAAAACAAAAAGATATTGATTTATATCATATTATTATATATAATATAAAATAATACTAAATTATAAATAATAATAAAAAATAGTTTTTCATTATTATCATTCATTCAACTGACACATCCATTGACACATAATTCATATGTCTATCGATTTAATAATTTAATAACACATCAAACCAGTACTGAACTGAACTGTGTTTGTGCTGTGATTTTGAGTTAAAGATAAAATTGAACGATAAATACAGTAATAGTAATAATGATAATAACATAAAATAAAACAAAGAAAAAATACTAACATCTTGTCTCTCTAAATAACCTACACTTGTGTGTCGGCAATGGGTTAGACATACTGTACTGTTTGTATGTCCTGTAATTTACAATACGTGACACAAACAAACACATTAATACAGACACAGACACACACACACACACACATTGACATATAATGATATATATAAAGTACTTTCGTGTAAACATATATAGATTATAAATTATTCAATATTTGATTTAGAAAATAACATAAAAGTATATATATATTTATTTGGTTAAAGACAACATACAACAAAAAAAGATAGATTTATTATATGTTTTAATAATTGTCAATACAATTATTATATAATAAAATAATAATCATAAAATAATATATATATAGTGATTGAAAACATGCACAGTATTATTCAAGTTGTAATATTTATATTAAAATAATAATAAATATGTTATAGATTTCAGTTATATACAGTATTTCAATATACTGTACTTAGTATTAAATAGTATTTGTAAAGATTTACATTGCAATATGTTATCATATTATATAGTCGTTAAATGCAAAAAAAACCTAAAACTGTGTCAATATTATTGGGAAATCGTATTTAGAAATATACAGTATACTGTATAAGTCTATAACATTTAAGGGGTACTGTATTATAGACCCAAATAATATTGTACTATAGTTTATTGGATACATTATGATAAATTACAACAAATTTCTACCAAATCAATAAATAGCCCTGGATGAATTTTGTTTTTAAATATATATTGATAATAATGATCATATTTTCATTTTTTTAAAAAATAAAATAAAACTGATTTATATTTGTTTTGTACTCTAATAAATAACTTGTGTGCATAACTATTATGATAGAATTGACACTATTGATTTTTATCAATCTATCTATTATATTTACTAAACTTACTTGAGCATTCATGGACATATATATAAATAATTTTAAATTAAAATATTTTTTTTTAATTTATAAATCATACATTTATAAAATGTAATTATATTATCTTAAAAAATTTATCAAATTTATATCCGATTCTAATTAAATATAACTAAATATTTGGAAATTATTTTGTTGTTGTAATAACATAGACAATCCCAGGTTATATCTAAGCAATTGACAGCACTAGTAGTACCTTTTATATATAGGTATTGTACTGAATGTCTATATTTGTAGTTTTTTCATATATATACAGTATATATATATATATATATTTATCATTGTTGTTGTGGATATATAAGTGTAAATTCAATTTGTTATCTGTGTTGTCTATTTGTGTGCCTATTATTATTATTTTTTCTGAAACTTTCATTATTAATGTAACACAAAAATAAAATAAAAATATAACATAACATGTTTCGGCACAAACAAAAAAAATTAGTTTTATTTTATTTATTGTTCAAATTTGTTGTTTCAATACTATTTCTACACCGAAATAATAAACTAAAAGAAATTAAATATATTTTTCTTTAATAATAAGACAATAAAATATATTAAAATTTATCAAACATTTTATGCACAAATAAATCGTAAAAACAGTGTATAATAACTTAAGCATATATAACACTTTAATATTTTAACTATAAGAAAAACTTTTATGAATATATTTGCAATGAATATAATATCTAAATATATATTAGTGTCTTGTTTTAAATATTATTATTATTATTATTATTATTATTATAAAACCAAAAATAACAACAACAACAAAATGATTTACTGAGTGATTGTTTCTATTAAAAAAATAAAGAGAGAGAGAGAGAGAATATTCTGGTGTTTAAAACACTTCATATATAAAAGTAATCTCTTTTTATATCCATCTGTCGCTCTGTTATTATACGATTCACTGAATTTTCTAAACTATATTTTAATACAATGTGAGTGTCAGAGAGAAAAAATTGATATATTTAATGGTATGATATACTATATACAGTATCAAGTTTTGATACTATACTAAGTATAATAATAATAATAATAAAAATAATAATAAACAAAAAAAAAGTTATAGTTATTATTATAACACAAACAAAAAAAAGACAATTTTAAATTGAATTCATCAATCATATGATTGACATCACACACAAAATAATAATAAATTATCTGACAATTTATTTTTTGTTGACCAAAATATTTTGGCAATAAATTATTATTATTATTATTACTTTACCTATTATACTAATAGATTTACTATAAGATTGTGATTTTTATCCACTCAAAAAAAACGTTAAGACAAAATTATATACAGTATACTATTGTATATACTGTACAATAGTATACCTAGTAAATCATTTAATCAAACAAACTAACTAACTAACAAAAAATCAACAACAAAATAGTTATATATATTTAATATACTGTATATTAAACATAACATATAACCAACAAAAAAAACAACAACAAGTACTGTTAGATGTTTTATTATTATTGTTTATCAAGTATGACAATACTAGTCTAGTGTAGTATTGTTAGAGTGTTACTATAAATAATGCTAAATATATAAATATATCTATAATTTATATTATATATAACAAATAACATAAATTTATACCGTATATAATATAGTAGTATATGATAGTAACGCTTAAATATATATATATATATATATATATATATACAGAATTTCTAATGAAAATTCTGTGATTCATATATGTCTGTTAACATTAGTGTTTATAGACATTAGTGTGCTATACAACAACAACTACTACTCAAATAATAATAATAATAATAATAATAATCATAAATACAATTGTGTAGGACTGCGCTCTTTTACAGTGTATTTTGTCTATTATATATTGATTGAGCCAAAAACATGACTTGAAGCACACATTTTTATTGACTTTTTCAAACAAAACACCACATATAATATATATCAATATATAAATGAGAATATTCTGTACATACAGTATATATATGATATATATATATAAATTTAGATGTATTACTATATAAATTTATACGTTATATATTTTGTGTATATGTGTCTTATATACTATATATATATATATATTTATATATATTACGAAACAAAGATATAAAAATATGCTACAAACACTACTATACTGTACATCACTGTTATGTTCAATACAACGATACAATTATTGTGTTATTACTGTTTATAACATAGAGAATATGTATATATATATATATATATATATATATATATATATATTCTTTAAATGTAACATTCAGTTAGTCTAGTGTATAATAATTATGACAATTTTATGACTAAATTATCAGTGCATTTAATTTCAATCTCATTATACTACGATAATTATTGTTTGTTATTATTATTATTCTCTAAATTGATGAAAACTATTTGCTAAATACACTAACTGTTTAACAAGGAGTTTGTCATCTCTATGACTCTAAATATTATCTCAAAGCCAATAAAATGTTTAACGATTAAACGCAAACAACAAAAATAATATATATATTTATACAGTTTATATATTATAGATATAAATATCTATTAACTTATAATATATATTAAAATAACAATAAAATTCTGTACAAATGAACATTTCTTAAAAAAACATATAATAATACTGTATATTAAATATAAAATTATAACATAAACATAAATTTATATTATTATAAAAAAATTGTAATATATAGAGTATATACATGTACTATATATAAAACTAACATTTTGATACCATTACAAACAATAATAAAAAATATTTGTATGTCAAGCATAAATTCAAATTAATATATGTATAAACAACAAGACATTTATATGAATATTATTATGAAATAGTAAGTATAATATATAAATTTTATACTGTATATACAGTATATATAAATTAGATATTACTGTACTGTATACCTAAAATTATATATATATATTAATAACATTAACATTTTATGCATATAAAATAAATAACTAGTTATAGTATTAAACTGTAATAAATGTTATTGATATATTATATAAATTATAATAAACTATTCTATTTAATAGAAATTTTTAATATAATTTATTTTATTAACAATTGCACCATTAGTGCAGAATATTCTGTATATATAAATATAACTAATAGCACTGATTGAATCAACAAACAAACAAACAAATAAGGAAAATATATTTAAAGTAAACCATTTATATATATATATATATAATAGTATATATACAATATAAACAACAACAACAAAAACTGTGTCCACACACACACACACACACACACACACAGACACTAACCTCTGGTTTGGCACTACCGGACTCTGAATGCAGTTCCAGTCGATTCGGGTATAGTTTGCCGTATCTGGTCTGCCAAGCACTGGCAAAAGGTCCGCCAAGTTTTTTAATATAGCCGTGAATAATACAATCGGATTCCTTCTCGTCCTCGAACTTGTTCTTCATTTTGGCCTTCTTTTTCATTTCCATTTTGTCCGCCTCCTGATTGATGGTCTCGAACACGGTTTCGGCGATTTCCTGTTGCCATCGTTCGCTGATGACTACCGGAAAATTTTTGTACAACTCCTGATCGGAATCAGTCAGTTTGATGCCTTTGGTGTCCTCTTCGTCAAACGATCCGATATCAAAAGCATCGGCAGCGTTGACCTCACCTCTGGGCGGTATCAATGGCGGCGGATATTTTTGCAGATAAACCAGTTGCCAGTCGATACCGTTGAAAAACGGATGTTCTTTGACCTCTTCGGCACCGCGGCCCCGGCAACCCATACGTTTGTCAACGTCGCGGGCCAGCAGTCCCTCCAACAGGTGCTTGAGCTCTGGCGTAAATGAATCGGGAAGTTCTACATTCATTGTCATTGTCATCCTATCGATCTCATGCTTGTCCTTAGTCTTGTGCTGTCGGAAAGGGCTGTGACCTTTCAACAGTTTATAGAGCATACAGCCTAAGGAAAACCAATCGGCGGATGCATCGTAGGCCGTTCCTTTAGACAGTACTTCGGGTGACATATACCCGTGGGTGCCGACCGACGCGTGCGGTTTCTTTTTAGAATAATCGCAGGCCAGTCCCAAATCAGATATCCGTACATGACCGTGCTCGTCAAGTAATATATTGGCCGGTTTTAGATCACGATAGACAACAAACCGTCTGTGCATGTGATCCAAACCGAGTATCACTTCGGAGGCATAGAATCGCATCTCCTGTTCGGTGAAGACACCGTGTTGTGACAGATGATAGTGTAGGTCACCGCCGTTCATCAGATCAAGTATGAAACACAGTTTGTCGGCCGTCTGGAAAGCATAGGTCATACACACTATGAACGGACAGTCCTCACCGGTACTGACCAACGATAACATAATACGTTCATTGAGTGCCAGTGTCTCTCCTTGTTTCATTTTGATCCGTTTCTTATCCAAACATTTCATGGCATACATCTTTCCCGTATCAGCTTTACGACAGCCGTAGACTTCACCGAAACCGCCGCGACCTATGATCCGATGTACCGAAAAGTCGTTCATTGTTAGCTGTATGTTGAGCTCCAGGTTTTTCCACTGACAAAATCGGGTATATTTTTCGCTTTCGATAAACTTTCCGAAAATATCGCCTCTCAGATGACTATAGATTTCTTCGATGTACGGCTGAAACAGCGACACCGGCACCTCATTCCTCATCAGATACTTCTGGACGTGATTGACGGCATCTTTCGAATAGGAGTGTGTATGGGATAACAGTTCTTTCATTATGAAATTATCGTAGATTTCCCGGGCCTTAACCCGACGTTCCTCAATGGTCTCCAGTTTTTCATAGGCTTTGATTTCTTCGTAAAACTTTAACTGCGGCACCGATTCGTCGCATACATTCTCACAGAAATCTTTGAACGTCAGAAACCCGAGCCGTTGGTTGAATATCTTATCAAAGGTTACTTCTTGCATCTTCTCCAGATACTTGTGCATCACTGACCTGACACTTGGATCAGGCAGTATGATCTTCTTGGAGGCCCGGGCTGCCGGTGTTGATTTCGACTTTTCCATAGCCATCAAGTAGCTAACATCGGCCAGAACTGCTTCCAGGTCAGCCATTTTGTGGTTGTTGTTGTTGTTGGTTAACCACTAATTAATTGGTAGTTTTTTTATATCACTATATATATGTGTTTATATATTTTAGGTCTGTGCTCCAAAAAAAATATTAATTATACACTTATTGTTGTTATGTTGGTATAGTTATTGTTTTAGTTGTGTATGTTGTAGATGTTGGTACTGGTGATGGTGTTGTTCAGTATGAGAGCACTGGTATATTTATTTATAATAATAAATTGATGCTACACTTGCTATATATATACCGTATATATGGTGTGGTATGATATAAATTTATATATACAGTTAATTATAATACACACACAGTCAGCACTTGGATAATACACTTTAACACGTTATGGTTTTATGCTTAATATATGCCACAGAGTGGTAAAGAGGCTTAAGACATATATACACTAAGTATTCATTGATAATTATATTTCAATATTTTTGTTGTTGATTGTGGATTAATGTTATATAATAATAATAATCACATAAAATTGTCGACAACAACAACAACATTAATACGATTATTGCCGTCAATATTGGTCTCAGTGCCGATACTACCGCTGCTGTTGATACTAATGATTAAATTACTTTTACGACTACTACTGCTACTACTACTACTATTAGCACAACAATTATAGCTAACACACTGTATATGTTGTCGATCGACAATAATTGCTGGCGAATCCATCATAACATCATCTTCATTATCAATAGTATTATTATCATCACTGCGATCACAACAACGACAATAGTAGTCATCAAACAGCATCACCATAGATGATGGTAATGAATAGGAGGTAGAGGACAAACAGGACAACACGTGCGCTGCTAACACATCTGAATTGGTATTATTATTAGTATTATTATCATCTATTGGTGAACTGTTAGCAACGGTCAGCACTGGTGTCGATCCATACATGACTTTTCACTAAAAAAAAAAACAAAAAAATATATATATATATATAGTATAGAAAATTGATTGAAATTTAATTAATTTTGTGTTTTTATCAATTTATTTTTTTATAGTTATATTTCAGAAAAAAACAATTATTAAATTTTTTCCCTACTTTTACTATCACTAAAAAATAGTTAGTATTTTTATATAATTACAACATAAGTATTTATGTTTTTTATATCTATTAAATTATTTATTATTTTGTAATTTAATTTTTTAACAAATAAATATTTTCTATATCAATCATATGATTTACCCATAAAGTATATACAGTATATATATATATATAATATTTATTGAAAAATAATATGTCATTTTCTAGTAATTTTTTCATTATAAATATCTATAATAATATTAATTATTAATTGTTATTGATTTTAAAATATGATATCATTTTGGTAATATTGTGCAATAAGTACTAGAAATAGTAAAATAATAATAATCATAAATATGATATTATTCACAAATAATTGATAAAAACATAAAACACTAAGTCTATATAAAAATACTCAGAATTATTATTTATTTTATTACTATAATATATTAAATTATTATTATATTTATGTATATACTGTATATATATATATTGTTTGTAAGCAATTTATAATTATTAATAAATATTCAACAAAATTATTCAACACTTAAAAATTTATATAAATTTAGAAATATTTTCAAAATAAAATATAAATTTATCATAAATTATTGAAAATTATTGTCACTTTGTTTGAAATACAATGTTAAACATGTTTGAAGTTTGAAGTATTAAAATTAAACAAATTTTGCATAAAAATATTCTCAATGATAACTCTAATACAATGACTAAAAGTGTTAACTATATTTTAAAAAATATAAGTAAATACTTGAAAATAATGTAATTTGAAATTTGTTTAAAAAATTTTTCTACTATTAATAATTATTTTAAACTATAAAAAAATTTTTAATATTAAATTTAATAAATATGATGATAATAATAATAATGATTAAAAGCATTAATAAATGCCATACTGCTGTTACTATTATTTATTTATCATATATGGGATAAACACTTTTTATTTTATAATATACTGTGAGTATATATGATATATTTATTTTAAATATTATATTTTTTACAACAATAAAATTAGCACATATCACATTAATATATATATATATATATATTTAAACTATTTAGATATCATATTTTGTTATTTTCACATTCATTATAAAAAATATTAATTATGTGTAAATACAATTACAATACATAAACAAAAAAATTTACAATAGATTTTTAAAAATTATATAAATACCAAATAATATCAACAATTATTATTAACATTATTCAGTGTATATATATATATGTAGCATATACTGTATATATATATATTTATATTAGACATACATATCATAGATTATTATTGATACCATTAGTAGTAGTAGGGGTAAGAATAGTAGATATATTTCACAATATATATATATATATATATATATATTAATCATATATAATATATAAACACATTTATAATATAAATATATAAAGAGAGAAAAAAAGAGAGAGAGCACTGGTATTTAAAATGTTTAGCAATAATTTAATAATATTACTAATAATAAGGTGTGTATATGTTTTTAAAACCAATATACATATCGCTATAGTTGTTATTATTATTATTGTTGATATTATTATTATTATTATTATTGTGATGTTGTTGTTGGTGTTAGTGGTGCTGTTGATACTGGTGTTGATGTTTTAGCCATTAGGGCAGTCACTGTGATTGAGAGCACAGAGATATCACTACTACTACCACCACTACTGCTGCTGGTGCTGGTAGTGAGCCATCACTCTTGAATGTCATAGTGGATAGTGTGTGTGTATATAGAGAGAGAAATACAGATAGATAGGGAGCTTATGTATGTGTTAGCTCAAACACACACACAGTCTTATATGTCTATCCCTTTTGGAGACTCTCTCTCTCTCTCTCTCTCTCTCTCTCTCTCTCTCTCTCTCTCTCTCTCTCTCTCTCTCTCTCTCATACCATCTCTGTCTCCCAAAAACAGTTTCTCTGCACTCACTCACTGACTCTACTATAATATTATAACAGAAACTGTATGTGTTTTTGAGGCACTTGTGCTGCTAGTAGTAGTAGTAGTAGTAGAAGTAGTATCTGAGCACTTGTATGCAATTGCATGAAACTCCGGTGCTACACATTCAGTACACACACAATCTAATGGCAAGTTGTAGGCATCGCTTTGCAATAATGAAATACATAGGCATTACTCTCTCTCTCTCTCTCTCTCTCTCTCTCTCTCTCTCTCTCTGTTTATCAATAGTCTCCCTGAGCTCCTCCACACACATACACACAAATACATACATTACATACTCTAAACGCGTGTGAGTCGGTGCCAACCCATCGATAGGTGCACAGTAGACACACCATATGTACAGTTTTCATATAATATATTAAATAAAATATAAAGTATTTTTATCATATATATTAAATTAAGTTAAATTAGATATTAATAATTTTCAATCACCAATACAATAATATTAATAATAATAATAATAATTATTATTATTAGTATAACATTTATTATGAATTGTATTCAATAACTATTATTATTATTTTTAAAAAGTTATTTATTAGTAATAAAAATAATTAGTTTCAAACTTTTTTTTAATTAAAAATATTTTTCACATCAAATATTTCTTTATAATTAATAGTGATATTAATAGTTATTTTATAAATAAAGGTTTGCATTTAAAATATATTATATATGTCATTAAAATTTTATTAACATATTAACAATTTATAATATTATTTTTGATTAATAATACTAATACTAGTTAGTAAAATACATGATTTAAAATACATATAAGTTATTATTAAACTATCAGTATTAATATTGATTAAATTTTATTATAAACAAAATTTAATCAATAAATTACTAAAAATACATATCCGGTAAATATTATGTTGTTTTTTGTTGTTGTTGTTGATATTATTTACATATTTATAATAAAACTTAAAATTATATGATATATATTTATTTTTAAAAATCTATCTAAAAGTGACACATTTAAAAAATTGATAAACTAGATTTTACCAGTTGCTCAATATATATATATATATATATTTAAATAAATAAATTTATTACTTACCAGTAAATACTTATTTAATATTATCAAAGTAGTTAAATGTTGTATAATTTAATGTCAATTCAAATTGATTTATTACATAATTTATATATAAAACATTTATTTATATTTCTATATTATAACTACTAAACAAATCAATAAAATTATTAACAATTACACTTTAATACTGATTATTACTGATAAATACTCATTATATGTTAAATTAAAATTGAAAGTTATTAATTAATTAATAATTAAAATTTGTTTTATGCATTAGCTATTTAGCATAATTATATATTTTAAAAATTAAAATCAAATATAATAAAATAAACTTTTATATAAATATAGATTTATAAATATAAAATAAATTCATTTTATTTGTCTAGCTAATTTATGATTAAAACACACAAACCACACACATAATGTTAATATATTTTTAATAAAATTGCAGGAAAACTTTAATAATAATAATAATAATAATAATAACTAAGCTTGGTTTTATTAATTAATTTTTTTTATTGTTATCATAGTTACGAAATTAGTATTATATCATATAATAATTTATATGTTGTAAGTCATAATAATATTTTTGCTTAACAAGTATAGTTTTTTTTGTTTATTTATTTTGTGGACATGCTAGACACATTCAATAAAAATTTGCAACTATACACAAAATTATGTTATATTATTATTATTATTATTATACAGTTTATCATCCAATGTATACAAAAGATGGTTATTATAAGTTTGTTTGCCATTAGTTATGGACTAATGCATGCAAATAAAAACAAATAATAAATTTTTCTCTAATATACTCTATTATATAGAGTCTATATACTGAATATAGCTTAATATAATTTAATAAATATAGTGTATTTTTTGTATAAATACAGTATATATATATATATATATAGTATTTTATAAAATCTATATAAATTTGTAATTGTAATAATGTTAATGGATTTTTAAAAATACATAATATATATATATATATATATATAGTGTATACAGTATAATATATTAAATGAAGACATAAATATTTTACATTGGTTGGGTTAAATGTCAACTATTTAATTATATTTATTGACTTATAATATGGCAATTAAAAATAAAAATTCACATATACTATATTGTAAAAAATAATAATTTTTCTAATCATCTATTGCTATAATATTTTTCTAGTTTTCTAGTTTTCTATTGATATACTTTTTATTATTATTATTATTATAAATATGCAAACATAAATTTTGTATCAATTTTATTTTTTATGTTGCGATTTATGAAAATACAACTATATACTGTACGTACAGTATATATATATATATATATATAAATTTATATTTATATGAAATATTAAATTTATAAATATATTGATTATAAAAATTGACAGCAAATGTCGAGAGTCGGCTTTAATTTATCTCAATGTTATCGTAATATTATAGTATCGACGCATTTGACGTAATATTAAGCCTCGACTAATACTTAAAAAAATATGTTATATATTGATATATAAGTTTCTATCATATATTATTGACTAAATATATTTAATTATTAAACACACACACACTCAAAAAAAATTAATATTTTTTCACATTGAAATTATAATTTGAAACAAAAACTGTATATTCACTTTAATTAGCAACCATTTGATTGCAACTTTTTTGTTGTTATTAGATTATTACAAATATATATTTCATTGATGAGACACATCCGCTTAAAAAAAAGGTTTAACAAACAGATAAATTTATAATAATATAATTTATATTTTTCCTCTAACTTATAATTAATCAAAATATTCAATTGATTTCAATTGACAGTTTAGTCGTAAAATATAAATTTTTCTGTTATTGTATGCAAACACATTTCATCAAATATATTAAATACTAAAAATCTATTTTCATAATTATTTTTTGTTTTTTATGTATGTGTTTGTCTGTATATAAATTTATATTATATATATATATATAAATTATACTGCACTTTCAATGTTAGCAATATTTGTATAGTTAAATATTAATAATATTGAATTTTGTATGTATAACGAAAATATATTTTAAAATTTATATATATTTTTCAAATAAAATAAACATCATAAATCACTTTTGTGTACACATTTTTTTCATTACCTTAATATAGTTAGCATTATATATATAGTCTTATATGTCTATCCACATGTAGATTAAATAAATTTGTTGTTTAAAATATTTTTTAAAATGTTAAATAAATTTAATATAATTTCATGAATTTCATTCTCAGTAGATTAAAAAAATCTATTTTATTTTATTTTTAATATACAATATTAACATTAACAATTTTAATAAATTTAATTAAACAAAATTAAATTATCAATACATGTTTATAATCAAATATATTTTTATATTAATATAATAATCTATATATATATATATATATAAAATCAAGGGCATCAAATAGCTCAAATACATTTAATAGATATTATATAGTTTAGTAGTTAGTCTCAAAAATGAGCTTAATAGCTTAATTTTAGGATTATCCTACTAACTTGTACAATTTATGTTTTATTTTCCTATTAAAAAAAAGTAAAGTTTTATTACTATGCTAGAATTATTTTCAATTTTTTATAAAATAATAACTAAAAGTAACATGTTTACTTGATTGATATTAGGGTTCGTATATTAAATAATTTTTTGAGATCCTCAGTTACAGTTATATTATAAACTTTAAGTATACTTATATATAAAATAATAAAATTATGTCAAAAAATTATTTTTTGTTTTGTTTTGTTTTATGGGAACATTGAAATAAAACATGAATGACTTTATATGAATATTAATTACTTGAAAACAGATAATATAATTATTAATTATAATTATAATAGAGTATCTTCGAAAGTGTTTCAAACATATAATCTAATTTGTTATGATAATTTGCCACACAATTACTGTATAGAAACAATATGTTAAATATAATAATTTATTCAATTTAAATTATTTAGTTAAAAAATACATTACACTATACTATATAATTATTTATTTTTTGAACAAAAATCTAGCATGCAACAATTGGCAAAAAATAGATATATTAGAAATGGGTTGGTATAAATTGAGGACTGGGTACAATGGGCACTGTTAGGATATGATATGATGCTAACCGGCCTTCACAATCATATGGTAGGCAATGCCATACCGACAGTGCATAACATTTACAGTACTTTACTGTATATGTATGACATTATACAGGCTTTAAAATATATGATAATTTATAATAACATATACCAGTAATATCTTATTAGTAGTTCAAAATTTTATTTAATAATTATTATTTATCAAAATAATTTATTAAATAATTTATCAACAAAATTATAATATCAATTTAAATATACTGTAATAAACAACTTAATAATAATTTATTCATAATTAAATATTTTCATTTTGAATTAACATTTTTTGACTAAATTATTGAAAACAGTTTTACAATATTTTTTATAAATTAATAGTTAGAAAACAAATTGATAATTTAATATTAAATTACCAATAATGTCAACACAAAAATTGCTTGGTAAAGTGTCTATAATAACCGGTAAGTGTTGTTAATTTATCTAGGTAACGTATATTTAATTACTAATTTATTTATTAAAAAAAATATGTTAATATCAATTTGTATATTGCTATTTTTTAAAAAAAATGCATTGCTTAATTTATATTTTATTTTGTAAAAATTGTAAACATTTATTTAATTAGTTTCCATCAATGACTGCCATCATTATTATCATGTTGTTAAATAATAGCACCATCTAGGTTATTTTAAATATACAAACAATATATTAATTCTATTATATACTTGTAGGTAATAGATAATTAATATATATATATATATTATATATATAGAGTATTTTTTTAAAATAAAAGTACAAATAATTTATTTATTTCAAAATAACAAATAATTATTTATTAATATTTAATTTATTATCTTTATTTTAAATAACAGAAAGTTACGTTTAATAATTTATTAAAATTAATTATAAATTATTCATTTATAATAATAGAATTTAACATTTATTATCTTATTTATTAATTAATACATACTTTAAAAAAATATAGGATTCGATTTTTTTTGTTGGTTTAAATATCATACTGACATCAATTTTAATAAAATTAGTAAAATTTCAATTTTATTTATTAAATTTTAACTATCATTATTTAATTAGTAAAAAAATAATAATTAACTATAACAAAAATTAAGTTACAACAATTGTATTCAAATATAAAAATTACTAATTGAAATATTATTATATATGACTTAATTTGTATTATATGCACATATTATGTAAATATTAATTTAATATTTTTGAATATAGAAATTTATGTTAAATATATGTAATGCATTTATAAAATGTTAGCACAGATTTTTTTTTTAAATATAATAATTATATTTGATATTTATTTAAGGAATTATATTAGATTTTTAATAAGAATTTTTCTAAAATTAAATACTGAATGTTGCAAATAAATTATATAAATAAAGAAAAGAGAAATAATATATAATATAATTAAAAATGTTTATTAGTTTTATGAATATTAAAAACATTTTTCTGTTGTTGTTGTGTTGTCTTTAGATATATATATATATATATAACTCTATGTCTGTTTAAACAGAAATTGATAGCATTTAAAGGACAAATGTTTAAACAAATAATAATATTAAAAAAAGAAAACAATTATTTAAATCAATATTTATTATATAATTTTATACTTTTTGTATTATTTGCTTTTTATTTATTTTTCATTTACTATTTACACAAAATTGATTTATTATTATTATTATTGAATAGTAGTTATTTGCAATTTTTAAGGAAATGTATGTATAAATTGATAAAAAGATATGGATTTTGATTTGTGTGTCTGTAATGATAAACTGAGTTTTAAAATATTATAATAAATACTTTAATAAGTTTTAATCTTAAATTGTTTGTTTGTTAATTTTTTGTTAACAATTAACTACTGATTAAATAATAATTTTTCTATTATATTTGATCAATACTAATAATAATTATTATTACCGGTAGATTAAATTGTACAAACATTATTACAAGTAAAATATTTATTGTTTAATTTTTAATTAATACTATAATTTTCTTCTTAATTAAAACAATTATAATATTATACAAGATATTATACATTAGTAATGATTGATTTATTTATTTATAGATAAATTGATAAAACTTTTCCAAATTTTATACAAACATATCTGTAATAAATCTACTGTTATTAAATATATTTATTTATTTATTTTGGGTAAACTATAATAAGTAAAACAAGGGATAACTATTTTTAGTAGAGGACAGGCATCTAAATTTGTTTGTTTGGAAAACAATTATTATTTATGTGTATAAATATGCTGTATTTTCCCGATGACGTTATATACATCATTGATATAAATATATCATTTATATCTCTATATCAATGCATTGATATCAATGACTTTATAGACAATTTTTTTGATTCAATTAATTTTTTATATATGTAAAATCAAGTTTAGTTGACTTTTTTTATATTAAATGATATATATTTTCATATTTTACAAAAATTTGATAATTTTACTGTATAAATGTTAATTTAATAAGTAATTAAATTATTATAAACTATTAGTAATAGAAAATTTTTATTGCCGGTAATAATATGCATAATTTATTATAAGTATAATTTAATTATTAAAATTTAGAATATATTATAGTATATATATATACTTTATATAATATATTTAATAATAAAAAATAATATTAGTAATGTATTTATAATTTTGCTAACTAATATCCTATACAATTAAATATATTGATATCTATCTAACATCTATTAATACATTATATTGACGTAAATGATATATTATTATTTTTTTTGTTTAATAAATATTTTTCAATAAACATTTAATATGACTGTGATTTTTTTATTTGGTTTTGAATCAAACTTTTGATAACCAATATAAAATTAATGTGTGTGTGTTTGTGTGTTGCCTTATTTATTTTTTAATACTACATAATATCCTTGAATATAACTTTATATACTGGCAATAGCCAAGGGCATTTAATAATATGTAGTAATTTTTTTTTATTTATTTAATATATTAGTATTTTTATTATTATTTTCATACAGTTTTGACATCAATTAAAAAAAGTTATACCATACTTATGTTATACCGGTATATATGATAATTAATTAAAAAAAATACAATATCACTAATTTTATATACATTGTGTACAGTATGTGTATGTGTTTGTACCGTATATTATCTATAAATAACTTATATCCGGCTTTATTTACAATAGCTAATATTTATATACAGTAAATATATATATATATATATATATATATATATATATATATATATATATATATATATATATATATAGTATCAAGATCACCTTGCAAACAATAGATAGCATTAATCAATAAATAAACACAACAAAAAAAATAAATTATATTTATTTTATTATCTTAAATCATAGAAAAAATTTATACAGTGCTATATATACAGCTTTATATTATTCATATTCAGTATATATATATTTGTATATATATGTATAATATATATATGAATCCGGGTAATTGTTTTTATCTTTATCCAACATTGAGTATATAATGTAATAAAACTATTATTAATAATATAATTTGTTTAACGAAATTTGATTTATTTCTATAATAATACATTTATACTGTAAATATTTAATTATATTTAGTATAACATATAATATGATTCGTATGAATATAAGTTATATAAATTTTTTTTATAAATTTTTATTTATAATTTTTAATTAAATTCAGACTAAATTTTATATATAGTTTAATTTATATCTAACTTATATTTAATCAATTTTAAACAAAAACAAATTTGTTGAAAAAAATTATTTGCTAACTTACTTGTATAATTTTAATTACATTTATTTTAAATCACTATATTCTACATACTTATAATTAGAGAAATTATTTTTTTTGTTACGTTTTCAATATTGAGACAGTTTTGCAACATTTGTTTATTGATTGAATTTTTTTTAAAAACATTTATCATTAGAAAACTAGACATTTAAATGTACACAAATATATGCTGTATATAAAATAAAATTTGACATTCATTTTGATTTAATAGTATTTTATTTTATTTTGCCTGCGATTTTTTAAATAAATCAATAATAATAATATACACTATATATTGTACAGTATATATATTAATATAATATTGTATTTACTGACTCTACAATTATTTATATATTATCTATAATACCATAATATACTGTATATGGTTACATACAGTTAGGGTTTTATAATGATTACAAAAGGAGGAAAGTTCCCTAATAAAATCCCTCTAATTTTCACGGAAAATATGGAAACTACTTTTTTCCTCCTAGGTCGTTATGAGGGAAAATATAATCTATTTTTTTACAGAAACTTAAATATTTTGAATAAAATTTTATTGAAATATTTAAAAAAAAAATAAAAATAAATTTCAAACCCATAGATGTGACATTATTGATCAATGTACCAATCAAAATAAAGTTTATTATAATATTTGTTTTTCAAAAATTATAATAAAATGTATTATTTATTGTTCACAAAGTTTAGAGCATAAAGAAATAGATTCCCTATGAATTCCCAGGGATCAGTCAACAACATTGTTGGGAACTTTTTGAAATATATGATGTGGGAGGGAATCATTACAAACCCCTACATACAGTATATTATTTTATATACCTGTTCAGTATAATAGAAACTATTGATGTATAAATTATTTTATTTAATCAAGTATTAGTGGGCAGTGATGAATAAAAGTTTAATGTTGTATTAATTTAGACATTTATTAATGATTTTGTTAATTAATTAATTATACCAATATATAGATATATMTATATATATATATATATATATATATATATATTTGTTGATTACAAACATTAAATAATTTCAAATGATAATTATTGTTCTATATTATATATATATATATATATATTTGTGATTATTATATGTTAATCATTAATTTTTTAAATCTAAAATATAGTTTGAATTTATCAATACATTAAAGATTTATTCATCAAAAATAATTGTAATATAATATTATATTTATATGGCTTAGTAAATGTTATTGAATCAAAATATTTTTTTTTTAAATTTTATTTTCAATTTATATGGCATTTTATGAAAGAGAATTGTAATATAAATTAAATAAATTATAATACAGTAATATTTGCATATTTTCAACAACAAAACAAATATATAATATTAAACATATTATAAATCACTAAATCAATAAATACAGACTGTATAATAAAGTATATAAATTATATATAATAATATTATTTAATATTAAATATTTTTTAAATCATTATTCTTGTTTTTTTTAAATATTATTCTATTAATTATTAAGTTACAAATTTAAACATAATAAACAAAATTACAAAAATTATTTAAAAGATAATAAAAAAAATAATTTTACAAAAAATTTTAATGTTATTGTCTCTATTCAGGTGCCAGCTCTGGTATCGGTGCGGCCACTGCCGTACATTTCGGTTCACTTGGCAGTGATCTAGCCATTGTTGGCCGTAATCGTTCAAATCTACAAACGGTACAGAAACAGATTACCGACGCCGGCCATACGGTCAAAGTGTTGCCAATTGTGGCCGACTTAAGTCGCGAGTTGGATACCATAGATGTGGTCAACAAGACTATTGAGGCGTTTGGAAAACTTGACATTTTGGTCAACAGTGCCGGTATTTTGACTAAAGGAACGGTAGAAAATACGACACTACAGTCTTACGATGAGCTCATGAATATTAATGTGCGATCGGTTTTTCATTTGATGCAACTGTCGATTCCTCACCTGAAGAAAACTAAGGGATCAATTGTCAATGTGTCCAGTGTTACGGGGCTCCGGGCGGTCAGTCTATATATATATATATATAATATATGCCTGTTCTTTTTCATAATAATTTTACTATTTATAATATAATTTCCTAATCTATGTATATTATAATTACCTGTATTTTCAAAACATACAGTTCCCGGGAGTTGTGGCCTACAATCTGAGCAAAGCTGCATTGGATCAGTTGACCAGAACGGCAGCTCTCGAGTTGGCCGCCGACGGTATACGAGTTAATGCTGTTAAGTAAAAGGGTTATTCATTAATCTCGCGCATGGGGTTTTTGCTATAACTCTTAAGCGGAGTGAGATATATTAATTTTGTAAAAAGTGTATTAAAATATGATTTACGCGTAATATTATAAAATATAAAATTTTTAATTTTGATAACGTGATCATATTTATGCTGGGCTGTTTGTAAACCACTATGTCACAACCTAACCTATAAATGATAGAATAAAATTTCAATAGCAATTTTTTAAAGCCTGACTTGGAAATTATGGGAAGAAAATTTTTTTTAAATTGGTCGAAAAATAAATTTTTTATGGCTTTTCAAACTTGTGAAAAAACACATTATATAAAATAGTCAAAAATAAAATGACGTTATTTATAAATAGTATACACTTATAAGATAAAGATTTTAATACTATTACATATTTGAAAAACTAAATTTTTTTATGTCTAATATTTTTTTAGATAATTAAATTTAAAATTAAATTACATTATCAAATTATAATGCTATGTTTTTATTGTAATATTAATATCTAAAAAAATATTTGACATAAAAAAATTTAGTTTTTAGAATAAGTAATAGTATTAAAATCTTTATCTTATAAGTGTATACTATCCATAAATAACGTCATTTTATTTTTGACTATTTTATATAATGTGTTTCTTCATAAGTTTGAAAAGCCATAAAAAATTTATTTTTCGACCAATTTAAAAAAAATTTTCTTCCAATAATTTTCCAAGTCAGGCTCTACAAAATTGCTATTGAAATTTTATTCTATCATTTATAGGTTAGGTTGTGACATAGTGGTTTACAAACAGCCCAGCATAAATATGATCACGTTATCAAAATTAAAAATTTTATATTTTATAATATTACGCGTAAATCATATTTTAATACACTTTTTACAAAATTAATATATCTCACTCCGTTTAAGAGTTATAGCAAAAACCCCATGCGCGAGATTAATGAATAACCCTTTTATGTAATTTAATTTGTTTTTATTAAGTTTTCAATTGAATTTTTAGTATTAATTAATACATTTTTTAAAATTTTATTTATTTTGTTAATCTAACCACACATAACAGTCCCGGTGTTATTGTAACAGAAGTCCACAAGAGAGGCGGTATGACTGATGATGACTATGCAAAAGTAAGTGTCACTACTTGTGGTGTGTACTGGGGAGAGGGAGGGGGTAGTTGTGTTTGTTTTTATTTAAGGTATTATATAATAATTTTTGTTTTTTCTAACCAGTTCTTAGAGCACAGCAAGACTACACACGCCATGGGACGGGTGGGCGAAGCTATAGAAGTGGCCAAAGCCATAGCGTTTTTGGCCTCCGACGACGCCTCCTATACTACTGGTGCCACTTTGCCCGTAGATGGCGGCCGCGCCCAGATGTGTCCGCGTTAAAGACATGATATATAATATTACGCTTGAATTAATCAATACAATTATTATTATTATTACTTATTTTTTGATTCAATTGGAAACTAAAATATTAAATATATAAAATTTATTGACAAATACTAAATTTCTGATTATATATATTTTTAAAATAATAACTAACATAATAAAAATTAATTATTAAAAAATACCGCTATTTATTGTTTAGTGATAAGTGATAAGTTTTAGTAATATTTTATAATTATTATAATATTGATGACTATTTAAAATTATTTTATATTAAATAATTTTAATTAGTAAATATAATAATAGTTAATATCTAATAAAAAATACAGTTATACTATCTAAAGTTTATAAAATTCAATATTAATTTGTTATTTAATAATAATTTTAACTTGTTTAACTACATGTAACTTGTAAATAAAAACTTATAAAAATATTATAATAAATATAATAAATCAATATTAGTATTGCAATTCACTATGAATATGTTTAATTTAACTATATTAAAGATTAATTTTTAAATAAAACTAAACTATTAAAATTAATTTTATGTGTTATTAATTTGTTTTATATGATATTTTTTCAACATTAAAACTATTTTTATTATTTTGTAATTATTACATTATTTTTATGTAAAAATACAATATATGAAAAAATTATTTTAATATAATTTAATATAATTTTGATAAAATAATTTGCTAATTGATAAGATCAATTATTGATATATTATATTAATTTAAACAATCAAGGTCATTTTTAGTAGTTAAGACAAAAAATTTTCAAATAAAACAAGTTTTTCCATTTAAATTATTAATTAAAAGTATCAAAAGTTTTAATTAAATAAACTGTTAGTAAACTACTATTAATATAATAAATATATATATATATAAAAATTGTTTGTGTTTATATGGATTGTAATAAAAATATTGACAAAATGTGTAATAAAATCAATGAAAATACTTTTAATTTGAATAATTACAATATGATTGCCATCGATATGGACAACACTCTAGTGAAGTACCAGTTGAACAATAGTCTACAATTGACGCACACTATACTACAGGATATACTGGTCGATAGGTATGGCTATCCCGCAGATATTAAACAACAATTCCAACCGAAGTTTAATCAAAAGGGTTTAGTAGTTGACAAACGCCGGGGAAATATACTCAAATTGGACGCCAACTACCGGGTAATGGTTGCCAAACACGGATTCACCGATTTAGATGCCGTCACCATAGATGCCATCTATGGTACCGATAAAGTGCACGATGAGTTGAAACAAATGCCGCAACGTTTAAACATGGGAACCATTGGTACCGATCAAGTGTTTGACTACTATGTAATCAGAGACTATTTTTCCGTGCCGTCGGCCCAGATATTTGCCCAAATCGTTAGCGTGACTGACCAATTGGGTGCCGAGTTGTCACCAGTAAACGGCAACTATCGTCGCATATGGCTAGACGTATACAACTCGATTGGTTTGATGTACGGAAACAATGGTTTGAAGACTAGTTTTGGTGAAAATCTTAGCGCGAGTCCGGACACGTATTTTATCAAAATATCCGACAAACTGCAGCACATGTTGCGCCGGTTGCGCAAAAACGGCCGACTCGTGATACTGATTACGTCGGCCAATGTGGATGTCATGCGATTTATGATGCAATACGCGTTCGGCTGCGATGACTGGATATCCTGTTTTGATTTGGTGCTGACGTACGCCCGAAAGCCAACTTTTTATACCACTGATCGGCCGTTTCTCGCCGTTGATCACAACAACGTCATCGGTAATCCTGTTGACGGCACCGATGATCTCTGTAGTGGCCAAATCTATTCCGAAGGCAATTGGCAGACAGTTAAGACATTTGCATCGAAACTATTGGCTAAATCGGAACCGAAATGCTTGTACATCGGCGACAGTTTCAATGACGACTGTATGGTTCCCAATCTGTATGCCGGCTGCGATACGGTCGGCATTGTCGAGGAATTGGATGAATCGGTTCGACCAGATTTGGATCCCAGTTATTGGCAGTCGTTTTTCGGTGATAAACAAAATAATAATCCAAGTCTTTGGGCAAAAATACTTGAAACTCATACAAAACTTTTGGTACCTGACGTCGAGTGTTTAGTTGAATATTATTAATAAATAAATAAAATTAAAATTACAAAAAAAACTAATTAATTAATATTTTTGAAAAATGTTTTAAAATTACTACTCGATATTATTAGTATTGATAAAAGTAATAAAATAAATATAATTATTATATTTAATGTAAACTTTCTTAATAATTAATAATCTGGAATATTATTATTATTAAAAAATTTGTCAAATTTTTAGCAAACATTATACAATTATAATAGTATTTTAGTACTAAATAGTATTAAATTTTAATCTATGTCTTTTTTAAGCCAGTTTTATGCAAATTATATATTAATATAAATTATATATATATATAAAATAATCAATTAATAAATACTTATTAAAAGTTTACATTTAATAGAAAAAGGTTATTAAACTTTTTTTTATATCAATATTTGATATAAAACATTAATATAATAAAATTTAATTTCTACTATGTAATTTATAGTTAAACTAAAAAAAAAGTTTATTATTCAAATACAATTATATTAATTTCATAATAATTTTTATTAATCAATAAAAATATTTATAATATATAAAATACGATTGACATAACTATTAGCATAAATTATATTTATAAAATTTATAATATTATTTAATTTATATCTTAATGATTATTAGTCATACTTTTTATATATTTATATTTCACTATGACTTTAATTGTTAATGATATGGTAAGCAATATTAATGTTAAAATGGAAAAAATATTGATTATTTTGTATAAAACTAAAATATAAAATTGTATTTTTGTCTTTAAAATCAATAATTTATTTAAACACACAAAATAAGTTTACTGTATAATAGTGTATAAATATGATTAAAAAAATAAATATTATAATAATAGGGTACAAATTTAATTATACCTATTTATTTGTCATTAATAATATAGTAAATTATTGAAAAAAATATTAGTTTTCATTAAAAAAAATAGCTATATATATATAAATATCTTTATTTTTAGTTTAAATCTAAAAAATTAAAAAATATATTTAAAAAATAGTTTCCAAAAGAGAAATAATTGCAAATTAAAAAAAATATAAATATTATATTTTTTAATAATACAGTACTTTTTCTAAATTATTTTTACAGTATTTGCCGTAATTTTTGTCACAAATAATACAGTAGTTTCTCTAATGTATAAAATATATAACATTTTATATGCAGTATATTGTGAGCAGGGTTGGGAAAATACAAGGTTTTGAATTTTGACTTTATATAATACAATGTATTATACAAATTTAAAAACTAATTTATCTACTATCTTGAAAAATTTATAAAAAAAAATATTTAGTAAAAATATAATTGCTAGAAAATACATTATTATTATTATTATTACTATTATCGTTGTTTCTAAGTAATAATAATAATGAAATAATTTAAACTAAAAAATTAAATTCAATAAAAAATAATATTAAATCTATATTTATTATAAAATATGGGTTACTTTGCTTATATCAATGCTTTTAGCAGTATGTGGGGCTAAATTTTTGTAAGCCAAATTAATCATTTATTTTACATTGTATAATACGTTTTGTATTATACAAACATTTAGTCTCTGCCAACACTGATTGTCAGTGCAAACGGTATTACACACACACACACTGTATTAAATGTGTAATAATAATAATAATACTGAACTGACTGCTACTATATTTGCAAACATTAATGTAATGTAATAACAACAGTGCTATCGTCTAAAATTTAAATACCAAAATATTTTATGCCATACAATGTAAAAGAAAATTTTATTAAATAATAAAAACATGTTTTGATAATCTATTAAAAATATAATTATCAGTATTATTATCATCATTTTTTTGTATATATATATATAAATAATCTCATTATACTATCTTATCGATAATATATTACATAATTTATATGTGCTAATAATTTTTATTTTTACTATAAGTAATGTATGTGTGTTTATGGTATTTGAAATAATACAGTATTATGTTATAATTTTTTTAATGTTCAATGAATATGTTTATCCAAATTATAATATAAGAATATTATCAGAATATTATTAATAATAATGATATTAATACCTATTATTGTTGATAAGCAATCGATTTAATAAAAAGATTTACAGTATTATTAATTTAGTGCCATTTAGTATTAAAATTATAATAATCTCAAGTAATTATTAATTAATTATTTATTTATTTGTGTTGTTGTTGTAAAATATTATAATAATTATAATTATTTCCTTTATAATCTGATATAATTGCTATCTATATACTGGAATATACTATTAATATTATTAGCATTTTTAAAAAAAAAACTGTGATATTATAAATTTATATTTAAAAAACTAAAAATTGGTTAATTTATTCTAACTTATAAAAAATATCTTATAATTTATATACTGTATATTATATACAAGTATTGGTTAATTAACATAATAATAATTATTAAAAGCCATGTTTGACTTCCTCCAAGTGCTGTACGGTTCGGTAATAGCCGTTTTCTCGGCCGCGGCCATAATGGCCATTAACCAGATGTTCGAGTTGTGTCCGCAATGGTATCCGTCATGTATGCGTCAACAGCCGTTGGCCACGACCTGTGCCATCACTTCAGCCAAAGTTGTCTACAAAAGATGGAAATGGAGAAACTTTTTCATCTCATTTGTTCATTCAATGGTCACCGGAATCGGGTCTCTTATGTGGTCAGTAGTCAATAATCGGGTGGTCACTAAAAAAAATCTATTATTTATTTGATTTATTGTATTTGTATTGAAATTTATTTATATTACAGGTAAAAAAATAAGTTCAATTAGTAATCATACAAATATAAGTTATAGTAAACTATTTTTTTAGAAATTTATAATTAATTAATTATTATTAGTATTGATATAGTAGTACTAATTATCGATTTTATACAATATAAATTAGATGAATAATATTCAGTATATAGAAATAAATTGCTATTGTTTTAAATTAAAACATAAAGAATATTCTTTAATTAGTATATACTGTAATGTACTGTATATTATAGTACAATACTGTATATTATTATTTTATATGAATAGTCATTACTTCTAATAATTAACTATAATTATACAATAATTTTGTTTGTATGTCTATTGCAGTGCATTATATATGCCGTCACTTTTGGTGGATGTAATCGATTGCTATCTGGAAGGGGCTTATATACTCACTTCAATATCACTGGGTATTAATGATAATAAAAAATCAATTATTATTATTATTATCATTAGTTTAGATTATTTTTATGTTAGTTTTTTATTTCTATATTAATTGTATTTTTTTTTAAATAAAAAAGGCTACTTTGTCTATGACCTGATTGAGATGATCACTCATTTGCAATACAAGGGGACCAAAGAGCTACTTGTGCACCATATTCTGGTAATAATATCTACTGTATGATTAGCACTGGTATCCAGACATCCATACCCTTCACAGGCAGACAGTTATCAATGCAGTCATACTATTTTTATTTTAATAATTGATTTTTTCTATATAATAATATATTGAATATATATATAAATTTACTATTTATAGATAATCTCGTGTTTCCTATTAACGGTCACGCAATACAAGTACTGCGGTTACGCTACTATTGCACTGCTTATTGAGATAAGCAATATATTTCTACACTTCCGGCAATTGCTTCTCCTATCGGACACTCCCAAGTCATCACTTGTCTATAAAGTCAATTGTTATACAAATCTAGGTATAGTATTAATATTAGTAGACATAGTCATGAGTGTTATACTGTATATACAGTATATATATCAATATATCATAATTGACAAAAATGATAACATATTTTTAAAAATTTTGTTTTTGGTTATTGTTTTGCTATTTTTTTGTATACCAGTCCTATTCATCATAGTTCGGGTGGCATGTCTTGCATGGCTCTGGACTACCCTAATATGGGTACTGCCGAAAGTGCCAATCATTGCCAAAACAATTGCTTTTACTTCATTGATCGGCATCTGTACCATGACTTACGTCTTGTTCGTCCGAATCTATCAGTCGGACTTCGGGGCCGATAATCGCCGCGACTTACAGAGAAACGGCATCAATAATGAGTCGGCCAACGCTGGTGCTGAACAGGCACTACTCGGTGGCGGCGGCCGTAAAAGTGGCCAAACACTGGAACAAAGTAATGGATTCTCAAAGTCGACGAATGAAAAAAATTCTTAACAAACAAACCAAACAAAAAAAAACGAAGAAATTATTGTTATGTGTGTTGTTGTTGTCGTTGTTGTGGCCAACCATTCAAACTACCTGTTCCCTGAATTTTTTTAATTAGTATTATATTTATAATATGCGATTATACAATAATATACGATAATAATGATAATAATATATTATGTTATTATAGGTATTATTGACTTACATTGAATTATATTAGGTATTAACTTTCAGATTATGTAATCTCTAATTCAATGGTAATATAATTTAATGCAAATAATTAGTCATTTTGCAGAATTATATTATTATTAATAATAATACTGTAATTGATAATACAATTACTAATCACTGATTAGTATTATACAGTATTTAAAAAAAAAATTAAATCATAACAAAATTTAATAATTATTAATTATGTGATAATATTTAATTTAGATAAGACACAACAAATATGATACCATTTAAATTGCATTATTTATTCAATAATCTCTACTAAGTTTTATTAATTAATTAAATATTTAATGATCAAATCGAGATCAAATAATTATTTTGAAAAAAATCAATAATATTTTTCTGTATAATTTTAACAAAAAAAACATGTAATGATTTTTGATATGAAAATCGATTTTTCCAATTTAATAGCAATACTCATAATCGCTGATGATTTTTTTTGTTGACAAGTAATATAAATAATATATTTATTATTTTTTAATATTAAGAAAACTCATTTTTTTTGTATTCAAAATACAGTATTTATATTATGTACAAAAAATTTTGTTATATTTTTTGTTATATAATTTTGATTATAATAAATTATGTAGATTTAGTTTGATATCTAATTAAATATTTGTTTATATACAATAATTTAAATATCTTTAATTTATATATATATATATATATCATATATACTAACATATAATATTCTATATACAGTAATTAAATAAATAGACATTTGATTATTATATAATAATAATATAATAAATATATACAAAATAATGTAATATTTACCGGTAAATGTTTTTTTTAAATAAATTATCTGTAAATAAGTCGAGTGCACTTAAAATGATAGACTTTAAATAAATAAATGAAAATTTTTCTTAATATACAATATAAAACTATTTAAAAAATTAAATAAAATATCATTTATTGTCTGAATTAAAAAAATTGAGTTGAATTTATTGTTTAATATAAATCTTGTTTAAATATAAAAATTGTTTTTGTTGTGTTTATAACAATTGAATTAAAAACATTTTAAAAACATTTAGTACAAACATTTATGTTTTTTCGTAACTCAAATAAAATAATTATTTTTATCACTTAAATTACTTTATATTGTAGTTTATTAATAAAAAATCAATTATTATTCTTTATTATATAAATCGATTGGTTTAGTCTATTCAATAACCGGACGATTTTGCTAACTGTTTGATTAATTAGCAATTAAGACTAATTTATAGCAAACAAATAGTCTCATTTGCTATTCAACGGGACAGTTGTCTTAACATACCTTGTCGTATAGTAAACATGTCTTTCTATAAACTGTGACAAAACATTGTTTTTTATATAATGTTATAATTACAATAAAAATTATTTATATTATTATCAAATACTGTATATATATTAATATAAAAATTACAACAATTTATAAATTATCAACACTTAAATGACTGTTTTCTATTATATGAGTTTAATCCAAATAATATTACAAAATAATAAATATAATATTAAAGTTAATAGTTATTTCATCATTAGGATATATGCTCCCAGGTCAGTTTGCAAAAAAAAGTTTTGTGAACACTTTATGGCCCCTTAGATGATGGTACATGGTGAATTTTTTTTACAAACTAAAAGCCATTTACAGTATATAAGCGCAACAGTAATATTCAGCTCAAATCACTAGTAAATGCTACACAAAATACAACTAATATTAAATGCAGTGATTATTAAAGATTTTTAAATAACTATATTTTTTAAGAGAAATTTTTTTTTTCTAAAATTGGTGTTTTGATATTTTGTGGACACATATTTTGGTACAAATATTTTGGTACAAAGGGTACACAAAGTTTTTATTATATACAGTATATAAGTACAGTAATTATATTATTTAAATAATTGATCACAAAAAAAATTGATGGTCATCTTCATCAAAATAAATAAATAATAATACTATAAAATGTCAGTAAATTTTGTGCCATAGTATAAAAATTGATTGACATTTTTTTTATAAAAAAAAACCAGTATCAAATTTGTTTATATTTAATAATTATGTGATTTATATAAATAATGTTATATTTTAATACTGTATATAAAATTAGTTAAAATACATTATTATTTTTTTTTGTTGAGAAGCCCATCAATTTTTTCAGATCAATTATCTAAATAATATATTGTCGATATAATATTCTTAAATATATTTTACAGAATTAATTGTCTATAACTGTTTAAAAGTTACTCCAAAATTTTCTACACCCTCTTACCCCTACCCCACTCACTCTCACTTTCTCTCCTATTTCTAAAATGGAAACAATTAAAATATTAATTAACTAAATAAAATTATTTTTTWAAATTACATTTATTGTTTTATCGTTCAATTAGCTGATRGCTGATTGGGGTTGTAATGATAATAATCCACGATAACGACTACAATATTATTGTCGACCAATAGTGACCGATATTTACGGTAATCAAAACGCGTATATTTAACGTTAAAATATAACGTTTATTATACGCTTACAAAAAAGATAATGAGATACAAAACGTGAGAAAAATACAGTATTTATAGAGAGAGAGAGAGACATCTATAGATCGGCCGACAGTTCCCCGACATTTCAAGCGTCTGACCACCGATAATAGGCCCCCTCAACGTCTTGTAAAGCGGTCGTCATCTAAATGGCCGAGTCTTCGGGCTTTGATAGCCACTCGAAAGCTTCGTTCGACCGAATTTCGGTAAAAACGAATGGTAAGTCCGCTTTTACGAATTGGTCGATGACTTCCTCGGCCGCCGTAGCCGAACACAACGTCCAGACGAAGCGAACTACGATCTTCGGCCACTCCTCGGGCGCCGAGTGGCAAATCACGATTGCCGGCGCGTTCGACGTAGCAAAAATCGCCCGGTCACTACATTTTCACGTGCATTTGACTGCTGTCCATAGCACCTCGACTTCGACGATTCAATAACCAAAGCGACCTTAAACCATCGGCGGTAGTTTTGAGTCTCCCAATAATCTTCTAATAGTTGCCGATAGCTATCGGGCATACCGTTTGTTGGCGTCCTTAAGACCGGCCGATTTTATAAGTCGACGCATATCGTTGTATTACATGGTTACGGTCTCAATCTTGTTTAGTGTGCGTCGGGTGGCCTTAATCAAGGGTTTGTTGACTGACGACTCAACCGTGTGATTATTAAATTGCGGCAGCGATCCCATGTCATTGTTTATCAATCGGGTTTCACTTCTTCGGCCATCCAGGACAAGGCTTCACCCGAGAAATTTCTGGCGAGAGCTTTGAGTCTTTCTCTATCGCTGTCGGCATCGATAGTAAGGAGCAAAAACATGCGGAGCCACTCCTCTATAATGATGTTTGCGTCGGGTCCGCTATATTTTCGCATACCATACCGACAATACGGCCCGTCGGTTGCTCGGATTGATCGGTGCTCTGCGGAACTGTAATATGACGACGATTGCGAACACGTGTCGTATGTGTGCGAGGATTGCGACCTCGGCTTCGGGTGTTGTAGGCGACCGGCATTGTAACAATACAATAAGTGATTAATGGTTGCGTAGGTTATCTGTGTCGACTACGCCACTTAATGTCGACCAATAGTGACCGATATTTACGGTAATCAAAACGCGCATATCTAGCGTTAAATTATAACGTTTATTATACGATTACAAAAACAATAATGCGATACATAACGTGAGAAAAATACAGTATTTATAGAGAGAGTTAGAGAGAGAGAGAGAGAGAGAGAGAGAGAGAGAGAGAGTCTATAGATCTACCGACACTATTAATAAAAATAAATTATTTTTAATAATTATTAAATATACTTATTTAAAAAAAAATAATTCAGATATTAATAGTGTTATCTAGATATATATAATAATAAAGATTTAATTATCATAAATAAAAAGCTAAGAAAAATAAAGTGAATACAAATTCAAATCTTAATAATTTTTTATATAATGGATTTAATTAGCGAAAATTTTTAATATGAAGACCTTTATTATAATAGAGTTGACGGAACCTACGATTCGGTGTTGCAATAAATGGTACATTTTTTCCCAATAAAATTCAATGTCTTTTTGGCCACATGACTGGGTGCCGAGTCCTGGTGAAAGTACTAATCACCGTTTGGGTACAATTTCGGTAAATCAGGGCGGAGAAATATCTTCAATATCTTATTATATATAATCATTCAAAGTTTTATAATTGAAATCTCATAAAAATAATTAAAATGTAACTAAAATTTTAGATTTAAATTAGTAAATATCATAATTTTTTATTAATATTTTATTTGTTTAATTTAACATTTTTATACAAATACTGTTTACTTTCTAATAAATATTTATATAATCTCATCAATAATCTTAAGAAATTAAATTAAAAGTAATAAAAATTGTTTATAAACTAATGTTTATTTAGATCATTTAATAGCAACAATTATCTGGTGTTGATTTTATTTTATTTATTTTTTTGGACAGTAGTGTTTCGGTACTCAATTAAATATTATTATTTTATCAGCACTATTAGCACTGATAGTCAAATACAATATATATAGACCAGTGCTTTAAACCATTGTTTTAATGTTATTATATGATTAATAATAATTTATAATGAATGATAATTTATAATTATAATTATTATTAGTTGTAAAATAGAACATTAACTATTACTTAATAATTATTATTAATTATAAAGTCTGTAATACAACTAATATTAAATGTTAATAAAATATTTAAAAAAAATTATTTTTAGATTATAATTAAAACTGTCATGTCTACCTATTGCTATAGCAACAATAAACAAGTACTATATACAGTGTATCAGTGTAACACTGATTAACATTATATATAGGAATTTTTTAATTATTATTATAATTTATGAAATGTACCATGATATCTATTGTTATCTATGAATAATTTTGAACATTAATAACGTTATTACATTTATCAAAAAAGTTATCATGATACCACTTAATGTTAATCACTGATATACACCTATTAAACCACTTGCACTACAGTAACTACTTGTTTACTGTTGCTATAGCAATTAGGCAGACATGACAGTTTTAAATATAATCTTTTAGTTTTTTAAGTACAGGTATTACAAACTATTTAGTATTTTATAATAATTAATAATATGTTTTTATGAAAATTACTGTAATAGTTAAAAATAAAATATCATTTATTGTTTGAATTAAAATTGATTTCAATTTATTACTTAATAAAAATCTATAAATTATTTGCTAATCACTGATAACATATAGGGATTGGTTTATTGATATGTTTGACTAATTGATTGTTTGTTATGAGACATAAAAATTAGATTAAAATAATTGAAAAATACTAAACTAATAAAACATTTGTCACATAATATATAAGATTAGTTTAGTCTATTGAGAACCGGACTCTTTTGTTGCTAACTGTTTCATTAGTTGACAATTAAGTCTCATTATAACAAATTGGTCACTACTGGTAGCATCAGTAGCACCCATACGTTTATAGTAGTCTATGGCACTCTTGTTGGCCATCAAACAGTCCCATTCCATGCGTATACACGACAATTGGATGGCATCTCTGGCCATTGCAGCCATTAATGCACGTCCGACGCCAGCGCTTCTGTAGTCGGGCTGAACATAAAGTGCATCCATCCAGACTGTCCTACCCGAGCACGTGGCATACTTAGGATAGTATAGCACAAAACCAATTAGTTTATTATCAGCTACTTGTGCCACAATTAAACGAAACAAGCGTTTGTGTAGCTGATCGCTAAACCCGTCTTCTTGTAGTTGGCTTACTCTGGGCACCCGATCCACATCCATGTCCTGATATACAGTTAACTCATGAATCAATTGCTGTACAGCGGGACAGTCTTCTAGCATACCATGTCTTATAGTAAACATTGTGTTTAAAAAAATATATTCTTTAAAATTATTTATATCTAAATAGTTATATTTATTATAACATTAACTTTAATTTTTATTGATAAGAATTTTTTTTAAATTATAAAATTATTAACTATTATACAGTATTAATATTTTAGTACTATTTAAGATATGTATTTAATGGAAAAGTTTATCTAAGTTTATATATCTTTAATATGATAATTGAATTATTGCACTGAACTTGAAATTGTGTAACACATGTTGTCATACTATTATCAGCTATAAAAATAAACATTTTTAAATAAATGATAAATACTGTATTTATTACTTATAAATTCATAATTATATAGATTAATTAATTTTTAATTTTTTTTATTTAAGTTAACTATATTAATAGTTAACTATTTCAGTATTTAATGATAAATAATGTATTCAACTAACCTTACAGTAATGTGTGTGTGTGTTAACACATGTAAACTACTGTTATCATTCATAATGTACTTTATAAGCTATCAAAAAAATATATATAAATTTATATCAAACTAAATGATAAATTCTATATTTTATTATAAAACTTCATAATTATACATAAATTGATTGATTTAAAAAAATTTATTGCTTATTGTCTGCCAATTGTTTAAGATCATCACCGCGTAATGCTAGCCAATGAAAACCATAGGTTTCGCTAAAATCTTTGGCACCCAAACTCTTATAGAAAGTCATGGCCTTGACATCACTGGCCACACAATTCCAATATATATATTCCCAGTTCTCCCGGACGGCATATTTGGCCAATGTTTCCATCAGTGCCCGGCCTATACCGGATCGACGATGTTTTTCATCGACAATCAAGTCTATCAAACTGATACCCTTACCCAAACAGGGAGAAAAGTGGGGTATATACAGTGCCATACCTATCAACTGTTGGTGTTGTTGTTGTTGTTGACTATCGTTGGGTTGTTGTTGTTGTTGTTGGACTACAAGCGTATAAAACTTTCGTTTGTCTAATTGATCACAGAATCCATATTCTTCAAGTTGTTCGACACTTTGTACCGGCATTTCATTGCTGTCAACCTTTATGTGGTCCATCAGTGAGACAATCATTGCCCGTATTGATGGACAATCACTTTTAACACCCGGTCTTATGATAAATGGTGACGAAGACGCCGATGACATTGTTTGTTCAGTGATTGTCTTATTAATTACTGTAAATTTAAGGTTACAATACTTTATATCAAATTATACATTACACATTATATATATAATAATTAATTGACACCAGACATGATATTAATAGGAGAATTAATCAATAAAATAAAAAATAAGTATTAATAAAAACAAATCTTATCACATGTAGATATATAAAGTATACAATAGCATGTGATACTAATAGAAATTTTTTAATTAATTGATTATATTAAAGTGGTTATACCAATAATATATAGATATTACATACAGATATATATGACAACTTATTTTGCAAGAAAAAATATAATAAGTATTGAATAGATTTGTGATAATATTTGTATTATTATTATTCTTTACACTGTATATTATATTTTTAATTTATTTTTATTAATTTATTTTTCCAATTTATACTAATGTCTAGTTTGCACTTAAATATGATTTCCAAGAAAGATAGATCATTAGGACATTAGTTAACTAATGTGATCAACTGTTATGTTATATTTAAGAGTAAATAATAATAATAACATATATATTTAAAAAAATGTAAACCCAATTTATTTTTTAATATAAAATTAAATAAATTTAAATTACAATTTAGATTACAATTAAGAAATTATATAAAAAAAATTGAAAATATAGTTATCCAAATAATGTTTATTAAAATTGCTGCAATCATCAATTATCAATATAAATTAATTTTCCTAAAGTTTTTAAAATATTTTTTTTTAAATAAATATAATTCATATTTTTAAAAATTTATCGTTTTATAAATTATTAGCGTATGTGCAATAAATATTAACTTATATATTATTTATAATTGCAGAAAAATAAATAGAAAAATATTTATTTCAATTTTTTCTTAGTTTTTATAATTTTGGCAACAATAAAATTTTTAAATGTAATACTATTTTGCAATGACTGTGCAATGATATGTATTAAGTTTTTCTTACCGTATATTAGAAATAGTAATTATTTGTTAAAATATCAATAATAATGATACATACTGTATATATTTTAAATATACTTGTAATGATATACTTGTATTATAATGTAATTTTGTTGTCATATGATAACAGCATATATTTAAATTTTTATTATTTTTAATCTGCAATTATTGTGTACTATTTAATATTGTTGGAATATTAATAATAAACTAAATACCTTGGTAACAGTTATCAAAACCGTTAATCAAAATAAAAATATTTATAATTATTTATTAACATTAATACAAGTTGTACAATATTATTATATTATTAATACTAGTATTAGTATTATATAAAAGTACTTATTTATTAGCATATGATATCATATGATTAGGAAATTAAAAAAAAAATATTGAAATATTTAATAATAAAAATATTAACTATTCAATTGTAAAGTTTACTTAAAAATAGATTACTACAAAATATTTATTAATAAAAACTAATAAAATTTAATCTATTTAATCAATAATTATAAATATATTAATTATATTAATTCCGATAATTTAATCAAATTGTTGCCATAAATAAAAAAGTTGTGTATATTTTTTGTTTCCGTCCAATCAGTACCACCGATCCTCTTGTAAAAGGCAATGGTATCGGTATTTCGCATAAAACATCCCCACCGAAAGTAATTGCAATAACCATCGTTTGCCGACTCATTGGCCACTGCAGCCATCAATGCTCGGCCGGAACCCGAACCGCGAAACTCTGGACAAACATACAGATACTCCATACAAACGCCGAGGCCATTGAACGGCGTGAACGTCGGATAGTATAATGCAAAACCAACTATCTGTTCACTGGTGTTGTGCTTCAAGATAACTGTCCTAAACACTGATCGTTCGCCAAAACCATCCCTATCTATCTGTTCCACACTTACAACAGTTTCGGGATCTCTATTATTAAACTCAGCAAACTTTTTGAACAAATCTCTTACTGCATACTTGTCCTCTACTATTGCTTTTTGTACAGTAAATGTAGATTTAAATTTTTCATTATTCACTACACTATTAGCTAATTGTTTCAATGGTTCACCAGTCATACCAAACGAATGGGACGACATCTCTATTGTCTCGTCAATGATGCCTAAAGACTTGAATATCGACCCGAAGTGGTCGTCCCAACCGAAACAATTTAACTCCATAAATGTGATATCGCTTGTAACTGCTTGTTTGGCCAGTGACGATAACAATGCCCGACCCACACCACTACTGGCACCTGTATCTAATTTGATAGTATACTCATCCCTCACATAGAGATCCTCTATACAAATGCCTTTTCCTCTGATTATTGTGTAACCATTGGAGTAGATAATGTAACCAATTAGTTGTTGTTGTTGTTGTCTATCATAGCTTCTATTATTATCATTGAGTTGAGCTACTAGTGTCCGAAATTGCCATTTATTGGTGTTGTCATCACTGAACCCATTGTTTTCTAACTGTTCATCACTGACAACAACAGTACGGCTGACATGCGATCTGTGATCACTGGCCGAGCATTCAAATAGTTGTCTCAACTGAGAGATGTCTGATTTGTTGGCTTCACGTATAATAAACATTACTTTTTTTTGTGTTTATAATGCAATAATAATAACTTTTAATATATTTAATTATAAATAATACTATTAACTAAATGTTTGTTTTAAATTTGTCTCTAAACAGTAGTTATTTAAGTTAAAATATTTCATGTTATTCATGAAACACAAAATTAATTAATTTATCAAGTTTAAAAATATACCCAATGATAAAAAAATGATATTGATGACAATGGTTACTTTTGATTAATTACAGCATATATACAGTAATTTAATATTTTTTAAAATCTAATAATATCATACATGTATATTATGACCTTGATAAATAATACAGAAAAAATAAATAAAATTATATATTGATTTAATTAACTAACTTACTGTATATTTAGATTTCACACTGAATAAATATATTTCAATAGTGAACGTATCTATTTCATTGTGAACACAGATATTTCAAAAGTAAACTTATTTATTTCAATACTCAAAAATTTACAAAATTTAAATGGTAAAGCAATATGAATAAAAACATAAATTAATTTTATTTATTTTATCATAAAATGTAGCCATCTAAAAACCATGTAAAAATAATAATAAATTAGTAAATTATCTTAATCTATAGTAAATCAAATTTTTAATGTTGTCAAAGTTAATTTTTATACATTCCCTCTTGCGCGCATTTTCAAGCAATTTCACGCAATTTCACGCAATTAGGTCAATCGAAAATTACCAACACTATTAATAAGTATTAAATGTATTATAATAAAACATAGTTTTGAGTATTTAAATAAATAAGTTTACTTTTGAAATATCTGTGTTCACAATGAAATATACGTTCACTCGAAAATAAATACGTTTACTATTGAAATAGTTTTGAAATACTTTGAAATAGTTTTGAAATACTTTGAAATACTTTGAAATACTTTGAAATACTTTGAAATACTTTGAAATAATTAGGTGAAACAGTGTAACGTAAATAAAGTACAATATGATAAACTACTGTACAATAAACTTCATATAATAAAATTAAAAAATAAATAAAAAGGTAAAAAACTATTTACAATTTGAATAAAATTATTATTATTAAAAACATAAGTAATATAAATTCAATTAAAACTTTAATTTTTAAAATAATGATTACAATTGCGATAATTGAATCAAATCGTTGTCGTAAATAACAAAGTTGTGTACATTTTTTGTTTCCGTCCAATCGATTGCACCGATTCTCTTGTAAAAAGCAACCGTATCGGTAAACCTCATGAAACATCCCCACCGAAAGTAATTGCATTGACCATTGTTTGCCGACTCATTGACCACCGAAGCCATCAATGCTCGACCGGCACCCGAACCGCGAAACTCTGGACAAACGTACAGATACTCCATACATACGCCGCGGCCGTTAAATGACGTGAAAGTTGGATAATAAAGTGCAAACCCGACTATTTGTCTACTGGTGTTGTGCCTCAAGATAACTGTCCAAAATACTTGTCGTTCACCAAAACCATCCCTATCTATCTGTTCCACACTTACGACAGTTTCGGGATCTCTATTATTAAACTCAGCAAACTTTTTGAACAAATCTCGTATCGCATACCTGTCCTCTACTGTTGCATTTTGTACAGTGAATGTAGATTTAAATTTTTCATTATCACCATTATTATCAATCACACTATTAGCTAATTGTTTCATTGGTTCGCCAGTAATACCAAACCGATGATATGACATCTCTATTGTCTCGTCAATGATGCCTAAAGACTTGAATAGCGATATCAAGTGGTCGTCCCAACCGAAACAGCTCAACTCCATGCATGTGATACCGCTTGTAACCGCATGTTTAGCCACTGCCGACAAAAATGCCTGACCCACACCACCTCCATCACTAGCACCTGTATCTAATTTGTTAGTATACTCATCCAGCACATAGAGATCCTCTATCAAAATGCTTTTGCCTCTACTCATTGAATAACCATTTGAATAGATAACGTAACCAATTAGTGAATGTTGTCTATAATAGTCGCTATTATTATCATTGAGTTGAGCTACTAGTGTCCGAAATTGCCATTTATTGGTGTTGTCATTACTGAACCCATTGTTTTCTAACTGTTCATCACTGACAACAACAGTACGGCTGACATGCGATCTGTGATCACTGTCTGAGCATTCAAATAGTTGTCTCAACTGAGAGATGTCTGATTTATTGGCTTCACGTATAATAAACATTATTTTAGTGATTTTATAATAAAATTATAATAATTTGGAATTAATTAAAAAATACTATTAACTAAATGATTGTTTTAGATTTTTTTAATCATTAAATAGTAGTTATTTAAGTTAAAATATATTATTATATGTTATTTAGTTTTTAAAAAATGTTACCAATGATAAAATATAATATTGATATAATAGCTACTTTTGATTGATTGCAGCATATTTTAAAAATATTACATGTGTATTATAACCTTGATAAATACAATATTGATTTAATTTCATAATTTATTAATACTTTGTAAATAATACTTAAATTTATTATAGAAAAAAACTGTATATAATATTATTAGTAATGCAATAAATCATTTTATATATATAATATTACTATTGTTAATACAGTTAGTATTGCAGGTAATATTGTTAGTATTGCTATACTATTACTAAATCACTATTAAATATCGATAAAAATAAAACTACTGTTCATTACGTTTATAAAATGTTTTATGTTATCAAATATAAATTATAGATTCTAAATGTTTATCATATATTATACTATATATAAATCGGTATAAATATATATATATAAATGTAGTATATATTCAGTATTATATATCATATCTATGAATTGCCATAAGTATATTAATTTGTATTAATTTTTCAATTTTATTGAATAATTATTACATTTATTATTTGAAAGTTCATTTTTATTTTTATTTACTTTAGTAAAATAATTAAGATTAGTTTAAACATTAATAAATTTATAGTAAACTAATGTAAAATTAATTACCAATAATAAAATACAAAAATAAATAAAGGTAAAACTTTAATAAAATATTTTTATTATTATTAAAAACATACTCTATATAAAATAAATTAAATTAACACAATATTTATTTATTATTTATTAAATGTTTATAAGAAAAATCATACAAAAATATGTTTACTATAAGGAAAGCGGTTAAAGATGATTGTCCGATATTAAGACAACTAATACAAGGATTGGCTGCATATCACAAATTGAACACAGTTTTGGTTTATCCGGTGGAACAGCTCGAAGAACAAGGATTCAGTGATCAGCCATCGAAACAACTGTTTCAGGCACTGGTAGCCCAAAGTACTGATAGTAAACAACAACTCGTCGGTTATATCATCTATTTTATGACATATTCTGCATTTAATGGAAAAGTCATTCAAATGGAGGAACTGTATGTCCGTGAAGAGTATAGAGGATGTGGTTTGGGTCGGACACTCATGAGAGAGTTGGCTAAAGAAGCCATACAGTTGTCTGTTGGCAGTATTGAATGGGATTGTATGTCAAACAATGAGAGCTCAATATTGTTTTATAAGCGTTTGGGTGGTAAAGATCTGGCAGATATTGATGGCATTCATATGTATAGTCTTAAGGGTGATAAACTAAAACAATTAGTTAATACATGTGACTCGGATGGCCATCAATGTCTGACAACTATTATTAGAGAGGCAACCAAAGAGGACAGTTGTGTTTTACGCCAATTGACACAAGAGTTCACTAAAGAGGTTAATATGATTAGAGATGTTGTCAGCGAACAAGACCTGATTGATAATGGATTGAGTAATGGGTGCGATAGTAGACAATTGTTTCAAGTGTTTATTGCCGACAGTGTAGACAGTGGACAGCCGATTGGATACATATTTTATTGTCGAGCATACTCGCCATGGAATGGCACCGGCTTCTGGATTCGCAACTTATATGTGCGGCCAGAGTACCGGCAAAAAGGTTTGGCCCAACATCTAATGGCAGCGGTGGCCAAACGTGCTATCAGTGAGTCGCGATCGCATCTTTATTGGCGCGGATGTGTTAGCGATGCGGTTGCCACCAGTCTATACAACAAATTGGAGGCCAACGACTTGACCGCTAACATTGGCCTTAATTTGTTTAGTATGTCGGCCGACAGTTTGGCACAGTTAGCCACTTAACTAAACACTAAAAATACAGTGTTTGCTAAATAAATAAAAACTAAAGATTTTTTCATTTTTGCTAAATTATAAATTAAATAATTTTAATAAATTTTTTTAATAAATTGATTAATTATATTAATACAGTTATGTTCGTAAATAATTTATTTTTTAGTACATTGGCATTAATTAAGTAGATAGTTTTAATTATTAAAAAAATATTTAATAGATATTATAAAAATTTACTACTATGTAAAAAAATTAAAAATATTTTTTAAAAAAAAATAAATTAAATAAAACAATTAATCAAATATTATCACTAAATTATTGTCTATAGTTTTTTTAGATAGCAATTCGCATGAATAAGTCATTTCATAGAATAGAAGATGTGGTTTGGGTCGGACACTGATGAGAGAGTTGGCTAAAGAAGCCATTCAATTGTCTGTTAATAGTATTGAATGGGATTGTATGTCAAACAATGAAAGCTTACTATTGTTTCTCAAGCGTTTGGGTGGTAAAGATCTGACAGATAGTGACGGCGTTCACATGTATTGGCTTATTGGCGATCAATTGAAACAATTAGTTGATACAAGTGACTCGGATGGCCATCAATGTCTCGCAACAGAAAGGCGACCAAAGAGGACAGACGTATTTTATGCCAATTGTTCCACAAGTTTACTAAAGAGGTTAATATGGTTAGAGATGTGGTCAGCGAACAAGATATGATTGACAATGGATTGAATAGACAATTGTGTCACGTATTTATTGCCGACAATGTGGACAGTAGACAGTCGATTGGTTACATATTTTATTGCCGATCATAATCGCAAAGGAATGCCACCGGCTTCTGGATTCGCAACCTATATGTGCGGCCAGAAGATTGCCAAAAAGGTTTGCCTAAACAGCTGATGGCAGCGGTAGCCAAACATGCTGTCCGTGAAACGCGGTCGGGCCTCTTTTGGCGCTGGTGTGCTATCAATAAGGTTACCACCGGTATCTACGGTAAACTTAAGACCGCCGCCACCGACCTGACCGCTAACATTGGTACTCATATGTGTTTAATAAATTTCTATCAACCGATAGTTTGGCACAGTTACCAGTTAACTAAAATTAAAACACACTGTTTATGTTTAGAAAAAAAACTAAACCTAAATTATGTTATTTTTTAAATAAAATTATAAATTATTTACTAATGTACTAAATTCTAATAATCATCGGTAAGTATTACTTAAATACTCATCAGTAATACTTAAAATAACTTTATTAACAATTTAAATTTTAATTAACTTTAATACCAATATTAATATTTTTTTTATTATTACATTTCATGAAATATAAAAATTATATCTCATAAAAATATTAAAATTTATGAAATTTTTATTTTTGTTTAACTTTAACTATTGTACTTATATTGAATAAAATCTCATTTGATCATAAAAATCAAAAAAATAAATAATTAAAATTAAATTTTTAATCATTAAACAGTAGTCATTTAAGTTGTAAATAAAATATTGCACATAATTCATGTAAAAAATTTAATAAATTTATCATGTTTAAAAAATTATATTGATAACAATGATTACTTTTGCTTGGTTGCAGCATATGCATTAATTTAATTATTAAAAAATGTCCTTGATACTATAACCTTGATAAATAAATTGGTTATGTAATAGAGATGAAATTTTAAAAAATAAAACATTATTTAATCTTATTAATCTATATTTTGATAAAAAAAATAACATTATATTCAATATTTCTAAGTCTATAAAAATTATTGATAACTAAAACCTACTATTAATTACGTTTTTAAAATGTTTTTTTATGTAATCAATTATAAGATTATAAATATTTGTCATAACTATATAACATACGTATAGTATTAATCTATTTATTGAATAATTGTTAATAATTATTAAAATTATTATTTGAAAATATAGAAATAAATTATTTAGTTTAGTCTAGTCTAGTGTGAACATTTAAAATTATTTTAAACATCATAGTTATCTAATGTACAGTTAATTTCCGATATTAAAATTAAAAAATTTAATTATACCTTGAATACTACACTATATAAAATATATTATTAGAAACATAAATATTAGAAAGTATATTAAAAAACTTAATGAACTTTTAAATTTTTTAAATAGTTTACAATTAAATTTATTTACAAAATATGTTTACTATAAGGAAAGCGGTTAAAGATGACTGTCCGATATTAAGACAACTAATACAAGAGATGGCCACATATCATAAATTAAACACAGATTTGGTTTATCCGGTGAAACAGCTCGAAGAACAGGGATTTTGTGATCAGTCATCAAAACAATTGTTTCAGACACTGGTAGCCCAAAGTACTGACAGCAAACAACAACTTGTCGGTTATATCCTATATTATATGACTTATTCTGCATTTAATGGAAAAGTCATTCAACTGCAAGAGCTGTATGTCAATGGAGAGTATAGAGGATGTGGTTTGGGTCGGGCGTTGATGAGAGAGTTGGCTAAAGAAGCCATTCAATTGTGTGTTTGTAGTATTGAATGGAACTGTATGTCAAACAATGAGAACTCAATATTGTTTTACAAGCGTTTGGGTGGTAAAGATCTGGCAGATAGTGATGCCATTCATATGTATAGTCTTAATGGCGATAAACTAAAACAATTGGCTGATAAAAGTGATTCGGATAGTCAACAATATCTGACAACTACTATAAGAAATGCGACAGAAGAGGACAGTCGTGTTTTATGCCAATTGACACAAGAGTTCACTAAAGAGGTTAATATGGTTAGAGATGTTGTCAGCGAACAAGACCTGATTGATAATGGATTGAGTAATGGGTGCGATAGTAGACAATTGTTTCATGTGTTTATTGCCGACAGTGTAGACAGTGGACAGCCGATTGGATATATATTTTATTGTCGAGYATATTCGCCATGGAATGGCACCGGCTTCTGGATTCGCAACATATATGTGCGGCCAGAGTACCGGCAAAAAGGTTTGGCCCAACATCTGATGGCAGCGGTAGCCAAACATGCTATCAGTGAGTCGCGATCCTATGTCTATTGGCGCGGCTGTGCTAGCGATACGGTTACTACAAGTCTATACAATAAATTGAAGGCCATAGACCTAACCGCTAACATTGGCCTTCATTTGTTTAGTATGTCTGCCGACAGTTTGGCACAGTTAGCACTTTAAACTAAATTATTTTTAAAAATATTTATATGTAAAATAAATTAACTAAAAATAAACTATTAAAATTTTGTAAAATTATTAATTATATAATTTTAACATTTTGTTGTAACAATTTTGTTGTTTATATTTTCACAAATAAATATTTTTTATTATATTAATATTTTTAATAAAAAATTATTTAAATTATTAAATTAGATATTACAAAAATTTACTAAGTTACATTAATTATTTATAACTAGTTAAATACACTAGTAAAAATAAACAAATTAAAAAATATCTTTTTTAAATTAATAAATAATTTATATAATTAATATATTTTTAGCATTAACATTATTGCAGTTAAATAAACCAGCTTATTGTTTCTGTATTGAAAATATCTAAATAAATTTTACTAAAGTTTATTTTTTAGATAATTAATTAAAAGCATAATAACATATTAATATAATAAAATATTATTTAAAATTAAAATTTGATAAGATTTCGGCGATTTTTGTGGCCAATCAACGTTTTTAAGCGACAATTTTTTTCAATTTGGTCAAAAGCTATAGGGATCAAACGCAAAATCTCGATCTTAGGGGGGGGGGGGTCATTTGACTTGACCCCCAACCCCCACTTTGATTAACTCTGGTTAATATGTAAATCATACATATAATATAAATTCAATATACATTATTTAGATATATTGATTTATCATAATTATAAAATCAAATTAATTTTTTTGTTTTCTTTAATTTTACAGTTATACTGAAATATAGTGTACATAAAATGCTTTTTAATAATTAATTTAATATGAGTTTATTAATTATTATTAACAAACCATTATTTATACAATTGCTTAACTACTGTATATTTGAAAATTTATTAAACATGCAATTCATTAAATAATTTTAATTATAATATAGTTTTATGTTTTGTGGACACACAAACCCCTTTACTAAACTCTGATTAATATTTATATCAAACATAGATTATAAATTAAATATACATTATTTAGATATATCGTATGATTTATCATAATTAAAAAATCTCATTAATTTTGTTGTTTTCTTTAATTTTACAGTTATATTGAAATATAGTGTACATAAATGCCATAATAATAGCTAATTTAATATGAGTTTATTAATTATTATTAACAAACCATAATTTATACTAATACTAAACTATATTTGAAAATTTATTAACATAAAACTCATTAAATGACTTTTATTATAATATAGTTTTGTAATATTTCATATTTTTTTGATTATTCATTGTATTATACATTGTATTATACATTGTATTATACATTGTATTATACATTGTATTATACATTGTATTATACATTGTATATACTAAAAATACGTTATACTGAACTTAAAATAATTTTCGATAATAAAATTTAATAACAAAAAATATATAAGTAAAGGTAAAAACAACTAGTTTAAGATACAATTTCTAAACTATATTTGAAATTTATTAAACATACAATTCATTACATGACTTGTATTATATTATAGTTTTTCATATCTTTTGATTATGCATTGTATTCTATATACTAAAAAAAACTGTTTACTGGATGCGATAGTAAACAACTGTTTCATGTGTTTATTGCCGACAGTGTAGACAGTGTACAGCCGATTGGATACATATTTTATTGTCGAGCATACTCTCCATGGTATGGCACCGGCTTCTGGATTCGCAACTTATATGTGCGGCCAGAGTACCGGCAAAAAGGTTTGTCCCAACAGCTGATAGCAGCGGTGGCCAAACATGCTATCAGTGATTTGCGACCGAATTTATATTGGGGCGGCTGTGCTAGCGATACGGTTACCGCCAGTCTCTACGGCAAACTCAAGGCCGACGACTTA